ACGCCGCAGCCACCTCCGCGGCAGGAGGCTCCCCCGCTGCAGCCGCGGCCGGAGACCCCCCCGCCAGAACCGCGGCAGGAGGCTCCCCCGCCGCTGCCCGGCCAGGCGGAGTCGGGTCCCCGCGCCCCGGGCAGGCACCCACGGTGTGCCCCTCCTCGCCGCAACCGAAACATTTCATCGCCGACGATGATGCAAAAATCACGTACTCGTAATCATCTATCTTAACATGGAAGCGGAGGTTGAGCTCCACATTCCTGTTGTTAAGAATCATATAGAGGTGCCTGCGGTGAGACAATACGTGCTTCAGCAATTGAGACCTGCATCCAGACAAGATATTTTTGATCGGTGAAACCACCTTTCCGTGTCTGGAGAGTTCTCTGCTGAGAAATTCGTCGGTGATGAACGAAGGGACGTTCGATAGGACCACCTTCGTGGCCGGTTGCGTCAGTGGCAACACCTGTACGAACATGTCGTTCACCGTGAGGCCCGCCTCGACGACTCGGTTCACCTTCTCCACCTGGTCTAGAAAAATTACTACGGCCCCGTTCATCCGAGCGGCCGATTTCACGCTGCTGTGCCCGACTATTTCCCCCACAGCCAGCCCGATGTCCTCCACGCTGCACGGAAAGCCGGCGCTGATGATGCCGTGCTTTCGCGTGAGGTGGGACAGATTTTCCCCATTTACCATGGCGTCCTAGGACGCCGACCGGCGAGACAGATTGATTGATTTTTTGAGAGTTTGATTGAGACATTTATTGAGACATTGAAGTATACCTGGTTTATGTTGTTTGTTACAACTGTGGTCTATTGTACCCCCAGGTCTGTGTTTTGTGTACTTACCCCAAGAGCGCTGTGGAGCAGGGCTAAGTAAGATACCCTGGGGTCTACATACACCCGTAGGAAAAACCTCTGTTAGATACCCTAGATTAGACGCCAGTGGCTGTCGCCCAGTGTATTGTAGCAGTGAGGTAACTGGTGTGATAGGTTAGATTGTGGTAGGTAGGTTTAGAGGATTAGGGAAGCTCAGGGTCCTTTGTTTTGTTTCTTTGCTTTAACCGACCGCTGGCACCGCCCTACTCCACAGGCCTTGTTACCTGTTAGTCCTCCTATCCCGTGTCTTTGTACTCGTGTGCAATTGTTTGTGTTGAAATGTATGTATTGTCACCATAATTGATCAGTGTGTGGAAAATAAACCCACTGTTTATCCATCCATTGTAGCAGCGTGTGTTTTACTTATTGTAGTAGCTGGTGCCTTAGCATACAGGTTCCCGCATCCAGCGGGTGTGGTCTTGGGTAGTTACGCCCTCCTCCTCTCCCGAGCCGGGGTGGAGGCGTAACAACCCCTGACCTAGAACCACCCAGGATGATCTGAGCGGAGCACAGGAAGTAGATAAATATATTTCAATGTGCAATTACTGGGAAATATACATGTTTCTTTGCTAAACAGTTCAGAAAAGGGAATCTTTTTGACTATTGTTCGGTAAAGAGATTTCTGTTGTTGACGTTCCCAGCCCCCTACAGAGGGGGTTTTGGTGTTTAAGGGGTTATTATTAAGTCATTAGCAGTGGTACCAATTAAGAAATAGATATTTCTCTCATTAAATCTTCTTTTAAAGTCTATTTAATTCCCCTATTCACAAGGTTGGGCTCAGATGTCAGATGCAGAACTGTGCTGTTCAGTTTGAGGTTTACTACACCATAAACATCTGTGTACCTAAATGCATTGTATAAGTGGATAAACTTCCTCAACATCTCACAACCAATCCGTGTCCTGAAAAAGAAGAGAAGGGGGGCGGGCCACGCAACACGCTGGTCTGGGAGCTTCAGTTGGGGGAAAAGTTTCTTGCAGAACAATCAATCATTCACTTTGAGAGCCGCAATAGAGGAATGCCGAATAGTCATAAAACTCCTCTGTCAACATGTGAACCCTAACTGACCCTAAGTTTCCTAACAAAGGAGTGGTGACTTCATTTTGTGTCTCGTGTGGTGAACTTGGATGCAAATAATTGTGCAAAGCAGAAAATGTGTTAAGAGTTAACTTGATAATAAAAATTATAAGTAAAAGCCAATAACTAAAAAGTAAAGTGAACTTTCATTTTTACATTACATTGCATTTCAGTGGGAACAGTGTTGTTGGTCCCCCTTTTTTTGCCAGTGCATGATAGTTTGGTGTCAGCTTTGTTCTGGCAATTCTCAGGACAGATCTGAGGTCTTCATCCGTTAACTGGGATCTGTGGCGTGATTTGTTGGTTTTCATCACGCTGAACGTCTGCTCAACCACCTAAGTATAGCCAAACAACACCAGCATCCTGTTTGCAAACTTGGCTTCGCTTAGTGAAGCATAATTCAGCCAAGTTAAGGGGGTTGAACTTCTCCTTTAAGACGGCGTCACATTGAAGATCAATGAGTTCCAATTCCAAGTCAACTTGGCTTTGAAGACTCTCACTCTCTCATTTGTGTACATTTTCATGCACAAACTGATCTTTCCCTTGTAGCTTCATGTTCAGCTCATTCATGTGTGTCAGTATCTCTACAGCAAAAGCAAAATCACAAAGCCAATCTGCGTCGCTCAGCTTTCCCGATTGTTATACTGAGCGCGCAGGGCGGCGCAGTCCCGTGCGTCCGTGCGTTCGTTTTTGCCGTATAAAACGGACCACGTCTCCGTGGCACGCTCGCCTGTGGGGGGAGGGGTGGAGGTGAGCAGCGCAGACCGCAGCAGCTGGTATCGCAGCCTGATGTAACCGCTGTAACGCTTAAGCCTAGTTTATGCTTCTGTGTTTTCAGAGCGACGCAGATGCAAGAGCCCCTTGCGTGTCCCTTGCGTGCCTTTTCACACCTCCTTGCGTCCTTGCGTGTGTCGAGCCATTTTTCTAGGCAGGCGACGCCTCCCGCAGCGCACAAGGCTGTGATTGGTCCGCTAACTACGTCCTTTACGGAGTCTCACATTTCCGCTTCCATAGCCCGATACCGCCATTATTAAAACGAAGAATGTTTACGAGACAACGGATCAGATTTAAGAACTTTTGTCGGAAGAAATGCGTAAATATGCCCGCTTATACAAGCCGTCATTGGCGGGTTGTAGAAGCGGGTTGGATTCACGGTGGGAGATCGCCGCAAACGCCGGTTTGCCGGTCGAGAGGTGCACAAAGTTGTGGAGGAAAATACGGGACAAATGTGTCCGCGATGAAAAGCAGCAGTGGCGATGCACGGGGCAATAAAGTCTATGATAAATAAGTAAACAAATACATAAATAGACGTGACTCTCTAGGTCGTCTTCAACAAAAACACGTCACTCCGCCTGTTGTTCTGGCGGTGAATTGCTCTGCAACACACGCAGAACCATGAATTGAAACGAGTGCGTCGACGCAACGACGCAGACGCAAACGCAGAAGCATGCGCCAGCCTTTATCCGTTCCCGACTTGAGTTAAGAAACATCGATGCTGGTCTTTTGCCGTCATCGAGCTTTGGGAAACTCAAGTCGGGAACGGAGAAGTGTTACAGCGGTCGTAACAATAATTTATAATTCATAATACTCGGCGGGCCGGATCAAAACGCCCAACGGGCCGGGTCTGCCCGCCCCTGAGTTAAAGTCATAGTTTTTCAATCAACAGATGAGGGGTTTGCTCCTCCAGGCCATGTTGGCCGAGACAAAGGGGAATTACGGCAGTAGTTCACACCTGTTTCACGATGCACTTGGGAAGTAAATATTACGTTTAACAGAGCTGCAGTAAAAGACTGCGGTTTATTCAAATATTCTGGACAATGACTGAAGTATGTGTGTTCATGACCATTCTGACTACTATTGTACAAAAAAAAAGAATACTTTTACTGTACAAAGTTAGATAATTATCCTATATTTCAAGTTCAAAAGGACAATTTCTAATGTTTGAACTGCAATAAAAATACTTTTCTCAATAATTCCAGTCAAAGACTAACATACATGTAATAAGGACATATCTGACTATTATTGTAAGAAAAATGAAATATTTTTACTGTACAGATTTGGAGATTTCTTTAAAGTAAAAGCCATAGAACCAAAGAACATTGCATGTTCAAAAAGACCATATCTCCATATTTGAAATGCAATAAAAACATAATTCTCAATAATTCCAGGCCAGGACTCATGTTAAGGACCTCTCTGACTACTACCTTGCTGAATATCAAGTATTTTTACTGTACAGATTTGGATATTTCACAAGTAAAAGCCCTATTTTTGCTTGTTCAAAAAGATCATTTCTCAAAGTTTGAACTGCCATAAAACGAGATTGATCAATAGTTCCAGACCAAGACCAATGCACCTGTGTTAAGGACCTCTCTGACTACCAGCATGCTGAATTTGTACTGTACAGATTTGGAGATTTCTACGAAGTAAAAGCCCTAGTTTTGCGTGTTCAAAAACACCACTTCTCAAAGTTTGAACTGGCATAAAAAGGAATTTCTCAATAGTTCCAAGGCAAGACCAATGTACCTGTGTTAAGGACCTCTCTGACTACTACCATGCTGAATATCAAGTATTTTTACTGTACAGATTTGAGGTTTCTCCAAAGTAAAGGCCCTATAATTGCTCGTTCAAAAAGACCATTGGTCTTGGTCTGGAACTATTGATCAATCTGTTTTTATTGCAGGACAAACTTTGAGAACAAAAAGAAATATGTATTTTATTGTACACCAGTAGTCCTGTACAGACACATCATATACGTGCACTAAAAGTCAAGCGTCGGCTGACTTGACCAAGGAAATCCGAGTGTCGGCTGAGTACAAAAAGCGGGGGTGACCATAGGAGTTGGGGGGGACGTTACGCAACCGTCGGGGAGGTTAAAGAGGAACCAACGCGGCTCGGAGCAAAGTCCGTTTTTTTTTCACCCAGAGGGTCGGTTGTTGAAAATAAATGAATCATTCAGACGGGAAATGCATCGTGGGAGGAGTTTCACAAACAAGAATCCTTGTTTCGTTTCTTGAGTGGAGTCGCAGCATTTTTCAGAGCAAAGGGAGTTTCACCCCCGCCGGAGTTTGACAAAGCTGGAGGAGCGGCATTGATCCACATCTTTGACCTTCTCGCTGCAGGTAAATGTTAGAATGTATATCGTGTCTTTAAGGATGTTAATCCCCGCGGGTGACTCTATTGAACGTTTGAAAGCTGGAAGATCTTCACCGTCAGGCACGTAGCGATGTGTCGTTCACATTCGTTCATTTTGAACGAATCCTTACAAGGACTAGATTTACCGGTGTTACACCCCTACTGGTTTTTCCACCTACTGGTTTCCCCACGCGTGCGTGTTTGTGTTCACTCCACAGCTGCAGATGTGTCCGCCTCAGTTCCCTGATTCGTCACACATTCACAAACATATTGCTGAAAATCTTCAAAACGCATCACAAATCCATTGCAGCGTTTACGATTGTATAAGTGAGCACCACATCACGGCCACGTATGAAAACATTTACATGAAAAAATATATTAAAGGAAAGATCGGCACAACCTGGATTCGAACCCGGGGGATCAAAACATCAAAATAGTACCCTTGTGGCTGCTCTTAGCAGTGCGCCACGCAGACACACAGCAATTTGTGACCCTCAGTATTATTTTTTGATTTCGTTGACGTAGATCAGCATGGAGGAAACCTTTTGGTGTCGTGGATTTAAAACAACTGGTTACCTTGGGCGTGTCTTCCGTGACATCCATCTGTGGTTCCACTGGGTTTGCACTGGGAAACCACCTTTGGAGCAGGACTTCTGCTGTCCAGCATGCTTTATTTAGAGCTACTTTATTTTTTTTTCAATTATTTATTTATTGTGACTGTTAAAACACTATTATTTAATAACGTTTCATTTTGGGAGCTTTATAAGGTTTTTGATTCCTAATAGAAGTTTTGCAAGTGTATAATCTGTTTCACTCAATTCCTTCACTTTTTGTGGGTCCATCTCTTGTTCGGAAAGATCGTATGTACGACCTCATGGCGTTTTTATAGGGATGCTGCTTGTTAACTTTAATTGGGTGACAATTAAGAATGGATACATTTCTTTGGATGTGATCCAAGACACGCCCAAGGTAACCAGTTGTTTCAGATCCACGACACCAGAAGGTTTCCTCCATGTCAATCTCCTTTCATTGATATATCAAGACCAAACCCTGTGTACTACCCTGTGGCGCAGTGCACAGCGCGACTAGCTTTGAGATGTGTTTGTATTTTGCTGCACGGGTTCGCAACCTGGTCGGTTCGATCTTTTAATATATTTTCTAAACTTTGTTTTGTTCGTGTCTGTGGTTTACGTCACGCGATGGCCGTAAGAAAACAATATCCTTTCTTTATCAAAATGTGTCGCTGCAAGGCTGCAGCCTCGTGAAGAAGTAGCGTTGCACATGTCCTGAAGTGTTCCAAGACACGCCCAAGGTAACCAGTTGTTTTATATCCACGACACCAAAAGGTTTCCTTCATGCGGATCTACGTCAACAAAATGAATAAATCATACTGAGGGTCACAAATTGCTGTGTGTTTGCGTGGCGCACTGCTAAGAGCAGCCACAAGGGTACTATTTTGATGTTTTGATCCCCCGGGTTCGAATCCGCGTGGCTAGGTTTAGTAAGACGTGAATGATATTCCTTCCGCCCCTCCCTGCTCCTCCTCCTCCTCTTCCGCTTAGTGCTCGCGCAGTGCTGAGCGCCTAACAGCTGCAGCATCAGACCAACAGGTCTTGTTTGTTCATTTTCTAAAAAATGAACAAACAAAAAGGCTCATCCAGCTGTTTACTGACGTTTGTCATGTTTAATGAAGAGAGAGAGAGAGAGAGAGAGAGAGAGATCTAGACAGACAGATCATTTAAAGGCAGTTTTACTGTTCTACAAATTAGACAAGTTCACTAGTATTGTTTAATTTAATCAATTATTGCAATGAAAGGTAGGTGTCAAGTCGAGCTACGTGACAGTCTGGTGAGGTATATTGTGGTATATTATTATACCTGTGTAATGCTGCAGAAACAGTAAAAAAAAATGCTATGCATCGGGCCTAACAACGCCCCGAGCTGTTATTGAAGATATTGAAGTACAGCCTCTCGCACCTTATTGCTTAAGTAATGTACGGTGACGGCGACTTTCTCTGTATCTGTCCACACTAAAGTATTGAAAGGAAAGAAGAAAAAATAGCAACTTGGAAAAATAGCCCCTATGCCTGTTATTATATTAATTGGTTGTTATAACTTGGTTTTACTGTTGAAGGTAATTATTTGGTCGAAAGCGAATGTATTATATATTTTATTACTGATTAATCTGCTGAACATTTTCTCTTTTAATCAATATATTGTTTGGTTATTAAAACAAATTCAGACAATAGTGAGAATACTCAAGCATTTTTTAAATTATAATATTTTAAATGTTTGAAACCTCAAATCATACCTGCAAACCTTTCGCTTTTCGGCTAAATTCTTGGCCAATCAGCTTTGACATGTCTACAGCGTCTTCATTTCCCCTCCGGCTCTTCACCCTTTCACTCCAAATTGAAGTTACCGCCGACACTGGATTAATGTTATTGTTAATATTACCGTACATGTTTCGGCGCAATCTATGATCTAAATGAGATCAGTTTAAATGGTTATAAAAGCTTGATGGTCAAGCACACATTAGCATTACAGTATGCTGTAGCCATAAAATCGTTTAACGAGAAAATTGATTTTATCAAAATAGTTATTTTTCTGGTAATTGATTATTTCAATTGTATTTATACGCTTTACTGATGGTTGTATTTATATAAACTGTTATATTCATTCAAATGTGATTCTCTGAAGTTACAGTGGTTGATTTAAATGGGACTATTTGCTTAACTTACAGTTTCCATTCGTGGTCATGGATGATTTTGTTTGTGATAAATTAACTGAATGGGGTCTTCGGGAATGGATAGGAAACTTTGCAGGTAAAGTACTACCATGCCTCTTTTTAGGGCACAAAAACTGTTTATATGACCTACCAAAACTGAAATATCTACAGCAGAGGTCTTTAACAGGGGGTCCGCGGAGGTACTGCAGGGGGGTTGCAACATTTTCTGTTGATAAGACAATTATTAAAGAATAAAATACAAAAAAATAGTCAATTTTTTTGGTCTTCAGAATCAGAATTACATTTATTGTCTTTCAATACACATTAACACGAATCCAACATATTGTAGCGAACGGATAAATTAGAGAAGACGTTAGAGGAGGGAAGAGGGAATCAAAGTTGCAGCAGCTTGACGTGGATCTCAGGTTCTAACCTTAACAAATCAGAGCATCACAGTCTTACTTTACATACACGGGGAAGACGCCTTGGATTTATTATGGTACGGAAAAGAACACTGGCATCAAGGTAATGTATAGTCACAACATATTACTCACTAGATTAACTTATTAGTTGGTGACCGGAGACACAATCTCTCCTTCCTCCACACAGCTGTAATCATTCATGAATCAGATAAAAGAGGGGAGGTGTTTGTGTGTCTTGTGTTCAGACATTTCTCTTGGTGCCATGGAACTTAATTTGTCACTGTTAAACTCATGATCAGCTACAGACAGTTAACCGTACAAAACCTTATGGCATAATAATATTTTACCATTACACCATGGAACATGCTGTAATGTTTATAAGTGTTGACTAATATTTGCAATTTGTCTCTCTGTTTAGAGAAGACAAAAGCAGCAAAGAGAATAAGACGTGGACATTTTAAGGAGACACATTCATGTTTTACTTGCAGAAGAAGGCTTTACAGAGGAAAGTTTTTTGTGTCTGGATGATCAAGAGGAAGAAATTGCCAAATTGATCCCAAAAATGGGACCACGGTTCATATTCAAGAAGAGACTGAAGTTGTTAATGGTAATGTTCTGTAAACACAATTTACACAAATACTATACACAATATACTATACGTAATTTATATAGGAGCACATAATTCATGACGCATAATTGATAATAATAACTCATTAACAATAATGAATTGAATTTTAACATTTATTTACTATTATGGATTTAGAAGGAACAAAATACAGCAAATCCAGATACAGCTGATGCGTCTGCTCAAGTAAGTTGAATAAAGTTTCAAGCACTCAGGTATCATAAGGCCTTTATTATGAATTTTTTTTAAATTAATTTAAAACTCAAATGTCCACGTTCACCCTCAGGTCATTCCGTCCACTAGTGGAACAAGTAATGAAGGTGAGATGCACTTTATCTCATTGATTACATGTTGTGTTCAAAGTTTTTTAACATCTTGCTTTGACTCAACAAATATATTGAGACCGTGTCTTTATATTGTGAGAGGCAGATGCAACAAATTTTTTCTTATTTTTTTTTCCACCCACCAAAAATCCCCAATAAGGAAAGAGAAAGTCTGATCTCCAGGGCGAGTCCAATCAACAGCAATCACAGACTAAAAAACAACGTCTTGCCAAAGGACCAGGATCCTACTCAGGTATTTATAATACTTTCCAAACAATGACAACCTCCAACTTACCAAAGGGGTTAACATTTCTACGTAATAACATTTTTAGAAACAGACAGCAAATGTCTGTTTCTACATCTTGGTGACTAACTATGCTGCCCGATTTAATCTTACCAGACAACCAATCAAAGTAAAGACCCTAACTGTGGCCTTTAACTGTATGATGTTTTAAGAGCAAGACCAGGGTTTATCCTTTGATAATACACCAAGATAGGATCCTGATGATCCACTCTGGAGCATTCTAAATGGACCTGACAGAGAAAGTTCATCTCATTTTTTAGCTTCTTGCCTCATCGTGCATTACAGCTTATTCAACTCACTGGTTCAGGGTTCCTGCTGAATAGTTCTTTATATTTACTCTAACAGAAGAAGAGACACTGACTAAGGTGAAAGAGATAATGCGATGTGTCCTAAAGAAAATACCTCCTGAAAAAAACAACCTGAACGACTTCCTGAGGTAAGAAATAAGTCTACTCAATTTTCATATCAATATATTATCTGGCCTTGGTTCCCCTCCAGGGGCCGATTTCACTAAGAGAATTAAGATTGCAGGCCATCATCTGTTAGACCCGCTGTTCCTAAGTATGTCCATTTTCACAAATGTCTTAAGCGAAATCTTTTCAAATTCTCCACAAAAATTCACTTAGACTCAAGGATGAACTGATTAGGATTAGTTGGTCATGCTATGACATTTGCAGACAAATATCTATCAAGATAAAATCAAGAAGTGAGGAAATTTTGGAAAATCATGAATGTAAACGTTTTTGTCTGAGGGATTCAGTAGTAATTTACCAAAAATTGTTGGAAAATTACAGTAATTCTACTGAAGAAGACACAATATGCTGTGGAGGCCTGTTCCTAGATGGATCTACTTCTGATCATTACACATTGTTTAAGTGTTTGTGTATTTCTGAAACAAAAAATAACCCACACTACAACAGGAGAAAAATCCATGATTTGGAGACGGACGAGAGGGAGGTGGTTGGTGTCTTTGGCAAAACCGGAGCTGGAAAGAGCTCTTTGATAAATGCTGTCATTGGATTGAACAAGTTCTTGCCCTCTGGAAGCATCAGTGCATGTACATCAGCCTTGATTAAAGTGGAGGCTAACATGCAGAACTCAAAGTACGAGGCAATTATTGAGTTTATTACGAAAGAGGTAAAAATGTTTGTTTACTTTAAGCTATTTTACCTTATTTTAAAAGGCATGATGTGGCTTCATGAATACAGTTGTTGATTACTCAGCAGGCCGTTTAATTTAACAAAGTTAAAGTTTTTTTTTGTATTTCATTTAGGAGTGGAGAGATGAGTTGTGGTTCTCAAAAAATTTTGGTCTGGAAAATGATGACGATGACCCAGAATATAGGGACATTGTTGAAAAGCTGTCTGCGGTGTACGGAAAAGACGGGAAAGAAAAACCTCCTGATGACCTCATGGATACCAAATATTTCAAAGAGATCCCCGAATTTCTCGTTTCCAAGGAGAAGATTTTGACAGCTAAAGAAGTAAGAGTAAACATTCTGTATCCATTGAAAATGAAAAGCCTTCTGTTGTGACTGACAGTAGTTTGACAAATGTAAAAGTAAAATCACCATATGATTCTTTCTACTTAAAGAAAGAGTAGCTTGTCCTCAATCACTGCAAACGCACATCAAATGTACCTTTCATAATCATAAATAAGTTTGTCTCCCAGTAACTAAATAAAATAAAAATGTACAGTATATAACAGTTTTAACAACACCCAACATTCATTATTAAGATTAAATTCCGTCTTGTATTACATCTCAATATTGATTTGGTTTCCAGCTGGTAATAGAAATAGTAATAATACTATATCTTTTAAAATGAGCAACCTGTGTAGCATGTTGCTCCCAACAGATGATCTGACGCTTTACTGATGGTTGTACAATTTATTCATTTAAATCCCACAAACAACCGTAAAAACTTTTGCCTTTTGTGAGGGGGGGGGTACTAATACCATAACCGTTTGTTCACTAACCACCGTATTTTCCGTTCTTTTTCCTTTTGCGGTCTTCACCATTTGACTTTCGTTTTTTAACCCAAGCTCTGCCTTCAAAATAAAAGCATTTAACCCAAAACAGGAAATACACAACGAAATCAAGAAATTAATCAAAAACATGTAATAAAGGCAAAACATTCATTAATACACACAAATTAGTTACAAACTGACTTCCCAGTTGGTAAGCATGACCTTTTGAGTACCACAGGGATCAGTACTTGAACCCTTTATATTTGGTTCATTTATTAACCTCTTTTAATGAGGGGATATTTAAATAAAAAAGTATGAGGGGCCGTTTAGGACTTAACTACTGAGACACTCTGATGCACACTAGACACTCTTACACGTAGTAATGAAGTACTCGTGCGCATCTCACTAGTGCATGTAACAGCATCTTACTAGTGAACTAAGAGCATCTCACTAGTGTGGGTAAGATTTTTTAATGCTGGTCTAGTTAATGGGACCATGTGACTCCACCAGCACCGGGCGGTCAGCCTCATCTCACGCCGCAGAAAGCAGCCTATTCTCGGCCAGACTTCTAGGAAATTCTCCGCTTGTATTAGGGTGACGGAACGTCTGGATTATTGTCGGACCGTCCGGATTTTCAATGACCTTACGCGTATTTGTCCTTATTGGAGTTGCGCTGGGACTAGAGTTGCGCCCCCCCCTCTCTGACAGCAAGGTCCGCGCCACCCCCCCTCCCCTAAATTGAAATCCCTTTGACAACCTGATTTACAGCCTCACGAAACACTGTCCTCTTTTGTGTTGTGTTCACTTTACCACACATGTAGATCTTACAAAGAAATATTCATTAATTCATATTTTGATTTTAAAAAGATGTTTATTATCCTTTGTAGTCGCTTTAAAGCTGATGTCCTACTGACAGTTTCAATGACCACAAGTTTACCTTTAATTAAAACACTGTTAGTTTTAATGCATAATTATAGACAGTATAACAAGACTGCACATTATGGCTACAGACAAGATGTAATAGTGAGATTCTCTTACACACAGTAGTGAGATGTTCTTACCCACACTAGTGAGATGCTCTTATGCACACTAGTGAGATGCTCTTACACACACTAGTGAGATGCTCTTACGTTCACTAGTGAGATGCTCTTACACACACTAGTGAGATGCTCTTACATTCACTAGTGAGATGCTCTTATGCTCACTAGTGAGATGCTACGGTCTACCCACAAGTTTATCTTTAATTAAAACTGTTAGTTTTAATGCACAATTATAGACAGCACAACAAGACTGCACATTATGGATACAGACGAGATGTAATAGTGAGATGCTCTTACACACAATAGTGGGATGCTCTTATGCTCACTAGTGAGCTATTCTTACGCACACTAGTGAGATGCTCTTACGTTCACTAGTGAGATGCTCTTACGCACACTAGTGAGATGCTCTTAAGCATACTAGTGAGATGCTCTTACGCACACTAGTGAGATGCTCTTACGCACACTAGTGAAATGCTCTTACGTTCACTAGTGAGATGCTCTTATGCACATAGTGAGATGCTCTTACACACACTAGTGAGATGCTCTTACGTTCACTAGTGAGATTCTCTTACGCACACTAGTGAGATGCTCTTATATTCACTAATGAGATGCTCTTACGCACACTAGTGAGACGCTCTTACACACACTGGTGAGATGCTCTTACGTTCACTCGTGAGATGCTCTTAGGTTCACTAGTGGCATGCTCTTAGGTTCACTAGTGGCATGCTCTTAGGTTCACTAGTGACATGCTCTTGCGTTCACTAGTGAGATGCTCTTACGTTCACTAGTGAGATGCGCATCAATGTTTCATTAGTACGTGTAAGAGTGTCTCAGTAGTTAAGTCCTAAACGGCCCCTTATAACAAAGTCTACATTTATCTTTCAGTGGTATGCTGTGGAACCATCGATTCACTTTTTTACTACATCAATTGTTTTGACATAGTCTGTTGCTAAATAAAGACAAAACTGTGGTGATTGTCTTTGGTGCTCTTAATGAAAGATATAGAATCATTGCTCTAATTAACTTTTTCTCATGTAAAGTTACTCATCAAGCTGGAGACTTAAAATCCTAACAAAGGTCAACATGAAACACGTGAAAGCGGTCTAATGCTACAATGATAAACATACTTACTATACCAAAAAATCTAAGGCTCTGTCAAAATCTAATCATTAGTAATTTTGTCACCCAAAACTTTACTTTTATATTCACTTCCGTTTCGGTATTCAATATGTATTCACCAAAGAATTGATTTTGCTTCTATTATTTCAATTATAGGGTTTCCAAAAAAAACTTGCTATTAGTAAAGCAGTTTGATGTTTGAGTCTGTGGTTTTGAGTGAAATCAGCTAACGTTGACGCCTTGATCTCATTTTACTGTTTATTGCAGGCCAAAAAGCTATTTGAAAGGTTAATCAGGTACACAAGAACCAACCCAGATAACGCAGGAGATAAAGGTGCAGGGAGGTGGTATTGGCCGCTCGTGAAGTGTGTGACCATTAAGGTGCCAAACGCTGATCTTCTTAAGCATGTCACACTCGTGGATCTTCCTGGAAGTGGGGACACTAACAAGAGCAGAGACAAGATGTGGAAAACGGTAATTTATAACATGAAATGCTTTTCATTGTGTGTTACTGTGTTATCTGCAAACGGTGACTTTGTATTATAGCAAAGTGCTGATAACCATCATAATGGACTTGCTGTCGTATTCGTTCAGGTCGTTGGAAGTTGTTCCACTATCTGGATCGTGACTGACATTAATCGAGCTGCATCGGAGCCAGAGGCCTGGGATATCCTGAAAGATGCCTGTAGCTACATGGTAAATGGTGGCCAGTGTAATCAGATTCACTTCATCTGCACCAAATCTGATTGTCATGACAATCTAGAAGATACGTAAGTGGTTTAAGATGCCTAAAGTACATACATGTTAAAGGTAGTAGGAGGTATTTGTAAGTGGTTATGAAATAGTCTCAATAATAATTCTGATGCCTCTATATGATACAATATTATAAATCGAGACCATCAGCGTGAATATTGTCTATTTTCTACATATTAATTTTTAATGCTGGTCATCAGTTTTAGTCAGTTCTTCCAAGGAAATTCCTTTGGAAATCAATAACTTGTTCTACAATCAACACAACTAACCAATCTGAAATAGTATTCTGTAACGTTGTATTTGTTATTAACAACTCACCTCATTTTTTCCAGACAACATTTCATTGAGATCACTAAATACTTTTTTTTTTTTTTAAATGAAGTGATGCACGATAGAATGGTGGATTCGATAGTTACAGCTACAGGTTGAAAAGAGGTCTTTTAGACTTGTATTTTGGATGCGGAAAATAAGGTTTCAGTTCTCCAAAAACCTGTTTGAGGTGGAAATTAATGGAAACGTTTTCATTTAGTTCAAAAGCTGGTATTCGTGATTTCATCTTGAAAACAAACCAGCAAGCCAATGCCAAAGTGATGAAAGAATTTAACCAACTAAAGGTTAAGGTGAGTATTGTAGTGTGACAGAAGGTTTATCACACGTTGTCTACAGCTGTAAGCTTAACTTAAAACCAGAACGTTTTGTTTTCAGAAACACTTCAGTGAGGAAAGTTTCAAAGTCTTCACAGTGAGCTCCGTAGAGTTTCTAAATCAGAAATATCTAAATAAAGAAGAAACTGGTAAGTGAAGTCTCCATATATGAGCACATTTACTTTATTTCTGATTTTGACTTTGACTTCATTGTAGCAAAAAAAAAAAGAATAATTTAATTTTGGAATTATATTTGCAAACTGACATTTTTTTACAGAAATACCCAAACTTCAGGAGTTTCTGCAGGAGCTCAATGACTGTCACATGTTGAACTACGTGTCCGGAGCCCTCGGGATCCTCTCTCTGATTCAAGGGGCCAGCCTCAGAGGAGGGGTAAGATCAAGTGATCACATCATATTGACCGAATATAAAGAGGAAACGTTGTTAAGTAAAAGACAGACGTCCTAAATGTGTTCCATACATACCTTACATGTCATTTAGCTGACACTTTTATCCAAAGCGGCTTACAATAAGTGCATTCAACCATAGGGATACAAACTCAAGCAAGAAACAAGAAAGTGCAATTTCCTCAAATAAGCCAATTTACAATTTGCTATAGATAAGTGCCATTATAAGTACAATTTAAGTGCTAGTTTGTTAGTCTTTTAGTTGAGGTAGAGTCTGAAGAGGTGTGTCTTTAGTTTGAACTGGATGCGGGCGGCCACTGGTAGCCAGTGAAGAGCGCGGAGGAGTGGAGTAGTGTGGGAGAATTTTGAAAGGTTAAAGACCAGTCGAGCTGCTGTATTCTGGATGCGCTGCAGAGATTGAATGGTGGTAGCAGGGAGACCTGCCAGGAGGGAGTTGCAGTAGTCCAGGCGGGAGATGACAAGAGCCTGAATCAGTACCTGTGCTGCCTTCTGAGTGAGAAGGGGACGTATTCTGCTGATGTTATAGAGCGTGTATCTACAGGATTGTGTTGTCGCAGTGATGTTGGGAGTCAGGGAAAGTTGGCTGTCGAGTGTGACGCCGAGGTTCCTAGCAGTCAAAGAGGGTGTTAGCATGGAGTTGCCAAAGTTGACCGTCAAGTCGTGGGTCGGAGAATCTTTTCCCGGAAAGAGAAGTAGTTCATTCTTGTCGGGGTTGATTTTCAGATGGTGAGCGGACATCCACTGAGAGATGTCAGTAAGAGACAGACAGAGATCCGTGCCGCCACCTGGGTGTCTGAGTGAGGGAAGGAGAGAATTAGTTGGGTGTCTTCGGCATAGCTGTGGTAGGAGAAGCCATGCGAGCGAATGACAGCGCCAAGAGAGTTGGTGTAGAAGAGGAGGGGACCCAGGAAAGAACCCAGTAGTAAGAGGACATGGTTCCGACACAGATCTTTGCCAGGTTACCTGGTAGGTGCGACCGTCGAGGTAGGACGAGAGAAGGGAGAGAGCAGAGCCTGAGACACCAAGTTCCTGAATGGAGGCAAGTTATTGTGTCAAATGCAGCGAAGAGGTCCAGAAGGATGAGGACCGAGGAGAGAGAGGCGGCTCTAGCAGTGTAGAGTTGCTCTGAAACAGCAAGGAGAGCAGTCGCTGTGGAATGGCCTGCCTTGAAGCCTGACTGGTGGGGGTCAAGGAGGTTGATACGGTGGAGATTGGAGGAGAGTTGGTTAAAGATCGCACGTTCAACAGTTTTGGACAAAAAGGGAAGAAGAGAGACCGGTCTGTAGTTGTTTTCTCCAGAAGGGTTGAGGGTGGGTTTCATCAGGAGTGGGTTAACTCTTGCCTCCTTCAGAGAATTTGGAAAACAGCCAGATAACAGAGCATTGTTAATGAGACAGGTGAAGAAAGGAAGAAGGTCAGGAGCAATAGATTGTAGAAGATGTGATGGAATGGGGTCAAGAAGGCAGGTGGTCGGACGGGCAGAGGTTACTAGGGTAAGAATTTGGTTAGGAGACAGGGGGGTGAAAGAGGAAAGTGAGGGCGATAGAGGTGAAGTCAGTGGGACGCAAGTAGTAGGAGGTGGGTTTGAGAAAGAGGAGCGTATGTCAGCTATTTTCTTGGTAAAGTAGTTGACAAAGTCTACCGGAAGAAGGGTGGAGGAGGACTAGGGGGTTTGAGGAGGTTGGAGTAGATCGAAAAGAGTTTTTGGGGGATGGAAAATGAAGATTCAATTCTGGATTGGTAGAAAGAACTTTTGGCAGCAGAGATAGAAGCAAGAACACATACATTTTACCAAGTCAGTTGCTTTCCTGAATTGTTTTGCTTCAGAGAGGCTGCATAAACAAAGTAATTTAAGAGAGGTCTCGCTCAAAATTGAGTAACTGTATGGTTTCATTGCTTTGAATGCTGAATGTGTTGTTGTTTATTACAGGCTGAGATAAAGAAAGATGTGTGCACAATCCTTGAAAAAAAGATGTCAGGTGAACTTGAGAAAGTCAGGAAACAAATGGTAGAAACTTACCAGGCTTTTGAAAAGTGCCTCAATGAGGGAGTTGAGAAATCTGAAAATTCCTGTGAAAAAGTCTTGGAGTCGGTGATAAATCCTGTAAGTATATAAATTAAGACTTCATAATTTTAACTACATCATTATTAATACATCATTGTAACAGTTGTTGCACAATTTTTTTCTGTTTTGTTTCAGAGAAAACCAGGAAGAGGTTTCCACAAGACACTGAGATATTTAGTCGAGCACAGTGGCATCCACAAAGCAGAAAAAAACCAAAATCCAAATAAGAAGAAACAAAAAAACCTGAACATGGAGTTATCTTCATACCTGACTGAGAGCATTGATGAGAAATTCAAGGAGACCTTCCCGTAATAAATAACTTAATAAAGACATAAAACCCTGTGCAGGCTGGTTGTACAAACTATCCCTGGAATTAACAGTTCATACATTATGCAGTAATAACAGTAATGTGATAAAATCAATTTATATTACTTCATTAAAATACAAAGTGATTATACAAAGTGATTATGAAATATTTCAATATGTTAACATGTTTCAGAAATGAAGTAAATTGTGGACCATTCAACGGAAAACTCAATTTATTTTCACTTGACACAAAGACGATGAAAATGAATCCCGAGTACAAAGATGTTGAACTTCAACTGGAGTTCCTCAATGCAGAGGTAAAGGAAGAGAAGTGTACCATTAGTCCATTGTGTAGCTGTAGCAGGTCAGAAAGGCCGAAGTAGAAGGGTGAGAAGAGAGGAGACACAAGAGGAGACAGATTTTTATATTGTCTTGGTTGTATTCAAGACATGTGGATCTTTAATATTCTCTCTCTCAGGAAGTTAAGATGAAAAAGAAACTCATCAAAATCATCCGCGAAAGTAAAAAAATGATCTACAGCAGTCTGATGACAACAGTTGAGGAATCAATGCAGGAATGCTATGATGGTATAATAAATCATCAGGACATGTAAAAGATGACAATACGCACATCATTTACCATAATTGTGCCTATAATTTAATTTAATTGACAATCTTATCTGTTTCATTGTAGATGCAAAAAAAATTAGTGGAACTAAGTCACTGGAAAAAATGAGGGAAACGATAAAGAAGCATTTTCAAGATTCAAAAAACATCATGTTCAAGACTGCTCGAGACGAGATGTTGGACCAGCTGAGAGAGTTAAGGGTTTGTAACATTTTATAATACGTCAAACGATGAGGAAATTTTAAACTTGTTTTGATATCTTTATCTACATTTCTTGGTATTCATCAACATGTGTGTGTATGTATATATATAGATATAGATGTAGATATCTATCTTTGTTGATAGTGCTTTTGGACTAAAACGGTGCAAACGGTGCACGCCACACTTCATATTATTCAGGTTTTAGTGTCTGAAATACATATAATCTGTGAGTGATGAAGATATTTATTATAATTTAGAAAAATATCCTGAAGAACCTGAAAGAAACGATGCAGGAATCAATCGAGCTGTCGCTCAAGACATCCGGTTACTCAATCCCAGGTAAAGGCAACAAAATAAAAACATGATAATCTCTAAAAATACAAAATAATTTCAGCAAATTCCCAAATGTGTAACTAGCAGTGAACTTGATGTTAACATTATGGTTTTTTTTAGATGTTACAGAGGAGCTTGATATGGTGAAGAACCACTATAAAGGACTGAAGGGAAGCGCAGAAGAAGACCAGTAGTTTGGTAAAAGCTGTTAAAATATCTACATAATGACTGCGTAATGAGCTATTCTGATTAACTCTGACGTTGCTTTTCATCACTAGTTCCAGTCCGCTGCTCACCGCCAAGCTGATGAGCAGCTGAAGAGCCCGAAGCCTTGGAGACCTGAGGCCTCTGGATTTGGTCTCAACAGAGGTGTCAAGAAACGAAGTACAAATACCTCGTTACCTTACTTAAGTAGAAATTTTGGGTATCTATACTTTACTGGAGTATTTATTTTTCAGACGACTTTTTACTTCTACTCCTTAGATTTTCACGTAAATATCTGTACTTTCTACTCCTTAATTTAAAAAAAAATCTTCATTACTTCCGGCTTGTCGTCGTTCAAAAACGCACACACAAAAAAAAACGATTTAGATAAATAATGCAACCCGGATAGAGTGAATTTGATTGCGGTTGGATGAGAAGTATAAACATATAACAATCCGACAACCTATTGGTTTTCTACGAAATCACATCAGAGTGACGCCGGAACGGCAGGTGGTCGATTCCTCCGGTGGTGGCACAAAACAATCTCAGTTGGGTGTTTAGTGAGATAGACCCACCTCGTCCTCATACAAGTTCCATGTGTTACCATGTAACGTTAAATGAGTGTCTTCATGACCGTGGGTTTGCCGTAAATGTTTTTTTCTAACTTTATTGAGAATCTGGCGCAACACAGCGACTTGCAAGTAGCGCAGCGTCTTGTAGCAGCTATGTAGCATGCGGATCGATACATGTGTCCCTCTGCTGTCTCAGCGTCGCCTCTCTGAATATCATGTTTCCATCATCCGAACGGCAGGTCACGGGATCTGAAGGCACCTTCCGATCACATTGTAACAGACTGACATGTTTTGTGAGCGAGGTTACACATTAAGAATTTGTCCTTAATGGAATTTCGTTTCCCCCTGTTTCCCCAAAACTTCTACTTTTATAATTTAAGTAGTTTTGAACCCGGTACTTTTATACTTTTACTTAAGTAAAAACCTTGAGTTGATACTTCAACTTGTACAGAAGTCTATTTAAACCCTAGTATCTATACTTCTACTTGAGTAATGAATGTGAATACTTTTGACACCTCTGCGTCTCAACCATTTTTGTCAACTCATCTTTTTACAATTCTCTTTAATGTGTACTTTTAATTAGCTTGTGGTCATAGACATGCATAGCGATTTGAGATTTTCTATGTTCATAGGGCATTTTAGTTTTTAAATGATTAAAGTTTAGTGTGTGTGTGTGTGTGTGTGTTAGCTTGTGGTAATAAACATTTTTCAACAGATTTTCTCTGTTTATGTATCATTTTAGTTATTAAATGACTAAAGTTTTGATGCAGACAAAAATGTGTGCGTGTGTGTGTGTCAAGGGGGAGGGGAGGGGTTAGCTAGGGTGGTTAGTCACACAGGGAGCACTTGCTGTGAGACTTAAATCCATGATGGTTACAATGGATTCCATTCACCGTCCAGTTTTTCAGCAGAGCAAATATAAAAATGCAAGAAACATCCGAAAAAACTGCAGCCCGAAGTATAATTTCCTCACACATATCTACATTATAGTTCCCAAGCATGTTTAGTAACACACAACCAAAAACATGACGATTTAAGATTTAGAATAAAACAATTTAAAAAAGGGAGTGGAATGACGTGGAAATGAAGTCTGTGTGATATCACAGTGAACTAGTGTGTGTACCAATTCCTCAACAAAAATGTATTCAGACGAGTATTATTTTATTTAGAATCTGACCTTAAACGTTGACATGACAGTGGACGATGAGAGAAAACGTACAGAGAATTTGATATGCGTTTGACTCAATCGTCAGTGTTTTGATGTGCATTTCCTGTTGTAGGAGCCTACATTCATTTAAAAGTGCGCCACTGTGTAAAAAAATATATCACCAATGTTGAATCGCACTAAAATGCTTCAGAGTAATGTAAACTCAGCACCATTAAATAAAGAAACAAAAGAACCACATCATGATGATGTTTACCAATGTATTTACTGTAAGTATGGTAGTGAATACAACCATTTGAGTTTCGCACGGTACAATCATAATAGCAGCACAGACTGGACCTGCCTTCAAGACAAGGTTTGTATAGAAAGACTAAAAATATCAAGTTCACAGGTCGGGGGAAGTTGAGTCATCCGTTAACCAAGAGAGTGCTGCTTCTTCAGGCTGTCTGAGCGCCTCACTCTCTCCTCTGGGCTCTTCCTGTAGCAGCTCCTGAGTAGAAAAGGACACTGTCAGACTTTTCTGACATTAAAATTGTAAAGACCCAAATAATGATGTACACTGTTGCCTTTAGCAAGAGGTAAAGAAAGTATTGGAAATTCCGGTTTTCGGTTAACAAAGCAGGACAACCATTTGTGGATAGTTTGCTTATGTGGCGAGCGTGAGGTGGGGGAAGACTGCCCCGATCGTTTATAGGAAAAAGGAAACAAAAAAAAACAGCAACGCCACACTGGGAAAAAAACAACTCCAAACACACACAAGGGCAAAGCAAAAAGAAAGGGAGTGAATGAGACACTACACAAAAGGGGACACCATCACCAAAAAGGGTTCACCAGTGAGGCACTCAGCACCTGGAATCACAAAGAGGGACAGTTAATGGGAGACCGAAAATATATTCAAAAACAATAATAGTTTCAACACAAATCCCCCCAAAAAAGAAAATAATATCAAAATATTATACAGTGTGAACTCAAAGAACTAATCCATTAAATGACCAAAATAATTACAAAATGATTAAGAAAAATCTCCCTTGTCATCCACCTCCTGTTGCTTCAGGTAGCCAAACATAAAATCAATAGAGGACATTAAATGCTGACACCGGGACCTCAATACCCGCAACGCAGCAGCGGGCTATGTCCGTAAAAAGAGGGTTTGTTTTATCCCTACAAAGCAGCAGCACTCCAAAACAGTACGGTTGGATTCGGGGTAGCCGGGTACCGAGCCGTCAGCGTGGCATCGCTCCGGCACCGAAAGGGGAACAAGCCAACACACGCCGTCCGACCTGCGAGCGCCTGCACGTGAACACACGTTATTACTGTGCACGGATGGAAACATTGACGCGCAATACATTACAACATACCTGCACGGTAACACAATTTGCGCAACACTAGAGACAGTGCCGAGCATCTGCAGAACCTGCGGCCAGGTACCCGGAAGAGGAAGGTACGCACCCGTCGACATAGACAGAGAGAGAGAGGGCAGATCTACCGATCCCTCCTTACATGGTAGGCAATTAAAGGGGAAAATACCGCAAATGGGCAGAGCTACTGTGAAAGCAGTCATCCTGCTACACTTATACAAAAAATACATTAGGTCACAAATGAGATGTGAAATGTGCAATCAGGAGAGACTTCAGAGTAAAGGTCCAACGTATAACTTAAGCAAACAGATTTAAGCCAACTAACTTTATTGGGAGACTAACGTACTAGAGCCAAGTGTGTCTTTATCAAAGTGAGAAGAAGTAAGTGTGTAACGTTGCCAAAAAGCATTCCAACATCTTCAGAGTAGTGTGATGAGGAGTCACGTATCTCCACATAAATTACATATGGCAGTTCATGTGAGTTTTGAGAGCAGTTCAGGCACTTTGTGGTTCAGCTGGCCCGCACAGCAGAGTTCTGGCCATAGCCTTCAGAACTCTAGGCATGAAGATAGGATGTATTTGGAGAACTAATCCACTGGGAAATGAAACACAGGACATGTCAGTACAGTACAGAGCTAAGTAACAGAGCACCTGTTAGTAGACGGGCTACCCAAGGTAAGATGGACCTCTGCTGTCTATAGACAGTAAGTACACATGCATACCTGGGCTCTGACTCTCTCCTGCAGGGAGCGATCTTGTGCTGAGCAGGGGCCTCTGTGGAGCTTATAGATCTATGCTTATAAGCACACATATATACAGTACACACTCCTTAACATACCGTCACTAACATGATTCATTTACTGAATGATTGAATTGGTTGTGCACGTCGGTTGTGAAATCTCACCATGATGGTCTGTCGCAGGTGTTTGACCTTCTCCGTTTTGAGCAGTCTGCGAGTGAGGAAGCCACGAATGACGGCTCCAATCCGACAGAAGGCTCTCTGCTGCTCTGCTGTCAGAACCTGGACAACAAGAAGACACAAGTTGAGGGGACTGAGATGGAACTTTGTTAAAAGAGAGAGAGCACTGATTCAAACCTTCACAGTTCACTCTATCAATATGGAATAGAACATAAATTATTGACATCTTGAGTGAACACCAACTTTCAGACTTCAAATCTCAATCCACATTCTATTGATATTAATAGTTGTAGTAGAAAGGAAGAGTGCAAACAATAACAACAATGTCAACACACAAACGGCTTCAATGAAAGAAAAACGAACTGGGAAAATACACGCAGCTGTGCAAATATTTAAATAAGCACCGACTTTTACTTCCTCGTATGAAACCTGTCAAACCTGTTTATGCCTTCATCATATTGTAAAAGGAGTCCGATGTACCCACAGCACCAGAGAGAGAGACTAAACATGAGAGTATATACAGTTATTACCTGCATTCTGCACCATCACCTCTATTTCATTATCATTTATGTTTTTTATGTTTCTATATGTATGTCTTTGTGTAGTTTTTAAAGAAAATCCAAAAATTTGACACACAGAAAATCATACGATTAATCAAGGTACACACACACTTTATTATATATTATATATCCATAAGAACCATTACTTTATTTTTCCCAACAATATTCATACGGAACTATGTGTGTGTGTATGTATATATACACATCGTATGATCCTTTTAATCAACTCTAAAATTAAAATCAAGTATTTAATTGAATTTTTTCCTTGACAAATCCCCTACAGATATTCAGTGAATACTTTACTTATGTGACTATATGTGTGTGTTTGTATATATACACATGATCCTCTAGTTTTTAATCAACTTCAAAATTTAAAGTATTTAATTTAAGTTCTTACTTTTGGTTGTTTTTCGGGTAATTTTTTTCCCTTTTGTTTGCTTTACTTCTAACACTTGCACACTTTTCTGAAAGCTGCTGTTAAACACTTTTTGCAGCAAGATTTTGTATTTAAATATTTTATAGTGGTTTTCTATATTAAAACTGTGGTTTCCAGACCTTTTGTCTTGTACAACTTTATCAAACAGTCGTTCCCTTTTAGGGAGTCGGTTGTTTTTAATAAAGGCATAATTCTTAAGGATATATGCATCATGGGAGGAGTTTCACAAACAAGAATCCCTTCGGTTTCATTTCTTGGGTGGAGTCGGAGAATTTTGCAGAGCAAAGAGAGTTTTACGCCCGCTGGAGTTTGACAAAGCTGAAGGAGTGGCATTGATCCACATCTTTGACCTTCTCGCTGCAGGTAAACCTTAGAATGTATATTGTGTCTTTAAGGATGTTAATCACTGCGGGTGACTCTTATTGACTGTTTGAAAGCTGGAAGATCTTCACCGTAAATAATAAACATTGTCAACATTGTCAACATATTGACAGATCTTTATTATTTACATGGAGTATTACCGAATATTATAATACGGGTAGATGAAATCCAGCATTATGATTGGTTGAGAGTGAGTAACGGGATGTACTTTTTTTAAGCATTGAGGTATTTCTAAATATGAATTATTGAATATGTCTTTGTAAGATCTACACGTAAGGTCTCCGCTTCATTAAACACGACAAACGCCAGTAAAGAGCTGGATATGGCTTTTAAAATCACGAATTTCGTGAGTTTTGTCTTTGTTGATTTTTAAGGAAACGTTGGGGCTTGTGAGCGCTGCGAGCATGTTGCGGCGAAATTCTCACAATAACTCAAATAAATGCCCTGTCAGATATCAAAAAACATTTGGGGGGAATTGATGACAGTGTCACGGTTTGGGTTGGTTTCCGGTTTTATTTTGTAGTTTTCGCCTCTTGTGTCCCTGGGTAACTTCACTTCCTGTCTTGTCCTGTCATCCCATGTGATTGTCTGATTGTTTCCACCTGTGTCCAATCACCTTCACCTCCCTAGTGTATTAAAGCCATGTGTGTCTCTTGTGGTGTCATTGTTGGATGTTCCTGGTTCCTGCCTGCGTTTTTGCCCCTTGGCCTACGGAGTTTTTGACCATTTAAAGTATTTTCGTTAGTGAGTAATTTTTATTCTTAAATATTGATGAATGAAGAAACATTTGTGCTCCAACAGAAGTGGCACTTATTCGGGGGCAAAAGGGCAGGTGCTCGGGCGCCACTAGGGGTCTATCTGTGCACGTGCCCACCGCCCGGTGCTGGAAGAGTCTGACGGTCCCGTTAACTACACCTCAAATCTCTGACATCCACGGAGTTGTTCCGACTCAATACAATTTTTGAACTCTCGAGGACAGAGAAACATATCTTTATTATTTACGTAGAATATTACAGAGGAGTAACATATGGTGATGGTGACTCTCGCTGTATCTGTCCAAACTAAAGAATTGAAAGGAAAGAAAACTGAATTTTTGAAAAACTGGCCTATTATATTGATTGTTATAACTCTTTTATTTTTGAAGTCTATTATTTGGTTGAAGGCGAATGTATTATCAATTTCATTACTGATTAATCTGCTCAACATTTTCTCTTTTAATCAATCTATTGGTTGGTTATTAAAACAAATTCAGACAATAATGTGAATACCTTCACTCATTGGTCCATCAATTTCTTAATGATATTTAAAATGTTTAAACTGTTGCCAAACCTCAAATCATACCTGCAAATCTTTTGCTTTTTTTGGCTAAATTCTTGGCCAATCAGCGTTGAGATGTCTACAGCGTCTTCATTTCCACTCCAATTCTTCATCCTTTTGCTCCAAATTGAAGTTACCGCCGACACTGGATTAATATGATTAATATTACCGTACATCTTTCGCCGTTATCTATGATCTTAAGGAGATCCATTTAAATGGTTGAATCAACCTTGATGGTAAAGCACACATTAGCATTATGCGGGAGCCATAAAATCGTAAAAATGGACTTTACCAAAACAGTAATTTTTATGGCAATTGATTATTTGGATTGTATTTATATAAACTGTTGGATTTCTGCATCTTTTGTATGGATAATTCCTTGAGATTGCTAATAGCAGTTTCATTACTCATTATTTTCATTGAGTGAAATGTGATTCTTGGAAGTTGCAGTAGTAGATTTAAAACATGACTATTTGCTTAACTTACAGTTTCTGTTCGTGATCATGGATGATTTTGTCCGTAAAAAATTAACTGAATGGGGTCTACGCGAGTGGATAGAAAAATTTAAAGGTAAAGTATTACGATCACATTGGCAGGTTCTAACTTCAACAAATCAGAGCATCACAGACTTACTTTACATACACGGGGAAGACGCCTTTGATTTATTATGTTACAGATAAGAACACTGGCATCAAGGGGCGAGCCTTGGAATGTATAGTTACAATATATAACTCACTAGATTAATTTATTACTTAATGATCGAAGACACACTCTTTCCTTCCTCCACACAGCTGTTATCATGAATAAATCAAATCAAAGAGGGGAGGTGTTTGTGTGTCTTTTGTTCAGTTATCTTGGTGCCTTGGAACTTAATTTGGACTATTAAACTCATGATCAGCTTTAGACAGTTAACCGTACAAAACATTATGGCATAATTATATTTTACTATTATACCATGAAACATGCCTTCAATGTTTGAGTGTAATATTTGCAATTCATCAGAGAATACAAAAGCACCAAAGACAAAAAGACATTTTAATGGAACACATTTATTAAGCCAAGTAACCGCTTGTTGGTATTTTGTAATTTATTTTTGCTTGACTAAGAAATAATTTAATTGCAGAAGAAGGCCTTACCAAGGAAAGTTTTTACTCTCTAGAGGATCAAGAAATTGCTGAATTGATCCGGAAAGTGGGACCACGGTCCATTTTCAAGAAGAGACTGAAGTTGCTAATGGTAATGTTCTGTACTGTAAACAGAACTTACACAAATACTTTATACGTCATTTATATAGGAGCACATAATTCATGACACATAATTGATAATAATATCTAATAACAATTATAGCATGTGCTTGAATTTTAACATTAATAACATTATTATTAACATTATGGATTTACAAGGAACAAAACACATCAAATCCAGATACATCTGACGCGTCTGCTCAAGTAAGTGGAATGAAGTTTCAAGCACTCTGGTATTATAAGACATTTATTATGAATATTTATTTTAAAACCCAAATGTCCATGTTCACCCTCAGGTCATTCCGTCCACCAGTGGAACAAGTAATGAAGGTGAGATGCTTTATCTTATTGGTTACATGTTGTGTTCATTGAGTTTTTTAACATCTTGCTTTGACTCAGCAACAATATCGAGACCTTGTCTTAATATTGTGAGAGGCGGATCCAACAAACATTTCCACCTAACCTAACCAAATATCCCCAATAAGGAAAGAGAAAGTCTGATCTCCAGGGCGAGTCCAATCAACAGCAATCACCGACTAAGAAACAACGTCTTGCCAAAGGACCAGGAGCCTACTCAGGTATTTAGTACTTTCCAAACAATGACAACCTCCATCTTACCAAAGGGGTTAACATTTCTATGTAATAACATTTTGACTTAGTTTACTTACACAGCAAATGTCTGTTCCTAGATGTTGGTGACTAATAATGCTGCTCAATGTAATCTTACCAGACAACCAATCAAAGTAAAGACCCTAACTGTGGCCTTTAACTGTATGATGTTTTAAGAGCAAGACCAGGGTTTATCCTTTGATAATATACCAAGGCCTACCTTGATGATCCACTCTGGAGCATTCTAAATGGACCTGACAGAGAAAGTTCATCTCATTTTTTAGCTTTCTTGCCTCATCGTGCATTACAGCTTATTCAACTCACTGGTTTCAGGGTTTCCTGCTGTTCTTTATATTTACTCTAACAGAAGAAGAGACACTGACTAAGGTGAAAGAGATACTTACACAGCAAATGTCTGTTCCTAGATGTTGGTGACTAATAATGCTGCTCAATGTAATCTTACCAGAAAACCCCAGTCAGTCAACACACATGCAGGTATCCATAGCAACGCTATGCTTCAAAGTAAACAACCTGTGGCCTTTAACTGTATGATGTTTTAAGAGCAAGACCAGAGTTTATCCTTTGATAATATACCAAGGTAAATGGACCTGGCAGAGAATGTTCATCTCACACTTCATTGCGCATTACTGCTTACTCAACTCACTGGTTCACGGTTCCTGCTGAATAATTCTTTATATTCACTCTGACAGAAGAAATCATACAGGCTCATGTGAAAGAGATAATGGGATGTGTCCTAAAGAAAATACCTCACCAAGGAATCCTCCTGAGGTAAGAATTATGTTTTTCATTACAATTTTTACATCAATATTGTCAGGGATGTTGTGTGGGGAAAAAGGCAGGACTCTAATGCAGAGTTTGCGGGAAACAAAAAGGACTTTAATAGTCATAAACTCCAACAAACAAAAGGCCAAGGGGCAAAAAAGCATACAGGTACCAGGGGCAAAAAAAAAAAGGCAGGCAGGAACGAGAGACATCCAGGACGATTGACAGGGACATCCGTGACAAAAGACAATGACGCCACCAGTGACAGGAGACACACACCGCTTAAATACACTAGGGAGGTGCAGATGATTGGACACAGGTGGAAACAATCAGACAATCACAGACGATGACAGGACAAGGCAGGAAGTGAATTTACCCAGGGAGACAAGAAGCAGAAAACTACAAAATAAGACAGGAAATAAAACCAAATAACAAATATGTTATCTGGGCTTGGTTCCACTTCAAGGGCTGATTTCACTAAGACATTTAAGACTTGCAGGCCATTAGGGGTCCCGCTGTCCGTAAGTATGTCCATTTTCACAAATGTCTTGAAGAAAATCATTGACAATTTCAGACAAATATCAATCTAAAAAAGAAAAAACATTTGGGAAAATCTTCAATGGAAACTATAACTTGACTGTTTGCCTGAGGGATTCAGTCGTGAGGCGGCAATCCTAGTTTTCTATGGGGAAAAAAAATCCAAATTTACCAAAAATTGACAGAAAATTATAGTAATTCTACTGAAGAAGGTGGAGACCTGTTCCTAGATGGATCAACTTCTGATCTTGACACATTGTTTCAATGTTTTTATGTTTTTTAAACCCACACTTGTCTACAACAGGAGTAAAATCTGTGATTTGAAGACGGAGAAGAGGGAGGTAGTCGGTGTCTTTGGCAAAACCGGAGCTGGAAAGAGCTCTTTGATAAATGCCGTCATTGGATTGAACAAGTTCTTGCCCTCTGAAGGCATCAGGGCATGTACGTCAGCCTTGATTAAAGTGGAGGCTAACATGCAGAACTCAAAGTACGAGGCAATCATTGAGTTTATTACAAAAGAGGTAAAAATGTGCTTTGTATGTTTGTTTACTTAAGTTATTTGACCTATTTTTAAAGGAATGATGTGGCTTTGTTGATTACACATCATGCTTTTTAATTTAACAAAGTTAAATGTTTTTTTTTCTATTTCATTTAGGAGTGGAAATATGAGTTGTGGTGCTCAAAAAACTTCCCGCGGGTAAATGAGGAAGATGACACAGAATATAGGGACATTGTTGTAAAGCTGTCAGCGCTGTATGGAGAAGACTGGAGAGAGAAATCTCCTGATGATCTCATGAATGTCAAATATTTCAGAGAGATCCCAGAATTTCTCCATTCCAAGAAGAAGATTTTGACAGCTGATGAAGTAAGACTAAACAAAAAGCCTTCTGTTGTGACTGACAATAGTTTGACAAATGTAAAAATAAAATCAGAATGTGATTCTTTCTACTTAGAGTGTCCAAATGTACCTTTCATAATCATGAAGACGTTTGTGTACCAGTAACTAAATACATTTATGGTATATAACTATGGATTTCAACACAAATCTGATAAATATGCAATTCTTTTTTTACAGCTGATAATTTTTGTTTAAATCAACAACTCTAGAGTACCACAGTGATCAGTACTTATCCCTGACTTTTTCACTACATTGAAAAAATAAATATTCTCTTGCTAAATAAAGACAAAGCTGAGGTGATGGTCTTTGGTGCCCTTAATGAAGGATATAGAATAATTGCTCTCCTTAACTCTTTCTCATGTAAAGTTACTCATCAAACTGGAGGTTGCCAATGGTCAAACATCAAATCCCAACACAGGTCAACATGAAACATGTCAAAATTGCCTAATGCTACAATGATAAAGATACTTACTATACCTGATAATCTAACTCACAGTCAACTTCTAATCATCATTAATTTTACATTCATTTCTGCTTTAGTATCAAATATTTTATCACCAAAAGCTTGCTTTTGCTTCTATTGTTTTATTATTGTATGATGTTTTGTTTTTTTTAAATTGCAATTAGTAAAGTTTAAAGTTTGAGTCTGTGGTTTCGAGTGAAATCGCCTGACGTTGCCTTGATCTCATTTTACGGTTTATTGCAGGCCAAAGAGCTACCTGAAAAATTCATGAGATACACAAGAACCAACCCAGATGACACAGAAGACAAAGGCGTAAAGAGGTGGTATTGGCCGCTAGTGAAGTGTGTGACCATCAAGGTGCCAAACACTGATCTTCTTAAGCATGTCACACTCGTGGATCTTCCTAGAAATGGGGACAGTAACAAGAGCAGAGACAAGATGTGGAAAACGGTAATTTATCACATGCAATGCTTTTTATTGTGTGTTACTGTGTTGTCTACAAACGGTGACTTTGTATGATTACAAAGTGCTGATAACCATCATAATAAACTTTTGTACAACTTTCGTATAAACTGTCGTATCCGTTCAGGTGGTTGGAAGTTGTTCCACTATCTGGATCGTGACTGACATTAACCAAGCTGCATCAGACAAAGAAGCCTGGGATATCCTGAAGGATGCCTGCAGATACATGGGAAATGGTGGCCAGTGTAATCAGATTCACTTCATCTGCACACAGTCTGATCTTCATCCAGATCCTAAAGATACGTAAGTGATTTAAGATTCCAAAAGTACAAATACATATATGTTAAAGGTATTAGAAGGAATTTGTAAGTGGTTATGAAACAGTCTCAATAATAATTCTGATGCCTCTAAATGACCAAAATTCGAAATTGAGACCATCACCATGAAAATGTTGATTTTTTTACATTCATTTTTAATTCTGCACATCATTTTTAGTCATTTCTTCCTTGGAAATTCCTTTCAATATCAATAACTTCTTCTACAGTCAACACAACTAATCAATCTGAAATAGTATTCTGTAACTTCTTCTTTATTATTAACAACTCACCTAATTTCCCAAAAACATTTCATTGAGATCGCAGAACTTAAAATTAGTGTGATGCATTGGTGGATTCGATAGTTACAGCTACAGATTAAAAAGAGATTTAGACTTTTATTTAGGATGCAGGAACTAAGGTGAATTTAAGGTTTCAGTTCTCCAAAAACTGTTTGAGGTGGAAATTAATGCGGATTGTTTCATTTAGTTCAAAAGCTGGTATTCATGCTTTCATCTTGAAAAGAAACCATCAAGCCAAAAAAGAAGTGATAAAAGAATTTAACCAACTAAAGGAGGTTAAGGTGAGTATTGTAGTATAACAAAGTTTATCACAAATTGTCAGCAGCTACAAGCTCAACTTAAAACCAGAACGTTTTGTTTTCAGAAACACTTCAGTGAGGAAAGTTTCAAAGTCTTCACAGTGAGCTCCGTAGAGTTTCTGAATCAGAAATATCTAAATTCCGAACAAACTGGTAGGTGAAGTCTCCATATATAAGCACATTTTTCATTTACTTTCCGGTAACACAACAATTTTTTTTACAGAAATACCCAAACTTCAGAAGTTCCTGCAGGAGCTCAATGACTGTCACAAAGAGACGTTGAACTACGTGTCCGGAGCCCTCGGGATCCTCTCTCTGATTCAAGGGGCCAGCCGCAGAGGACGGGTAAGATCAAGTGATCACATCTCTTTTTTTGACTTTAATCATCATTCATATTGACAGAATATAACGATAAAACACTGTAAGTAAAAAACATCTGTCCTAAATGTGTTCCAAACATACATTTTACCAATCAAGTCAGTTGTTTTCCTGAATTGTTTTGCTCCTGAACCAAAGTCATTTAACGGCGGTCTTGCTGAAAATTAAATTTCATTGCTTTAAATTCTGAATGTGCTGTCGTTTATTCCAGGCTGAGGTAAAGAAAGATGTGTGCACAACCCTTGAAATAAAGATGAGAGATGAACTTGATAAAGTCGGGAAACAAATGGAAGAAACTTACCAGGCTTTTCAAAGTTCCCTCACTGAGGGAGTTGAAAAGTCTGAACGTTCCTGTGAAGACACCTTGAAGTCGGTGATATACCCTGTAAGTATATAAATTATAACTACATAATTATAACTAGATCATTATTAATACATCATTACAACGCTTGTTGCACTTCACGATTTTAAAATATATATTGTTTTCTGTTTTGTTTCAGAGAGGGCCAGGAGGTGGTTTCCACAAGACACTGAAGTCTTTAGTAAAGCACAACGGCATCTACTACGCAGAAAAAACAAATCAAGAAAAGAAGAAACAAATAAACCTGAACATGGCGTTATCTTCATACCTGACTGAGAGCATCGATGAGAAATTCAAGGAGACCTTCCCGTAAGAAATAACTTAATAAAGACATAAACCCTGTGCAGGCTGGTTGTACAAACTATCCCTGGAATTAATAGTTCATACATTATGCAGTAATAACAGTTATGTGATATAATACATACATTTATATTACATTATTTAAACACAAACTTATCAATGCTGTTCATGAAACATTTCAACTTGTTAACATGTTTCAGAAATGAAGTAAATTGTGGACCATTCAACGGAAAACTCAATTCATTTTCACTTGACACAAAGACGATGAAAATGAATCCAGAGTACAAAGATGTGGAACTTCAACTGGAGTTTCTCAATGCAGAGGTAAAGGAAGAGAAGTGTACCATTAGTCCACTGTGTAGCTGTTAGTGCAGGTCAGAAAGGCCGAAGTAGAAGGGTGAGAAGAGAGGAGACACAAGAGGAGCCTTATTATCTTGATTGTATTCAAAATATGTGGATCTTTTCATTTTCTCACTCTCAGGAAATTAAGATGAAGAACAAACTCATCGAAATCATTCGCGACCGCAAGAAAAGGATCTACAGCAGTCTGATGACAACAGTTGAGCAATCAATGCAGAAATGCTATGACGGTACGATAAAAGATCTGGACATGTAAAACCTGACACTGTCAGGTTTTGACACTGTCAGGTTTTACATGTCATTTACCATAATTGTGCTTAATGTAATTCAAATTTAATTGACAAACGTTTTCTGTTTTATTGTAGATGCAAAAGGAATTAGAGGAGCTAACTCATTGAATAACATGAGAGAAAAGATGAAGAAGCACGTTCATGATTCAAAAAACATCATGTTTAAGAATGCTAGAAAGGTCATGTTGAACCAGCTGAGAGACCCCCACTGGTTTGTATATTGATGTTTTCTGATTTTGCTTTTGCACTAAAACGGTGCTCGCCACACTTCACCCTTTACATTATTCAGTTGTTAGTGTCTAAAATACATATATTTTGTGAGTGATACAGATATTTATAATAATTTAGGAGTACATCCTGAAGGACCTAAAAAAGACAATGCAGGAATCAATCCAGCTGTGGCTCAAGACAGACGGTTACTCAATCCCAGGTAAAGGCAACAAAATGAAAACATGATACTCTAAAAATACAAAATATTTGTCAACAAATTCTAATTGTGCGATTAACTGTGATCTTGATGTTAACATTGTTTTTTCTTTAGATGTTACAAAGGAGCTTGATACGGTGAAGAACCACTATGAAGAACTGAAGGGAAGCGCAGAAGACGATCAGCAGTTTGGTAAAAGCTGTTAAAATATCTACATAATGACTCCGTATTGAGCTGTTCTGAATAACACTGACGTTGCTTTTCATCACTAGTTCGTCCGCCAAGCTGCTGAACAGCTGATGAGCAGCTGAAGCGCCCGAACCCCTTGGAGACGTGAGGCCTCTGGATTTGATCTCCATTTTTATCAACTCAACTATCAAATCTTATTACAATTCTCTTTGATGTGTACTTTTAATTAGCTTGTGGTCATAGACATGCATAGCAATTTGAGATTTTCTATGTTCATAGGGCATTTTAGTTTTAAAAACGATTAAAGTTTAGTGTGTGTGTGTGTGTGCGCGCGAGCGCGCAGGATTTCACATTGTGGTTTAAGACTACAACTCTCAGCCACCAGTCCACATTACCAGTTTAATGATTTACATTTTACTTCTTGACTATATAGCTTTAATACTTAAGTTTTCTGTCCAATTTTTAATTGTAGTTTAGCAGTTGATTGGTTTTGAAATGAGAATGATTTTATGGTTATTTTAACATACATCCTGAACCTTGGTCTCAGCGTGTACTGTGTGTTTGATTTTAGACTTTTTAAAGATTTTTTCATTCATTTTAAAAGATAAAACTTGCTTACTTCAAAATAATGTTTTCTAAATGTGTCAATTCATGTATCAAAAATTGGATGGAACTAGATGATTGTAATCAACCATAATTTAGTGAATAGTTGTATTGTATTGATATACCTTCTACGTGCACTAATAGTATCATTTTGGTGAGTAAGCTGCTGTTAGAACAATTTATAACAGTTATAACAATTTTAATTTCAACACGCGAACAGAATTGTTGAAGAGAAACAAGCAACTAGGTCAAAGGAAATGTTTGCACAATACAACGCAGACTGAGAAGTCAAAATTTGGAATACAAATTTTCCGTTGCTTTGCATACTTCCTTGTTTTACATTATGTTTGCATTTGTTCCTCGGGTACAGCATGTTTTTTTGGGTGTGTCCAAACTAAATATGCCTCTATTGATGAACCCAGCCTTGGTCAAACAAGGTAAACTTAGTTTACTTAGAGATGTACTTAAAATAAATACATCAACATATCCTTTGCGATAAAATAGAAAAATACCAGTGCATACTGTATATGTTCTTTACGTTACTGCAGTACGTATTCTGATGTAACATTGTGGATAAAAGTCTATTGCACTGAAATGTGGTTTTAAAAACTTCTAGGGTGGTTAGTCACACAGGGAGCACTTGCTGTGAGCCTTAAATCCATGATGGTTACAATGGATTCAATTCACCGTCCAGTTTTTCAGCAGAGCAAATGCCTGAAGAAACATCTGAAAAAACTGCAGCCAGAAATATAATTTCCTCACACAAATCTACATTGTAGTTCCCAAGCATGTTTAGTAACACACAACCAAAAACATGACGATTTAAGATTTAGAATAAAACAATTTAAAAAAGGGAGTGTTATCAAACATCAAGACACTGAATACTAATGACGCGGAAATGAAGTCTGTGTGATATCACAGTGAACTAGTGTGTGTACCAATCCCTCAACATTTTTAGAATCTGACCTTATACGTTGACATGATAGTGGACAAAGAGAGAAAACAAACAGAGAATTTTATATGCGTTTGACTCAGTTATCTTGGGTGTTGTTGTGGCGCAGGGGGTTGGTGGTTTGAGTCCCGACTGCCCCTTGTCCCATGTCGAAGCGTCCCTGAGGATAAAAACGTCAGCGAAATGACATGTAATGTCTCATTCATCAGTGTTTTGATGTGCATTTCCTGTTGTCGGAGCCTAAATTCATTTAAAAGTGCGCCACTCTGTAAAAAAATATATCACAAATGTTGAATCGCACTAAAATGCTTCAGAGTAATGTAAACTCAGCAACATTAAATAAGAAGAAACGAAAGAACCACATCATGATGATGTTTACCAATGTATTTACTATTAGTATGGTAGTGAATACAACCATTTGAGTTTCACACGGTACAATCATATTAGCAGCACAGACTGGACCTGCATTGAGGCAAAGTTTGTATAGAAAGACTAAAAAATCCAGTTCACAGGAAAGTTGAGTCATCCGTTAACCAAGAGAGTGCTGCTTCTTCAGGCTGTCTGAGCGCCTCACTCTCTCCTCTGGGCTCTTCCTGTAGCAGCTCCGGAGTAGAAAAGGACACTGTCATACATTAGATCACGAAAGCAAACATCTTCAGAGTAGGTGGAGGTGGAGTCACGTATCTCCACATAAATTACATATGGCAGTTTATGTGAGTTTTGAGAGCAGTTCAGGCGCTTTGTGGTTATGGTGGAACTCGTCTCACCCCTGGTGGTTCAGCTGGCCCGGCACAGCAGAGTTTTGGCCTTGACTAGGCTTCAGGACTCTAGGCATGAAGATAGGATGTATTTAGAGAACTAATCAACTGGGACATGAAACACAGGACATTTCAGTACAGATAGAGCACCTGTTAGTAGACGTGCTCTTTGGCTTCTGCTGCTTCCTTCTGGCTGTGGACGGGGATTCACTGACCCTGGAGGAGTATCAAACACATACACACAAACACAAAAACACTGCTGATCCCTGAATCTCATCACCAAAAACATTGCCATTGAAAACCAGATTGCATCTACAATGTGAGGCTGTGTTCCTCTTTCCCACCTTACCTTTTTTTTCTGTCCAGAGACCTCTGTGTGGCAGCAGACAGAACCACTCTCTCCTTGGGGCTCTTGGCTTTCTGCTTCTGAGAACGTCAGCAAGGATCATAGTTTGTGAACGAATCACTGCCACTCACAGGATGAGACAAGGAACATGACTGTCTGGATTTATAGCTCTCTAAACATTACTAAAAGGATCCAGACGAATACTTTAATAAAGTTAATTTTAAAGTTCATAGTGAAAAGATATGTGTACTAAAACGTCTTTCTGTTCAAATATTAGTATGTGATTGGTTGGTTGGCAGGTTACCATGTCTCGCAGCTTCCTCTCTGCTCGTAGCTCCCTGTCCTGATGCAGCAATGCTAATCGATCCCAGAGAGGCATTTCAAAGAAGATATCATGGATGTCATATAAGGCCGCACGTAACTGAGGGTCAAAAGATGCACAAATAAACACAAGGTAAGATGGACCTCTGCTGTCTATTGACAGTAAGTACACATGCATACCTGGGCTCTGACTCTCTCCTGCAGGGAGCGATCTTGTGCTGAGCAGGGGCCTCTCTTCTGTGGAGCTTCTGTCTGGAATGAACGGATGAACTCCTGTGTATCCTAAGGACACATATATACAGTACACACTCCTTAACATACCGTCACCAACATGATCATTAATTTACTGAATGATTCAAATGGTAGTGCACGTCGGTTGTGAAATCTCACCATGATGGTCTGTCGCAGGTGTTTGACCTTCTCCGTTTTGAGCAGTCTGCGAGTGAGGAAGCCACGAATGACGGCTCCAATCCGACAGAAGGCTCTCTGCTGCTCTGCTGTCAGAACCTGGACAACAAGAAGACACAAGTTGAGGGGACTGAGTTGGGACTTTGTTAAAGGAGAGAGAGCACTGAATCAAACGTTCATAGTTCACTGTCAATATTGAATAGAACATAAAATATTGACATCTTGAGTGAACACCAACTTTGAGACTTCAAATCTCAATCTACATTCTATTGATATTAATAGTTGTATTAATGTCAATAGTTATAATATACTTTCTGATAACCAAGCCAGATCCCAACATGTGTAACATGCAATAACACACACCCTCTTGTCTACTTGTGCACACCTACCAGACTGAGCCTCGCTCGAGGTTTGCTACCTGCCCATGTTGGACTCCACAGATAAACGGGAGGCTGGAACGAAGGCGAGGACACACTGGAACTCACGGGACTGGGAAAACCTGGAGATATAAACATAATCTAAATGTAATTTTTTGAGCCTCCATACACACGCTGAATTCACATTGAGCTCTTTCTCCAGTTGGTCTTGTACAAATGGGGACGGAAGTGTTGTCCGAATAGAAGTAATACTCAGAGTTAATACACCACAATACTATTATTGTCTTTTCTGAACACGGTTTCACAGACAACAACACAGTATTAGGTGAGCATGGTTAAGTGGTACCTGTACTGTGTCCAAGTGATGACTCAGATGGTGTGTGAGCAAGGTTTAGTCCTGGGCAGGAAGGGCTGTCCCTCACAGACATCAAATTTGACCCACAAGCACCCTTACACAAAGGCCGCATACACCCGTGCTCCTTCAGTCTTCTATCCGACTCCTCGAGCTCCTGGACACCATGTGTATGGGGGAGACAAACACGTCAGTGCTGTTACCTCAACCAAAGAGTTCACATTTTAACGTTGCAACTATAAAGAATGCGTGTCCATGCGCTGACCAGACAGAGGTGCTGTTGCTCTTTCTCCTGCTCAGCCAGGAGGAGACACATCTGCAAGGAATGCTCCTCCTCCAGACACCTTTGCATGTCCTCCAGAGCCAGTGCTCGCCTCTGGGTCTCCTCTGTTTATTTGCACGAAAAAATACTTAATTTTTTTTCTCTTACTTTGAAGGTGTGAAAGAAACTATGATGAGTACAAATTCCACATTTCCACTATGTGGGGTTCAGTAAATTGTTCGGGAGGGACTCACCCGTCTTGTTGGCTTGTGCTTCAGCTGCATTTCTGAGGACAGTTGGTGTGAGCCTTCCATTGTTTGTCTCTTGAGGGTCATCAGCCTCCATTCTGAGTGTGGCCTGAGCCAAGTCAGAAGCCGTGCAGGGCAGAGATGGGGAGGGGTTCTCTACTTTACACGACTTGTTGAAGGAGGCTCCACATGTGCGCCAACTTGGAGCCATACACGTAACTCCTGCCATGAAACGAGGAACCCTTTCCTGGCTGCGGTCTACGTGCTCAACTCCAGAGTGGTGGTTATGCAGTTGGCCGTCCAAAGTGTGGCAGCGCCGGCGAAATCCTGCCGCCAGATGGTCAAGCTGTCCCTTTGTGCCGAACACTGCGGCACTAATGGGTCTAAAGGGCTCCTGCGATGGACTGGTACCACAATGGCTGGATCGGCGATTGCCACTGCTAACAGCATCACGTTCACTCCCCAATGAGCCGCTGGGACTTGGGACTTCTCCCCAATCTGCCATGCCAGCAACTACCCCTGATCTTACAGGACTTGGAGGGATAAGGTCTGCTGGGCCGATGGGGAAGGAAATATGGATGTTTCCTGTAGAAACTGGCCGTGGTTTACGTTTTTGTGCACGGGGGCTAGTGCTGGACTGTGGGCTGGGGAGACGAGCATACCTGCCGGGTAGAGGAGGCGAGAGGCAGCAGGACTGTTGGGGACTGGGGTCACAGAATGTCTTATACTGGATTTGGGTCTGAGGTTGGCCAATGGGGCTATGGTGCAGACTGAATCCAAACTGAAAACCTGCGTCCCTCATTGGACTGCAGCTCTTCTTCTCCTTGTCAGAGATGGTCTCTGGCAGGGGAGTCCTGCTGACTGTGTGGACAACATTTGACTCCTGCTGAGTCTGCTCTCTCTTCACATACTCCCTTGATCTCTTAAGAAGACTGTCCAAACTAATATCCTCCTCTTCTTCCTCGTCTTCCTCCTCACTTTTCTCTACCCTCTCCGTCATCACTTCCTTCACCGCCATGTAGCCATTAAGGATGGGAATCTCAGAGCATGGCTGTTGATTTGTCTGAAGTCCAGGGTCTCTAGGAAGTCCAGGAGAGTCTGTGATCAAGGTGTAGCCACTGACCGCTGTGGATTTAGAAGCTGGCAGCTTTTCAGCGTCTTCACTTGGTACTTTTTGTGCCTGTTTAGAGGCAATAAATTGTGATTACCAAACATCAAATAATTTTAATAATTAAAAGCAAAGATAAAGGATGAGTATCTGATGGAAGGATATTCGCCAAACAACAATAGCGTAAAGCAGTTTATTACAGACATATAGACAATGAAATGTTAAGAAATATCGGATAGTCCAGTGTTTGTTCTCAACCAAATGCCATGTGCCTAAACTGAAAAAGTAACTTAAATGATCTAAAACAACTTCAGACTTTAGAATCAACTGAAGTACTTTTAACGTTAGGCTTGATATTAATCCAGACATCTTAATAAATTGCCCAGTCTGGAATGTTATTGTTGAAAATACACATCCTTTGGGTGTGGTACAAACACATCACAAAGACAGTAAAAATAGCACAGCCTGTCAGAGACAGTGTTGAATCAGACAACCTGTATCTAAGTCTGCAAATGACGCTAGAGATTCTGGGACATACTGTAATTTAGTTTTTGTGCTACATCCTGGGACTGACACACAGTCCTTATATTCATATCTAAGAAATTTAGATAAAGGGATATTGTGAAACTAAATAAAGAGGCGTGATGTTTTATTTCCTGAGCAGACAGTGGCAAATCTATGTTGTATGAATCTTGTGAGCATTTGGATGTGCTATATGGATTTTGCTATATCGTCCTTTTTCCATTAAATCCTGACAGTGACCACATGTTGTTACCCAGGACCACACCGTGCTACTGACCTGAGCTTGATCCAGGATACCCTGAACCCGGGCCATAAGGATTTTCTTCTGCATGTTCTGCCTGTCCACCTCCAGCTGGACCGCCTTCTGTCTGTGGTCACGCATCTCACTACGCTGCTCTGCACTCAACTGGGGAAAAGAAAATACACATTACATCATGAGGAAAGATGATTCAAGAACTTGTTATTATTTTCAATACACAAAAAATATTTCATTCGGTTAATTTCTGATCTATTTTCAGTTATTGCCTATAATACGATTACTTTTCTTCCACTGGCAGCTAATGTTTGTGTCTCGTTTGTGTCACATTACACTTGTTATCATGTGGCTATTCCTGAGAACTATTGGATTGATTCTCCTGATTATCAAATAGTCTTGATGTTCCTGATAATAAATTATGTCCACTCTCTTTCCGCTGCTAACTGCTGATCTAATAGAAACGACCCAGCCCCCCAATGCTTTAGATACATTATGTAGGTCTAAGAAATGAATGGGTTTCACCCTAAATGTCACTGTGCATATACATCTGAGGTTTATGGATGAAATATGTATCATAACGTCCTTCTAAATACTCTATGTTTTATGTTACTGTGCAGTATAGGAAAAAAACACACCCGGATTGTGACGGAAATACGGATTTTCGAAAGAAACCAACCAAACAACACATCATTAGAAAGCAGAAGATCAATAACATTTATGTTTTTGTTCCCATATAATTTCCCATATCTATGTTTATTTCCTCCTCACCAGTGGCGACAGCACCGGTTTCCCATGAAAGCAAATCGTAGAGAGAGCCGTCAGGGACCACAACGGGTCACTTGTTGTCTTCTTGAAAAGCCCTTCCTCCTGCAGTACAGCCAAACTCCGCAGACAGAACTCCTCATAGCCTTCCATCTCTGGACACCCACGCATCCACACTAGGAGACAGACACCATGTAGCCTCGTCACCCAGCTGATTAAATAAAGAGTGTTAGTCAGTGGACAAGTGAGGTCACGATGCACTGGGTGAGCAAATAATCTGTCATGTATGGAAGAGCAGGGCAAATAGCTGCACAACAAAAGCGGTTCTGTCTGTGCTAAACGTTTTTATCACACTCATCACATTCCTGTCATTCCTTCCTATCAGACCTCGTTAGAGAGCCGTTTCCGTTTCCGTGTCCTTCTGAAATGCATCTGGAATCATGTGTCTTATCAATACAGTGTCCATTACTGCACGTCAGCAAATGGATGGCACGGACCATCACATGCAAGTTGGTGCACACTGGGTGTTGGCGCACATCTGTATGGATGACCACCCAATTTCAATGGAAGCTGCTTTGCGATCAGTGTCGTTTACTCCACTCCATCTCTAAAAAAAGATCACTCCCTCGGCGAGGTTTGAATTCGACCCGGAGTCCTTGCGATGCTGGTGGGTAACCTGGTGGTCTCCGTTGGCCGGGTTACAGTCGCTACCGATTCATCACAGCCTGGTGACCGGGCGGTGGAGGTGGGAACGGGTGCCTTTGGGTAACGCTGTCCTGCTATCACGGAGCACGCTTGCTACCCTATGCTTCTAATATTTCATCCAAGCGATGCTCGAACTCACGGCGTGTTTTGAAACCACAGAGATGTTTTAGTCCAGATGTGCCCCGGCAGGGTGACGGTTGATGAGGTTATAAACCCGTGATTATTGCTCGATTCTTACCTTCAAAAAAGAGTGCGGGAGAGGGTTGTTTCCTTTTCTTTCTCCCGAAGGCTGGAGGGTAGGACACAAATGTATGCCGCAGGGAAACATCAAAGAGCGGCTACAACACGAACCCTGTGTTTCTCCTTCAATCTCGGGTTGACCATCATCATCAATTCCAACTCTTCCGGGCTTCCAACAGCGCCTCCTAGCAACAGCGCTGTGGGCTGCGTTCCAACACGCTCAACGCGACCTGTTCATAGTACTGTTTTCACTAATTTCCTTCCAATGTTAACACTTTTACCCACGCGACAACAATTGAATGGTTAAAAACGTTTAATGAATTAGTCTTGTTCACATATGTCGAGAAAGAGGAAAGTAAGGGGCAGCAAGAGGACTGTTAGAGATATGGAACGAGGCCTTTGTCGAACAATTACGTCGTTATTCAGATCTAAAATCACTTCGTTTCACATATTGTTTAATTGCTCATCTCAGGCTTAAAACCACAGATTCCGTTGACTACCCATATTACACTATAAATGGTGTACAGTATAATAATAAGACAATTTAAATTAGCAATTTTATGTCTGGTAATGATATTTGGAATCAATTTTGGAATGCTTACAGTTTAAGACGAAATACTGATAATTGAGAGTGCAGTTTCACATTGTACTATCTGATATTGCGTCTCAAGATTACGTATTCCTGAAGAAACCAAGACAAAAAAGTGAGGAAACCAGCAGAATTTAAGTGTTCTATTTACTTACTGCGGTCCACATTATCAGGCTACAGAGGAAGAAGGTAGCATATAAGCATTAGACTAATTAGGATTTTCATCATATGTCACTGTAGACCAAATACACAACCAACAAGCTAGGAAAGAACAGCATACATCTGCGCTCTCATGTTCACTTTAACACAATGTTGAAGGAGTCATGTCAAATCACCATCATTCCACAGATGACTGGGTTCCAGTTTTTCAGGTTTTCTCCAGCTGCTCATAGACATTCCTGCACTGGGGTCTGACAGTACTGTGCATTCAAAATACACATTATATCTTTAGCTATAGGATCAGGGAAAAGGGTTAAAGGCAAATATTCAAAGCAACATCTGAATTATTTTGAGAAATTTTAATACAAAAATATTAGTAAACAGAGTACTGATAATTGATTGGAGTGTTCTAGCATTGAGATATGTCGCTACTATGTGCACCTAATGAGCTGAATTTCAATGAAGTCATGATATTAGTTTATTTTCTTCAGTACTGTGAATCAATATTATTCATATATTGGTTAATATGTTCCTAAAACATGTTCTCTGCTCTCTCTTCACATACTCCCTTGATCTCTTAAGAAGACTGTCCAAACTAATATCCTCCTCGTCTTCCTACTCTTCCTCCTCACTTTTCTCTTCCCTCTCCGTCATCACTTCCTTCGCCGCCATTAAGGATGGGAATCTCAGAGCATGGCTGTTGATTTGTCTGAAGTCCAGGGTCTCTAGGAAGTCCAGGAGAGTCTGTGATCAGGGTGTAGCCACTGACCGACGTGGATTTAGAAGCTGGCAGCTTTTCAGCGTCTTCACTTGGTACTTTTTGTGCCTGTTTAAAGGCAATAAATTGTGATTACCAAACATCAAATAATTGTAATAATTAAAAGCAAAGATAAAGGATGAGTATCTGATGGAAGGATATTCGCCAAACAATAAGAGTGTTAAGCAGTTCATCACTGACATATAAACAATGAAATGTAAAGAAATGTCTGACAGTCCAGTGTTTGTTCTCAACCAAATGCCATGTGCCTAAACTGAAAAAGTAACTTAAATGATCTAAAACAACTTCAGACTTTAGAATCAACTTTTAGCGTTAGACTAAGTTATGTCAAATCACCATCATTCCACAGATGACTGGGTTCCAGTTTTTCAGGTTTTCTCTGGCTGCTCATAGACATTCCTGCACTGGGGTCTTACTGTGCACTCAAAATACACATTATATCTTTAGAAATAGGATCAGGGAAAAGGGTTAAAGGCAAATATTCATAGCAACATCTGATTTTATTTTAGATATTTTACTACAAAAATATTAGTAAACAGAGTACTGATAATTGATTGGAGTGTTCCAGCATTGAGATATGTCGCTACTATGTGCACCTAATGAGCTGAATTTCAATGAAGTCAAGATATTAGTTTATTCAGTAGTGTGAATACATATTATTCATATCTTGGTTAATATGTTCCTAAAACATGTTCTCTGCTAAGCTTCCAATTAGAAACAAGTTAAAATATATTTAGATTCTTCTTCTTCTTCTTCTTCTTCTTCTTCTTCTTCTTCTTCTTCTTCTTCTTCTTCTTCTTCTTCTTCTTCTTCTTCCGTATTCATTATAAAAACGATAGTGGGTAGTGGATGGCTATCTTAATTTGTTATGGCAATAGTAGCTGTAGTCGTCTTTAGTTTTTAAATGAATTCATTAAAAAACCCCACTAAAAACCAACAACACTAAGCAGTGCTGTTTTATTTTGAAAGTCAGTGTCCATCATTGGGAGGTCGTTTGACGTCACATCCCTTATATGGTCATTTCTACCATGTAAGGATTTTCTCGTGTGACGTTGCGTCGCAACGGAAAATATGACCGTGTGCGGGAAAAGCGAACGTTGGAATGAGGTCCTCATTTCAGGGGAGCAAGTGTGCAACTACTCGAGGAGCTCTGGCTCGCCGGATGTCACCTTTGTAATAACTTCAGCATAAACACATTTGACAGTCGCCAGGGTCTACGTGAGTAGTCAAACTTCTTTATTGACAATTATGTCAATTATCACCCCACGTGCTATCCCGAACTGTCAGGGGACGCTAACGTTACAACCTAACGTTAGCTTCAGTCCCAAATTACCGATAAACCCCCTTTCCCTTTTTTTTCTTCTCGCTCTTTTTTTTGGGGGGGGGGGGGAATTTCCGGTTTGTACCCCCCCCCCCCCCCCCCCTAAAAAAACAATCGATAAAGATATATCTTCGTATTGTTTGTGTCTGCAGCCTATTAACTGTAAACAAAAGAGCCACACGTAGAAGCCAGAAACTGACTCGCCTTTGGTTTTGCGTGACCCTAGAAGCGATTCTGTCGCAGGGGGTTAAGTTGGGCTAATGTATTGGTCACTGGACGGTTTGTGTACGGACTCGGACTCCTTAAACGTTTTTCACTATGAAATAATGGTAAGGCTTGCTGAATTGTCTTGAGGTTAATCACGTTTGCAGCGATTCCATACGAGGCAATGTGCTGCGTTCAAGTACTCCTCCGCGGCAGTAATATGAGCTTCTGGCATATTATACGTCTCTCTCTCCTTTTGAACTAAACTGCTTTTGTTTGTTAAAGAAAAGAGGATTCCCCGGTCCGAGGCTTCTCCAGTCAAGTCATGGCTGGAAGAAAGGGGGATATTATCATAGTTTGAAAGTACCTACATTTACTCACTGAGTTTTAGGTACGTTTTGTCTTTAACGTTACTTTTGTTTGCAACTTCATACTTACATAACTACATAATCAGGAATCAGGAAACATTTATTAGCCAAAATATGTCAAACATACAAGGAATTAGTCTTGGCATAACTTAGTTATGTTACATGTTACAGCTGCAGTTACGGGCCATTATTCAGACGCATGCGTTATTTAAAACTTATGACCGAACATAAGGTGAACTTATGTTAACCTTGTTGTCTTGTAAAATTGTTCATGAAAACATTTCCCCATGAAGCTTGGATCTGCGTCAAAGCCGTTCATTTAACTAGGCCTCAAATCTCATCCTTTTTATCTGTATTGCTGCCCATGTATGCAACAGTACAACACTACTTTGACATAACAATGCCGATTGTACTTTGCCCTTCTGGCTCATCCATCTCCTTATAGCCATAAAAGTATACTGCAAAAAGTGACCATAGGCAGTAGAACCACCCTGTTGTTTACCCTTTGGCAGATAACTAACAAGAGCTGGTCAAAGTCCATCACGATGTACATACTGCTGTCCAGCAGATGGCGCTCCGCGGAAAATGGTCTGCTTTGACTGGAGAGATTAAAAGTACACCTACCAGCTAAATTTCACTGAAATTATATTCAGTCCAAAAATCAACACTACTGTTCAATTGCAGAGCATTCAAGGGCCTGACATTTTTTATTATAGTTACTGTTGCCTGCAGCAAGATCATTTGGAGATTTGAAGAACTGTGTGTTTTTTAAGCTTTTTATTAAGATTACTTGATGACTTAATGCATATAAAACAACAACTCCTACCTGAGTTCTAATCAGGGACAACGGAAATCGCTGTGTGGTTATTGGTAAGGCTTTGTCTTTTGATTCACACTTAACATTTTCATGGAAAATATTCTCTTTTGCAAATGTTTCAGGCTTTCACCAGCTAAACTAATTCAGCTTCTTATTGAATTATTTGTTTTTAATAATGCACCCTTTACTAATCATGCCTCAACCCAAAGAAATCTTCAGGTCAACACTTTCTCGTCTCGTAATTTAAGCAATATAACACAATATATACTAATTTTAAGATTTAAATACAGTTGTCATTGTAGAGAGAGTATTGTTATAACGTATTGTGCATTAGTTGACTGTCTCTTGATCAAATCCCACCATTAAGTATGCTTGTATGCCATATTCTTAGCGGTTTGGGAACTAGGGGGGAGTTTATTGAAACTCATCTGTGGCCTTAAAGGCAAATTGAGGTTCTAGTTTCATAGGTGGAACTGTATAGTTGTAGGCACTGTCAAATACTACATTATGACAATAACAGTCATACAACAATGGCTGGTAGGCTAATTGAACTACTGCCAGTACATAACAAAGGAGAATATCTTCTGCGCTTGTTTCGGGTGTCAGAAGCGATACAACGGCCTCCTCTTTAAGCCTGGAAACTCCTCCAGGGGTGCGATGCCTCTCGGGGCTCCAGCTGCAGCGCGCTGCTCTCCTCCTCCTCCAATAGATTCCCAGTGTGCGCGCTGGCCGGCAGCGGAGAGCCCGCGAGTGGGAGGATCAGCGATCCGTCCGGCTTTGTTACGGCCGGGAAGCCATTTTGGAAATCTGCTTGTGGTGCACTAGCATAACACTCTCACGTCGCTAGCAAAGTTTTTTTTTTAGTGTGTGTTTTTGTTTTTATCCCAGAGAAATACCCATTTCTCGGATCGGCGGCAGCAGAGCGTCTCCCGCGTCGCGGCCCTCGGGATGCTGCCGGGAGTTTGCGCATCTTCCGCGATTGTAAATGCGCGGATCTTTTCCTCCTCTTTTTCATCGCGCTCTTCTAAAAGAACGATAACATACATGGATTAACCACGCGGGCAAGTTGACGTGCGTCTACATCATCCCATGCGTTAATCCCGCTGCAATTCTGTGCCGCGAATGAGTCCCATTTCGTCTCAGCCACATTGACGTTGTCCTGAGCTCCTTTTACCCACAACTAACGCGGTCTCCGGCCTTGTTGTTGTTGTTGTGTGATCGGTACGCGCATGAGACGTTAGCAGACAATAAGTAACTTATGTCTCGAGGATGTCCTTAAGAGTTCGCCGTTTGACTAATAACAGTAAATAGATCCGTCGGGGCAGTAGTCTGGAGGGCGGTGATGTCGCGTTGCCCAAATACATGGCGTCTAAATTTAGCAGCGGGGCAATGCGAGTAATGTAACGGGGCTTCTACGCCATTCGGCCTTATTAATAATCCCACGGTTCTGCTTTCAAACGTCGCCCGTCTGAAACACTTCTTCTTTGACACAAGCTGGACTTCTCACGCCACTCGTAGTTTACGTAAAGGCGCAAAAACGGACGCGGGAGGAGGACGTGCAGAGCTGTGGGACAGGTGTCCGTGCGTAGCACTGTTTGTGTGTGTGTGTGTGTGTGTGTGTGTGTGTGTTGGGTGAATGCATGCACTGTTATTGCTGAACCTGTCTGCAGATGTTGTTATCAGCCCAACTGGTAAATTGCACATTTCTGTGAGGATTTAGTCACATGCTAAGAATAAAAACGAATATTGCTTTTTCATTAATAACACCAGTCTGGCACCGTCCTTGTCCCTTGTCCTCGGTTCTGTAGGAGCCGTCTGCTGTCTGCTAATTTTGGAGGGCCCACATTAAGCGCTGGCAACGTGATTCATTGCACCAGAGTCAAAATAAAACTAATCCTCGCTGAATTAAAGCAGTCCCTTTGGCTTTTGGGTATTTGTTTCTGTTTATCCGACTTGGATGCAGATTTGAAACATGATTAAGATTACGGGTTGAGAATTTGGAGGAGGGTTTTATGGAAAAGCCATCTGTTTTATCTGTAGCCTTGTTTCTGCATTATCAGATGTTACCCGCTTGCTCAGGATATTTGTACGTTTTGGTCACTTGTTTGCAGCGACCCAGTTTGTTATTATCAGAAATGCTGAATCAATAAGGCCAAACCGTTATCATAATAAGTATGTTGGATAGAGCAAGGGTTAAAACATCTTGTATTGTTAAGTCATCTAAGTTTTCCCTGGATATGCTATAGTTTTGGCAGATGATATCCAGTTTATTGTCAGTTTAGGTACAACTTAAATTACTAATCTAGTCTAATACAACAGTCCTTCATTAAATCCTACCTTTGTAACAACGTTATTGCAGCCCTGTTATATTGTGCTGCATTAGTTTTAACAAGGGGCCCCAATAAACTGGCAGCATTATGGAAACGGTATTTGCGTGGCTTTTTTCCGTAATGCCAGTGTCTCTATGAGAAGCCCTCAGAGCAGTTGTTTCCCGCCCGTTGCCTAAAACCCAGCCCCACCCCGTGCCGTTTCACTTGGTTTCATAATACCGCTCATTCTGCGCGTGGAGCTCAGCCGAGCAGTCGCCGTGGAAGTATCTGTCCCGGTGAGGAGTCCTCAGCCTTTTCTGTCGGGTGCCGTCCGGAGGAGAAGAGACGAGTCATTCATTACGGCTTCGTCATCGACAGCCGGCCAGAGCCAACATGCGGGAAGAGGTCTGCCAATGCCCGTCCACTGTTCGACCCACAGTAGCGTTGTTGTTGTGCTCCTGAGGAAAAGGAATGTCCAGCAGCCCTCATTAGGGGCTTTCTGACGCGGTTGCACAGCGCAGCGGTAGCAGAGTGGTTGCGATAGTTGGGAGAGGAACCCAGGGAACAGCGCTAGAATTGATTTGGGAAGAGGCAGGGGATTTGCCAGTGCTGTAATGTATTTAACGTGTGCGTGTGTTTAGACACAGTGGCAGATTTGGAGCTCTTCAGCGTAGCTGCATTTTATTCAAGAAACCGGCTGAACGAGTCAGTGCATTCGTTCCAGTGAGTGTGTGGTGTGTGTGTCTGTGTCGGTTTGTTTGTGCTTGTTGTTATCCCCCTCGGCCGTGTCTGATTTGGCTTAAAGAGTGCTGTCCCTTGCATCCTGATTCTTGCAGCTTAAACAAAGAAGAATGACCATGGATTTTTCCCAACTGCACACATACACGCCGCCACAGTGTGCTCCCGAAAACACCGGCTACACCTACTCCCTCAGGTGAGACTTCAGCGCTACGCCGTTTGCCGCCTCAAACCGTCCGGCCGTTGGCATTTCAACTCCACCCTGAATATCATTTGGGAATCCAGGTAGAACAAACTCTGAATTTAAACCAGCCGCTGTATTCCATACATTTGTCTCTAAATGTATTGCTACTGAGCTCCGTCCACCTTAAAACTTGCTTGGCCTTGATTTCTTTCTTTTTTTCAAACAAATCCTGTGGTTTTGATGACTCAGTCTCATGATTCAGTCGGTGTGTGTTTTTGCTTAGTGGGAATTTGAGGACGTTGTACTGGGTGCAAACATAGCATGCACTTATGTTTCTTTTTACTTTTAATGTAGATTTAAGGTGCCAATTTCAGCTCTTGAGAAAGTCAAGTTTTGTGCACTCGGTTCATGCATTGTTTCTTGGGCTCCCTGTCATAGCTCGTACCGTGGGTGTGCTCGGTCTGTGCACGTGGAGGAATGCAGTTGCCTTGCCACAACATAGAAAGGGTGTGTAAGGCTAGTAATAAAATATAACCTTTCCCCATACTTAACTCTCTTTCTGAAGAGTTATGGCACGACTTTTGGGAGTGGAGGTCTCACGTGATTTAAAACGAGGGTATGACCCTATCAGATTTCCAGGTGTGCTTTGCACAGCAAAGTTTCCTGCCCAGCAAAAGAAATTCCGACCTCAGTCTCTTTTAAGGTGTAATAATAATATTGTCAATAGTATTTTTGTTTTAGTAGCATTCCGTGCCTTTGCCTGTCAATACGTTTAATAGCTGGTATGTTATACAATGACATGATTGCCAAAAGAAACCCTAAATGACATCCTCGTGATTTCAGGTCAGCTTTTCTGGCACACTAAGCACATACCAGCTATGTGAAAGTAGTGTAGTGAGTCAGACTCTGGACAGAGGCGAAGCCATGTGGATGTTCAAAAGCTTGTTGGCCGCCCGGCTGGAACCGGCAAGGTTGACTGAAAAGCTGAAATAAGCTAATCATGTTCCTTTTGAACGCGAGAAGCTATTACTGAACCACACAGTGACTAACGTGGCCCTGATCCCAGGATTAGACTAATAGTTTATGCTTCTTGACCTGCTGATAGATCTGTGCTTTTGAACAGCCTGTGTGCTGCAGCCGAGCGCCTGACAATTCTCTGCTATCGAGAAACAAACTCAAGGAAATGTAAATCAACAGAAGTCTTTATCTCAACCTCTAAGTAAATAGCAGCACAGTTGGACAGGAGATGCTAGATTTGCCTTTTTTTCCTTATTTTTCTTACAAAATTCAGAAATATGAACCCTTTGGAGTCTGTTCAGACGTTAGCGTCTGTGTGCTTCTGTGGCCCTCAGAAACTGACAGAGTCAGGTGACCGAACCCGTTGGCCCATCTGTTGCCAAAACTCAAAAGGACAGTGACACGGTTTGTGCCATTGAATGGCCCGGGTCAGTGAGAGGCGACCACCCAGTCACGTATCCGCTTTCATGCCAGGGACTGTTACAACTCGGACCAACAAACACGTTCATTTAACTGACATTTGTAAATACAGTGAGGAATAGACTTATAAGCCAAAGGGCATTTTAGTAGTAAATTGGGAGGCTTCTCTCCTCACTTTCTCACAATTGCTCTCATCCTCCTCCTTACTGGAGGGCTTTAGTGTTTTCAATTACAGATATTACAATCCTGTTGTTTGATCATTATCTGCGTCCTATAGAAGATTTGAAGATGGTTTGGCCTCTGAGGACCACAGAGAGAACATAACGATTCTGAAGGTTACTCCGTCAATGGATCTTTCTAATTTGCATCCCAGATAGAAAGTGGTACAATGGTTTCTGGTTACATTCTGTCATTCAGCATCTAGATGTTTAAACTCTAGGTTGACGGACAGACACACAGTGTGTGTGTGTGTCTGTGTGCGTGTGTGTGTGTGCGTGCGTGCGCACTCAAACACATCATTCATATTTTATGATGGTGGAAGTGGGTCAGAGGGATCGGCCTGTTCTTTTCCCCCCACAAGTGGCAGCTGAATCTTGACATCGGTTAGCAGGAGCACTGATAGTCTGATTGTGCATGTGGTCGTCTGGGAGGAGCCGCAGTCTATCGCTGTGCTGTAAAACTGTAAAACATTATATGAGAGAGAACCAACTGTCTCAAGTTCTCCTCCCCCGAAAACAGTTGAAGTGCAAACAGAATAATATGTTTGCTTTAAAATCTGGTTAAAAATGCCTTTTCTATTAAGACTGTTAATGAAAGTGTTACTTTTCAAAGCAGTTTGCATACACCTGAGAGAGCAGGTGAAATCCCGTTGTTGGAGCTTTCTCTTTGCTGTATCCGGCTCTAGAACACGAGGGTCCGAGGTGCCAGTGGGACGAGCACAGTTGTTGTGACATCTGTTCCGAGTGTCATTTCAGTTCATGCATTCACTCGTCTAACGGCAAGTAAATAACAGCAGCTGGAGCCGGACTGTGCCATTGTCGCTAATTTTGGCCAAACTCAGGACTCCACGGACATTTCTTTAACATTTCAAACCGTCACTACTTTAATGAACTGCTCCATGACAAATTCTGAAAGGCGAAAGTTTGACACGTGTTAACGTGTCCAGCCTCTGCTACTGATCGGCCTCTCTTGAGCCAGGCAGCTGTTTGAAGTGGTCTCCTTGACAACCACAGCAACATGAAACCGCACACTATAGTGCTGAAACATGGCGAGCGAAGGACACCATAGGGGGGGGGGGGGAAGAGGGAGGGAGGGAGTGGGTGGAGGCAAAGTGGTTTCCGTGGGAGGGAACATGAGGGTGGGCCGGAACAATCCTAATCACGCTGCCAAATTCTACCCACCCAGAGACAGTTGGATGGAAATGTGACGGCTCTTTGCTCGATAGACACAGACTCCCGGTCTCTGGTAAATATAAGCCTCGCCGCCTCCGGGGAGAAGGTTCTCTCTCAGCCTTTGAGGAAGCGCGGGGGGAAAGTGGGCTGCGTTTGTGTCTAATTTGGTATTTACCCCAGATTAATTTAAGTGGGGAAAATGAGTGCAGAATAAGTTTGGTAAACACACCATAATCCCAATAGACGGGAGGAGATTAAAATAAATTGTTGGGAAAGGCTGACAACATACTGTTTACTTCAGCCAAATTTCAGCATCCCTAGTCTCTAAAATGGTGCTGGCAGTAATCGAACCCATGAAGACTTGTCGATATTTGTTTATGTAGCTAAGATTGGGTAAGTGTTGTTTTATGAGTGTCACATATTTGATGTCTGACTCCTTTACTAAAGGCTGTTAACATTTCCAGCCATAAAATGTCGTATTGGTCTGTTAATTGATCTCCGACACGAATCTCTTGAGTGGTCTCACCAGAGAAATATAGTTGACACTAACGGCTAACAAACTAATGGAGGAGGTTTTTGCTCCAAAAATGTCATTCGTAAACAAACGGCCCTTGTGAAAACTTTTTTTTTTCTTTTTCTTGTGTGTGAGTCTACAGGCTTTCTGACTTTTGTAAATTGAGATAAACAACAAAAAATGTGTCTGTATTTGTTTGATTGTAGTTTGGTATTTTGCGCCAGATCAGGTCCTATTATAAGATCAGTTTCTCGGTTTGTTGTTAGCAGAAAGGTGATCTTATGTTGACACTATTTCATGTTTTTTTATTATTATTTTGTTAGTGTTTGTTCATATCAAGTTATTCTTTTGACAAAACAAGCGATAAGGAGACGTCAGGATCTTAGGAAGACATTTTATTTACCAAATAATGAATCGTCCCTGACAAATATTAAGACAATATGCAGAGTCGTTATGATTACATATTCAGGTCCAGAATGTCATCTGTTCCAATGCAAAGCACATCTGCTTCGTAGAGGGTAAAGATCATATGCATTGTCCTTTGCATGTGGACCGGATGTCTCAATGTGTCCATTCTTTGTGCTCTGTGATGTGTGATCCTTCTTTTATTAGCATCGACTATGCAAATCTGACAGAAGGTGGGTAGGTGGAAGTGAACAAACATGGTACAGGAGGTGTAGACTCACCATGTCTTCTTTGTCAAGGAGAAACTTTGTGTCTTTGTGGTTTGATCCAAAATAAATTCTGTCAAGCCTGTTTTTGCTGCTGCTGTGAGCCCGACTGTTCCATAACAAACCCGATAAAGGGCAGACGGTGAAGTAGTGGTGCTTCCGTCCTATGCAGATACACTCTTCAGGATGCAATCACATTCCTCATGGCGCGTTTAAACCTGGATAAATCATCCCGTCCCGAGCCCACTGAAAGATCTGATCTATTGTGCATCTTGAAGTAATCTGACAACGGAACTAGAACATATTATTAAGCACAAATAGGATTTAATACATGTTTCAGGAGTTTTTCCCCCGCTTGTTTGCAGTATGATGTTATGGCCACACAGCACCTGTAGAACTCAGGCAGATACGCTGGTCTCGAGTGATCGGCCAGCTAAAGTCAAACCCTCCATCGTCAATGGAAACTGATTGGAGTGGAGACAATGTCAGACTGAAGATTGTAAATGAGTCAACAATTGTGCCTGGTATCAGGCCGCTGATCCCCACCAACCGTGAGTCTCCATGCTCATGCACTGTGCATAATGTTATGTGGTAGTAGTACATACAACTAAAGCTACTAATATGTAGAATGCCATGTAATCTGATGCTCTGTGTAGTTGTGTTGTAAGAAAGCTGGCTGTGCCCACGAGTGTGGGAAGCGTATCAAAGCTTTAGTGTTATGTAAGGAGAGACTCCAGGATGCGTTTTTTTTTTTTCTCTCGACACTGTTAGTCTGTGTCTTTATCTGTGTCTTTTTCCTCTCATTTCTGAGAGCACAGCGTCCGTCTTTATTTTTACCAGTGATGTGGGCCGCGTGAGCCGCCCGGAAGAGACGAGAGCAGCACAGATCAATTCGGATACCCAGAAGTTTTGAAAAGAGTTTGCTAACTAATTGAACATTGCTTCCAGCTTTTGATGAGACGGGCTGGGATCTTCCACTCGTTGTTTTATTATGTTGAAGGACAGTGTGAATGCCGGCACCACGTGGAGACGCACGCCGATAGATTTGTAGTGGTTGCGTAGATACAGATCTATGTGACCACGATTGGCAGGGTAGAAAAAGTTGAACTAACACCCGCTCTTGACTGTAGGCTACATCGCCTTGGATGGGCCACATCCAAGTCATGTGGCCCACTGGATGGAATTTAGTTTTCTTCTGAAACCCTGCGCTCAAAGCAAATCTGCTATCTGCCATGATTTGAATGCCAAATTTGAATCGGTCGAGCAGTGATGACGTGATGGAAAGATGATGGTTCTTTGGAGATCCGGCCCACCTGGTGTCCACCTACACCGAGAGTGTGTCCTCCAGGGTCCCGTGTTCTCTACGGCAGGAAGCCACAGTGACTTTGGGTCTCTACTTAATGGCTTATTGTTCCTGTATTATTGGCAGAGTGTAACCATCCGTCATCGGGCTACTGGGTACATGTAGGGATGCTCGCTCTGCTTGATGTTCTTTCTGTAGGTGTGAGACTGTGTCAGGAGGTCTGGTGTTTCGCACACAGACATATCCTCCTCGAGGTACAGAAGCTGGCTAACTGGTGAGGTATTCAGAGAAAAGTCAGTTGCAGTAGGAGGCGTGAAGGTGAAAGCTCATAATTGGCTCTAAGGGTGTAATCCTTAAACGCCAGAGGGAAAGATTCCACTGTATTGTTCACATACATGTAACTTACTGTTGATATTCAGCGTAGTTGATCCTGTTGCACGACTATGTTTTGACGTACTCACCTCTGTGCTTGTACCCTTAAACCAAACAGCTGTTGTTTATTCAGAGAAGGTCCCTCCTCTTGGTCCCTCCTCTTTGAGCGTCTAACAGGAAGTTTGTTCTATGTCATTCAGCCAAGTGCTCGCCCCTCCTTTCCGTCCACCCTCCTCTGCATGTCAGTGGAGTATTTCTGCCTGACCTAGTTGAGCCACATGCTGAGGAGTGTACACAGTCTACAGAGGGCAGCTTGTGTACCGCACAAGTATTGTAAGTTATCACTGTACTCAAATCAATATAAAAAAAATAGGGTTTATTTTGCCTCTAAAATTGTATCTGCTTTACCACAATGGAGGACGAGGGACTAGTCGTAGTTTTTGGCTTTGTTTGTTTATTTGCACCAGCTAAGAGCGACTACATGAATTGATTTGCATTATGGTTCTGCTGAATTTTGCAACTCTCTCCCTGGTGCCTGTGTCTAAACGTTGGCCGTGACTCTGCTTGCCTCCCGCCCCAAGTGGGTGTGGCCGTGTGAGTCACAGCCGCACGGCGCATGGCAAACGCAAAACTTACAACGCTCACGGTCCGTTTCCTCTAACTGCTGGCGTTCTATTGTTGGGAGTGTAGTACAACTTGTTCAGCCTACCCGCATACTTGTGGGTGTTTCTGTGGCGTTTTCTTCTTCTTCTTCAATTTTACTTTCGGAAACCCACTGTGCCTATTTGTCTTTTTTTATCCCTCCCTCCCTTCCTTGAGTGAGTCACTTCCTTCTCGGCGCACTGCCAGTTGTAGGGACAGACCGCATCCCAGCTCTGTACCCGCACGGTCTGTTCCTGCATTCTGTTTATTTTTATTTTTTTAGATGAAAGCCTCTCTGAAGATGGCATACAAGTTGGGAAGAGGGCAGGATATCCCTGTATTGTTTTGAGGTTGGAGTTGTTCAAGGTCTGTCTGTTGCCTCCGAGGAGACTTTCTAACTTTCCCGCTCCACCTCTCCCGCCCCTCCCCTCTCTCTCAGCTCCAGCTACTCCACAGCGGCGTTAGATTTTGAGAAGGAGCACCAGATCGCTGCCGTGTACGAGTCGCCGAGGATGTCACGGCGGAGCCTGCGTCTGCAGGCGGGTGCCGGTCACCACGGCAATGAGACCCTGGCTGATTTCTCCCAGAGCCACAGCAGCAGCTACACCAGCACAAGGAGAGAGACACGGTGAGAATACACACAAATGATTTCAGTGCAAGCCAATGTTTTATTAATAGAGAGTTCTATATTGCTTCAAAGTATTGTACTGTAACCAAGCAACCTGCTTCCTGCTTGCACCAGCATGCAGTGTAAAATAGTCATCAGATCGCTTTTAAAACCCTGTCCCAAAACAGAAACGCATTATTATGGATGTAATCTTTAAGTGCTCAAGACTACGAGTGTGTCTCTTGGGACGGACCCCTCCGCCATACTGGTTTCCATGCAGCGAAACTCACACCTCTTCTTCATGTCCTACTGTTCCAGGTCGCTGCGCAGTAAAAAACAGCAGTCCAGTTCCACCTCACTGTCTTTACCCTTGAGCCAAGCCGCCACGCCGAGGAAAACCCTCTGCTTTTCAGCTGCAAATACCCCGATCAACAACAGCAGCAGCAGCATCATCCATGAAGGCAACACAGCGTCTGATGGCTCTTTGCTCACCTCCACCCTGGACCAGTCCCACCTGAGACAACGCACCGTCACCACAACCACCACTTCTACTACTGTGGATGGACACTGGGGTCAGTGGATGAAAATATGGATTTCCTCACAAATTAGCTGTCGCACGTCGGCAAAATCTAGACGTTTTTTGAGCATGTTTTAATTTAATTGCATCTTGCAGGATATACCATTTAACTTTACACAAGTAAATTGTGCAAATTATGCTGGGTTTTAATTAGCATTATTTAAAGGGTCTCGGCTATTCAAGAGAGTTTCTCTAAGTGATTCCTTGAGCCAGAATCACACATCAGGTATCACACATTCAGGTTATCATTGGGCTGTCTACCTTCGGTGACCTAACATTAGTGATTCTTGATTCTATCTACAAAGTAATAACTCAAGCCTGTGGTATATCATGAGATAACATTAAGCCGTTGATCTTCATGGGCAAGAAACAATAGATCCAAACATTCCCTCTGTCTCGCAGGGAGTAACTCCAGCAACGACCACCGGTCGTCAAAGCTCAACGGCGGCGCCAGCGCATCAAAATCCCACGACTCAGTCAATGGATACATCTGCAACGACTGCTCTTTCCACTCTCAGAAGACCGACTCCCCTATTACACAGTCTTCATCATCATCGTTATCATCTAAGGCAGCAGGAGCTTCCTCGGAAGGCCTCTTCTCTTCCTCCACCTCGTCCCCTTTCACAAGCATATACTCCAGAGACAGGAGTCAAAGGAAAAAGACCGGTAAGAAACCGTTGTCGGGTGAACGGTCGTATTTAAAATGAGTTCTTCCCTCATATTCTGACAATTTACTGGAGCTGGAAAGTGAAATGGTCGGTGCGTCGCGATGATGAGAATGTAATCGGTAGTGGCGTCTCTCTCCAGGTGTCCTGGTGTCTGTGTCTAACACGTGTGTGCACTACAGCAAGCGAGCCCTGGCCCCCATAGTGTCCTTAGTCACCCTGCTCTTCACCAATGTGCTCTGGCTGGGTTCACGGGCCAAGAGCCCTCCAGGAAAAGGTACGCAATCAAGAGAGTTTGTTCTTCTGTTCACCCATCATATATAGTTTTCTATATTTTTCTTCTGTCTCTTGCAGTGGCGATTTTTCCTGAGTTGCAGTTGTATGGCCTAATGTAACCTTATTGCCTTTCCTCTCACCAGGCTTTCCATAGCGTCATGTCGTTTTTCTCCCAGACTTCTTATCACCATTTCTTTCTTTGTGCATCCTTGTTACTATAGCAATGCGTCAACTGTGCGTTTTGACTAACAGTGGTTGTGTGGGTCCGGTGTGCCGCCAGGTGTCCTTGCATCGTTTTCGGACTCAATGAGACAATCCCTGTCCTCCAGTCTGTCCCAACTGTGGATATTTAAGCAGACCACTCTTCACAGGATGGTGGGCTACAGGGCTAATGGCTATGAAGGACAAGGTACCAGCCGTAACTGCGAAGGGCAGGGGTTAAGGATCAGAGCCCCTGACCTCTCCTGCTGCTCTTTAATTATAAACTTTGTCACTATTTCTCTCTTTTCTCAGCTCTTCCCTTCCTTCTTTAAGGAGTAAGAAGCCTCATAGGATAAATATTTAGTGGAATTTGACTTTGAGGGATCTCTTTATAACCTCTTTCTTTCTCAGTAAATCCAGCATTTACTGTCGCACTGTTGCTTTCTGTTTCTGAAAGAAAAGTAAATAAAAACTGGACTAGAAAAAAAAATTGGACAAAACAATCGTATGTCAAATGTACACTTTCATGAATACACTGAGCTAAAGAGACCCCCCAACTAACTATTTGATGACTCAACTGCAATTTGTCCAATGTTTATTTCTAGTATACTGCAGATTTAATTTGTTTCTTTCCTGGCTGCAAGAAAAACTCTTTATTCTTGTTTCTAACAGTTGTAAACATGTACCCCCATTTTGCATGCACACACATTCTCCTCTTCTTCGTGATGACATCAAGCATTGGTGACATGTGCCTCTTCTTCTTTTCCGTCTCTATTTCTCACGCAATGTGGTTCTTAAGTAAATGTGTTTTTCATTTTTGCAGCTCACTCCAGTTTCTGTGGAAGCATGAATGTCAAGGATCTGAGGACTGAAGATGCATCACATCTCAAACTCAATGGTTCCCTGTGTAAGCAAACCAACACACATTTTTTGCCTTCCTCCTCTACTTGGTATTTTCTTTTTGGAATCGCTGATTGACAGAGTTAATTATATGCGTGACCCGTGATGGAACCAGTGAGCAAAGGTCGTGTGAACTGCTTTAACCATTCAGCAGCCTGTTGACCCGCAGATGCTCCTCTTTCAATCAGCTTTATCATCCAAATTTGTTTCGGTGGACCAATTTTTACCTTAATATTAATGATATTAATTTGACATTAATAAAACCTTATCCCTGGGTTTGTCTTACCTTCCTGCGTCAGAAAATTACAAGTAGTGACCCTTTCCCTCCACTTCACAAGTATAAAAAAAACATTGATCAAACATTGATAATGAAGAAAAATAACAGAAAGCAATGCATCCTCGCTCAGAATTTGGGATCACAGAAAAATTGTGCTTATATATATTTGTATGTTTAGCTTTCTATGTTGTTATCCTATGCAGTACATTGCATATTGTGCAACATGTATTTTTGTGGCCCCATTTCCTTTTTACTTCATAAACATGATTTAATGTTGCTTAATTATTTTGTATTTGTGTTGCTTGGACTATTTGCAGAATGTTTTTGTTTTTTTTGCTTGATGCCATCCATTTACACTTCCTTTTATTTTTTGTGTATTCTGTTTGTCTGCTATCCATCATCCCGGCGCACACAGGCGATGACTGTAAAGGGAAGCAGCATTCAGAGACACACACCGTCCTCCTCACACACTCCTCCAGGTGTCGACGCCTGTTGGCGGGACTGTGGAGCGCCGTAGCTTACACAGGTTAACCAGCACCTCGTTCATGTTGATGACCGCCTCTACATATACTGTTACATTACTGATGGGTCAATAACATCTCTGGAGTCTTAAACCACTCCTGCTGCAAGTAGTCGTTGACCTGTGCTGTTGTCTTCCAGGTCACTTTCTCTTCCAGCCAGGTCACTGTGTGGCGAAAGCAGGCCAAGCGTTGGGATCAGGAGTTGGAAGAGTGGTGCAGAGGCTCCTTTCGTTATGCTGGATGCTCTTGGCAGCTCCAGGTTGGTGTTACTCAGGTCTCATCCCCTTAGAAAAATGTGTCTTCTCTGCTTCTTTTGTTGTTAACATAGACCGCTGTGTTCTAATTCCTGGTCTTGTGTTTTTTGTATTTATTCAATCTGCCCAGTGAAGGCAGTCAGGGGACTTGTGTGGTTTCTTGCCACGGGATGGTACCAGCTGGTGTCTCTGATGTCGCTCCTCAACGTTTTCTTTCTGACGCGGTAAACGCACTTTCTCCCTTTATTAACCGTCTGTGTAATTCAACGTATGATCTTTATACTTTCACATTATGTTGTGTCCTCTGCCCCATCGTGACGAACAACGGCTAAAATGTTTAAAATGGATGATCTGCACAATAACCCATTTTTAACAAGAGATAGGAGACAAAGGAGCAGCGTCTAACACTCTTAGGCATTTGGACCGCTTTGATTCATACGGGTCGTTGTCTTTTTACATTTTCTTTATTTACAGCGCGCACCCCGGTCACTCATGTGTCTAACCGCTGTGTTTCAGATGTCTTCCCAAACTCTGGAGGCTCCTACTGCTCCTTTTGCTCCTTTTCCTCCTCCTTGGTGAGTTTATAAGACGGTTTTTCATCATTATTAGCTGGTTTGAACCATTTGGTGAGCGCATACAGAAAAGGGTCAGCCTGTAGAGAAGCAGGAGACGTCCTTACCAGCACGCATCCCCAGAGTGTGCTGCAACTCCAGAATCCAATTCAGGTCAGCCTTTCTGCTGGTGGAGTGGCTGCTTGGAGTTACTCCAAACGGCTTCAGCATTCCTCTCAAATACTTGAACAGCAGCAAAACACAATTGAATCCTGATTTGTAGTCCTTTTATGTTAATTCTTAAGTAGACCATCTGTATGTACATGTTCCAACACTTGTGCAGGAGTGACCAACCAGCAGATGAGCGTGGGTTAACCTTCCCATTCTTTGTCTTTTTGCAGCTCTCTGGTTGTGGGGTCCGTCCACCGCCGTCCTGCTCGCCTACCTCCCAGCCATAAACCTAACCGAGTGGCGTCCCGCATCTGCCTTCACCCTCCTGTCTAACTTGGTGCCGGTTCCTGCTCCATATCCTGCCTCCGTCCCTGCAGCAGAAACTCCAGTGGAGGTCACCCCAGCCTCCCCGGTCTCACAGGCACCAGTAAGATACCAGGATGAAACAACAAATTACTCTGTATAACTCTTAGTTACTGATGGAGTCTGTGCGTGTGTGTATACATTGTTTGTGTTACCGTTTAGGGCTGGGCGGTACGGCCAATAATTCATATCACGGTATTTTGTATGATTCTGGCGGTATTTTCCCCTGAACAAGTGTTCACCGTTCACCGGTGTTGTGGTGTTTCACCTTGTTAAAAAGCATTAGTTGTGGGTTATTAATTGTTCTTATGAAGTTATAAACACGACTTTATCTCAATACACCACAAGTAGCTCCAAGTGCATTGGCGATGAGTGGCTAACGATACATTTCGCTCCCTGTCGAGGAGGAACAACAATTGTTACGGCTCTGCACCGGTATGACAGTGTGAAAAATTCCTACCGTAAGGAACCCGTGTAGTGCCCGGCCCTACTACAGTTCAAGCATGTTAAACCTTAGATAAGTTTCAATAACCACAGTTATTTTGCCCTAACCTTAATTGTGCACAGATAGTGGGTATTTTAGAGATCAATCCAAATATTGTGTGTTCGGTGAAATGCCAAGCTGTTGCGTAACAGTCACCAATTCATGTTTTTTTCTTCTTCTTATAACCAAGCCCACCATCTCTTCCTCAGCCGTCTCTTCCCCCTGTGGTGGTCTCAAGTGTGGACTTGGAGAGATTGGAGCGTGTGGAGCGCCAACTGACCCTGCTGTGGGAGCAGGTCCAGCAGGGCGACCAGAGGCAGCAGCAGCGGCACGGGGATGTTTTGGGTCTCTACAGCAGCCTGAGGGAGACGCTCCACACTCAGACCGACAGGGAAAGCCTGGGACTGTGGGTGTCGACCCTGCTGGAGCAGAGACTCGGGGTGTTGAGGGGAGAGCTGGAGCAGGAGAACGCCGACCGAGCACAGGTAAAGAGATGAAGATAAGTGTTGACATGCATTTTTATTTAATGTCAGTGTAACTCAATCTTTCTCTCTTCATCCGTGCTCATTGCAGAGTGCAGAGCAGCAGAAACAGCAGCAAGCAGGTCAGGCAACACGGCTGGCAGATTTAGAGCTGCAGCTCAATGCTCTGGCTGCCATGACTGAGGTACTTTCAGCAGATTTACTTATTTCTAACTAAAATAACACATCTACACACTAAACAGCCACTTGCCAGTCTTGTGTAAAAGTATTATTGTTTTATTATAGGGTCTGTAAATAGAAGCAGCACTCAGTAGATAAATCATTAAAGGCACAAGATGCTAATCCAGGATAAAGTACAGAATGTAATAGTAGACAAATGTTAAACATTAACAGGGAACATACATGCAGTAATCCAACTAGAGATGCACTGATTTTGTGGCCGATTCTGATTTCCTTTCCAGGAGCTTTAACTTTAGTAGATTGCAAATCTGTACACTATTATTTTTATTTTTTACCATCATTCCAAAAAACAATGTCAACCTTTTTGCATGGAAAACGAACCTGGCAGTCACCGGTCTCAGCTGATCAACACAAAACCAGCAGGTTTCCTATCTGCAGGCAATTGATTGCTGCATATCCACAAATAACTCTTATTTATATAAATAGCTTGAGGTCACGGGGAACATGCCACAACCATAGAGACGACAATGTTGAAAAGACCAAAATAATGTCATGACGAGCTCGGACAGGGAAGGACGGATATGGAGGCAGACCTGGTTGTGTCTGCCGGGTATCTACTGTGCTGCATCAAATATCAAGTGAAAGTGTGTGCTATGGGAAATGTCCCTGTGACGTTTTCAGTAATCCATATACGTGACATTTGCTTTAGGAGGTGCAACAGAAGCAGCAGCATCAGCAGCAACATGAACACAAGAAGCAAGAAAGAGAAAGAGAGATCACTTCAGCAGCACCCACAGTTCCTGTCAGGTACAAAAATGACGAAACTTTTTTATCGTGCCCAATTCATGCTTTCTGAGATTCAAAATCACAAAAGCTCACATGTGCATTCTGTCGTTCACTCAGTGTGGGTGTGAAGCAGGAGGACCATGATGCTCTGCTAGTCGAGGTGCAGAGACTTGAGTTAGAGCTGGCTGGGATCAGACAGGACCTGCAGGGTGTGGTGGGATGTAAGGGCAAGTGTGAGCAGCTGGACACACTACAGGAGACGGTAAGTAACACAAATATTGACTCCTGTTTTGCTGTGATTCACTTGTGTATTCCTGTGTATTCATTAGATTCCTGTGTATCCTTTTCAAAGATCTCCGCCCAGGTCTCCGCCCAGGTCTCCTCCCAGGTGCGTAAGGAGTTGCAGGCCCTGTTCTTCGGCAGCGGTGAGCCGGGAGTGGTGCCCGAGTCTTTGATCCTCTGGCTGTCCCAGCGCTACGTGACCACACCTGACCTGCACGCTTCCCTGTCCTCAATGGAGCTGAGCATCCTGAGAAACGTGTCCCAGCAGCTGGAGCTTAACCGGGCTCAAACCCTGGGTGAGGCCGAGTCCCAAGCCCAGACCATCGTTAAGACTGTAACCGGAACCGTCCAACACGCCGCTGCTGCTGAGGGACTGACGGAAGAGGTAATGAGCATACACGACTACAGCAGCATCGCTGTGCTGAGCTCTGTTCAAATGTGTGTTTGCAATGTGTTTGAGGCACATATTTCATTTTTGAACTCATGTGATGTTTTCTCTATTCAAGCAAGTAAAGTTGATCGTCCAAAACGCTTTGAGGCTCTACTCCCAGGATCGAACAGGCCTGGTGGACTACGCCCTGGAGTCTGGAGGTAAGCGAGAAGCCTCTCATCGATATCAGTGCCTGTCCACTGCGGTCTGTACTGTGATGGGTGGCTGTGTCAGCTGGATGCACTGTGCTCTGATGTGATTCTCTTATGTAATGTTTGCACAGGTATTAGTCGGGCTAGAGGACGACAAGGTATTAACAGCAAAAGCTCAGGCTCCATTGTGAGGCGTGTTACTGAGCACTCTGTTGACCTACATGAGAGAGTGGCTTCGCAGCGTGCGCGGGCATTACAGCGTCCTGGTGTTCTAGTGGTTCAGACACACCCATATAATCACAGCCCCTCCTGGCTTCTTCTAAGCCGGGGAGCTTATTTCCGTTTCCCAACACGTTGCGTCTAACTCTACACGCGCTTGGCTTCCAAAAATCTTTGAAGACATTTTACCTGGTATTTGTTAACGGATGTGGTTTATTGCTAGGTTCTGTTTTTGTTTAAGCTTTTACATCATATTAATTAAGACCACCATAAGCATCTGCACAACCAATTGTATGTCTGTTGTTTCCCCAGGAAATTATTTGATTATCAAACTAACTTCTGCAGTCTGACCTGAAATATATTATAACATGGGATGAATCACAACAACAATGAGATTAATTGGAGACATTCTAACATATCTAATTACCAACGTTACTAGATGATGGTTTAAACACCCTGGAGTGTATGCGTTACTGTTATGCCACTGAGGCAGGAACAAATGATTACGGAAACCTTACAGGATGATTGACCCTCAACTTCCAACATTTCAAACTCTAGAATCCTCATTATGCATATTAATGGTTATTTGGTTAAATTGTTTGCTAAGGTGGCAGCATCCTCAGCACTCGCTGCTCTGAGACATATGAGACCAAGACGGCCCTCATGAGTCTGTTCGGCCTGCCGCTCTGGTACTTCTCCCAGTCGCCCCGCGTCGTCATCCAGGTGAGCCCCACCAGAGAGAAACGATGCATGTCTGATTATGTAAACATAGTTAAAGAACTAGTTCCCAATGCTCCACTTCGGTCTCAAAACAAAAGTCAGGAGCCCAAGTCAACTTTGAAACTGCCTTTCTTACTACTTGGGTCTTTTAATAGCCCTTCTTAACAGGTGGAATGATTACAATCTGTTAAAGCTTTTTAAATGTTTATTTGGACACTAATGTTATAAAACGGAACCTTTTGTGGCCTTTTTGGTATGTAAGTGTGGTTCTTCTTTGGTTGATAAACAATAGGAATACCAAATTATTGTCGTTGTTGAATCTTTGGTGTGAAATAAAACTTTTGAGATGGAAACCTCGTGCTGGCTCCTATAATGGAACTTATGCAGGCATTTCTCCTCTCGCTTCCTTTCCCCAGCCTGATGTGTACCCTGGTAACTGCTGGGCATTCAAAGGCTCTCAGGGTTATCTGGTGATCCGCTTGTCCCTGAGGATCCTGCCTACATCCTTCTGCATGGAGCACATCCCCAGGGCCATGTCGCCGACCAGAAACATCACCAGCGCCCCGCGCGACTTCACTGTTCTAGTAAGACACGCAGCAAAAGAGAGCGCTTACAACTGCACCCGGTTGATGCGTGCGCATTTCAGCGGTTTGTTTTTTCGTACAGGGTCTAGATGACGAGTACCAGGAAGAAGGGAAGCTGCTGGGACACTACACGTACGAGGAAGACGGGGAGTCACTGCAAAGCTTTCCTGTTATGGTAACTGAAGAAGCTCCTTCTCACACATCTGTTTGTTGTCTGCAATATTCACCCTGTGCTCTTTCAGGAGCAGAATGACCGGGCCTTCCAGATCATCGAGGTGCGGGTGCTGTCTAACTGGGGTCATCCAGAATACACCTGCATGTACCGCTTCCGAGTGCATGGAGAACCTCGGCCTCAGTGAACCAACCACCACTCGCTCACAAATATCCCCCTATCTGTACATAGCTCTGACCAACATCTGTAAAACGGACTCTACAGGTCTGAATGACGGGAAGACGGTGATGTTGTGGATCGTTAAAGGAATTTGCCTCGACTGAATTGTGTTGTTTTGTAAGCGGGAAAGTCTGCACAGGGAGTGTAAATGATCTCAGAAGAGGAATAGAACCACAGAAGAAGCTAAAACTCCCAATGACCTCTTCATCAAAAGGCCTCTATTACTGAATCAGCCTGTTGGGGGCGCCGTGCTCCACTGAGCGGACAAATCCATCCCCATCTTGGCACCGTCCACTTCTACAGGGAGGTGGACATTTGACATGGGGGGGAAAACAGACTCATCTCCGCTATTTCTTTACACGTTGCATCTTTTTGAGTTCCGTTTTTAATCATGATGGTTTTAATCATTTGATTTCCTGTAAGTTGATTATTTTCAGTATCAAAGCCACTACAACGTTGAGCTCTGGCGACGTCCCAGAGTGTCACTCTCTTTGTTGCTATCAAGTCTCTGCAATGGATTTGTTTGAGCTGTTTGGACAAGCTGCAGGACCGGACCACAGTCACAGTGGGTGAATCGTGGAGCGGCGAGGTTCACTGCGTGCGAGGCTTGGCATCATGTGTCCACACAGCCATAACTCTTGAAAGAGAACATGCTGCCTATGGACACGCTCAATGTTTCTTCAAGGTTTGAAGGCTTGATGTGAATTCTTTTCACAGCGACTCTGCTCAACTGACCTGAGCTCTTCACTATGTACAATAGACATAATATGTGGATGGACTCCAGGATTTATTCTAGCATGTGATACTTCCCAAACCATACTAACTTTTACATGCATCATGGATTTACATGAGTGGGTCCTCTTTAGTTTTGGCTCCTGTTCCTGGATCTCAAATTACTAAAGAATGATGTTGAAGGCAACATAATGACTACCAGCTTTCAACTTGCTGTTGAACAATAATAATAGAACTACTCCTGTAGACAAGAGTTTTCTTTTCTGTTTCTCTTATGAGGGGACTCTGTCCTCTTGCTCAGTTATAAACGTCCTCCTTACATGGGCCCTCTGTTCTGAAACCGTGAAGGAATGTAATTTGTATATTTTGTTGATAGTTGGTCCATTATAATACCTACTTTTATCAGTGTTGCTTTATAAAAAAAGTTACCCTGTCATTATCATAATTAGTATTGTATTGCTACCATTGTTTCTACTGTTATTCATTTTGGTGTTTTGCTTTTTTTTGGTATGTTTTTTTGGGGGGGAGGGTGTTGATGTTGGACGATGCACTGCAACAACTGGTCAGAGAAATGTTTGTCACAAGCTTTCACAATTAGTTTTTAGAAACGGCAGGTGAGTAGTGATTCCTTTTGCTTGCATATATGGAGAAAAATCTATGTATAAAATTGTTTTGTTCACAATCTAATTTATTAACAGGTCAAATAGTAAATGCGAGAAATAATTACTGCAATGTATATTTTGTCTCAAGCTGTCAGTGCATTTTGGAACCATCTTGGGGCTTTTTTTTTAAAAGATAAATGGCTATTTTTGTTCAGTCATGAGATGACAACGGCTTTGGAATATATTCCAATAAAGATTTTAATTTTGAAGAACGTCTCTGGATAACGTGATCACGGCTGCTGTCTTCATCAAAAGCTGTGTTTTACTCAAGCATTAGCATAGAGGAAAATACTTTTACTACACCAAAATCATTTCAATCGAATACTTTTGGTTAATCCTTTATTTTGTGCAACAATAATAGGGCAACATGTAGGATGGAAGAATATCCTGGCATTATAGCAAAATTGGCACATCAGGAATGTAATAACATCTTAAGTAGATGGAACGAGATATTTTTATATTAAAATTTGTTGGTCTTCTCGAGACACACCAAACATCTAGGTGCACTGATAGATGCCCTGTGTGTTATTTAGAAACTGTGCAAATGACTTTTGGGGCTTTTCAAATTCATCTGTAAACTATCAATTTATAAAGTTATGCATGGAAAAAGCCCCATCAAACCATAACACATTCAACAGGGTTAATTAGTTTACTGTAATATTAGAATTAGCATTTGGTGTAATCAAAACACAAAAGTAAAAACACCTCAATTTTAGGAAAAAGATTTAAACTGAGGCCAATGCAATGTGCAACTGTGAAATCGGATTATGTATATTTCTTCATTAAGGCTGAATTTGACTCATTTTAAGTACTCTGCCTCCCTCTAGCGGAGAACATAAAGAACTACGGAATCGAATGAGAACTGCAGTTTATTTTGCGTGATCCGGTAGGGTACGTTTTTGTCCGTTATATAACGTTAAATTAGCATCATTATAACGATGTGTTGCATGTGATTATACAAACTGTCAATATCCCGCAAGTATTGAAGCTGTGATTAACGGTACCATGTTTAATCCCACCTTAAAAGACCACATTGTAAAACCAAAAATACTTTATATAAGCCATATTTTCGGTGAGCCATTGTTGTATTGCAGAAACCGTTGAGTGGATTTAGAAATTATTTTGTTTCAACATTTCAGCACTTGTTTACAGCGGAAGTTAATGGTATGACTACTTCCTTGACAACCGAGCGAGTCCCTGACAACCGCTGCAGCAACTCGCTAGAATAATGACGGAAATAAACGTTGGGAAAAAGTCCCTTTGGCAACAAAGCTGCGAAGGTAAGCTGATCTCATTCTACCCACTTTTTTCATTTAAAATCTGTTGACGATCATTTAATGGGTAACGTGTTTGTTTTTTTGGAGAGTATGAAGCTGAGCAGCGCAGTGCTGTGTGGCCTGAAAGCAGCTCAATGTGCACCCAGTTCCCCCAGTACAGCGCCAGCACACGCTCCGCTGTGTTCAACAGACTCCCCACAGCCACGGTCAGCTCACTCGTCCCTGTGTCTGATAAGTTCTTTGTCCCCGGGGTCTTGATATTGCTATTTGTTGGTGCAGGTGTTTGTGGATGAAGACGCTCTCCTCTGCTCCTCTGCTTTTGGAAAACCTCGCTCCACAAGCCACAAGCGCCCATCAACCGCTGAAACCACATCGCCTCCACAACTACATGAACGTAAGAGGATGGTTGAACATTTCCCTGCAGGGTATAACTGCCCTCCTGGGGCCAAAATAACGTGTCAAGTCTTTTGTGTTTGTGTCAGGTCCTGTTCCACGCTTTCTAGAGAGGAGAGTGTTTCCGGTGTTGTTGCCTGGACTTGAGGCTTTGCTGAAAGAAGCCCAGAAACATGGCTGTTTCGAGGTCTGAATTTCTTCTGATATATAACGAATAAAGTTACAGGTCCCCCATGTTGTTTGTGTGACCTCACCTGAAACAAAGCCATTCGTGTGTTTGATGGGATTGTGTTTTCATAGATGTGGTAAAAATGTATATCGTTAAGTGCTGGGAGTAGTTACAGTTTGTAGGTACTTGTATTCATTCAATTAGAAGCAAATTAACTCATTTAAATTGACTTCACCTTGAACAACGTCAGCAGTTAAACAGTCAAAAATAGTAATCCAATAACCTGATATAACATTGTCAGGGTCCAAAAATCTACTCCTTGTAAAAGTGATGCTGTACACTGATGTGTGATGCATTACATTCATTTCTGTTGCAGAGGGTAAAAACAGCCTTTAACCCATGTGACTTCATGACGGAGTGGCTCTACAAGTAAGATAGAGCCCCCCCCCACACACACACACACAGAAAGCTCTCTCTCTGTCTCTGCACTGTATAATGTGAATGCTCCATTTATTACCTACAATGTTTTCCTCAGCCACAACCCCCACAGACAAGAACAGGGCCCGGTGAACTTCCATGACATCCCTTTTGTCAGAGACTATCTCAGCGTGCAGTGAGTTTCTCCCCAGTCTGTCAGACACACTACATCTTTTACCAGCAAATTCCTTGTTTGTCCCCAAATGACACAAATCGGCCTGTCGCCGTTTAAAGTTCCATTGTCACGAGGATGCCGTGATGGATGATGAAAGATGACTGAATTAATTAATCAATTATGCCATTACACAAACGTGCTCGTCCACAGATACGTGCTGCATTTTGTTTTTACAGATAAACTGAGACGCTCCCGTTTTGTCTCTTTCTGTGTTCAGCCCCAGGTCTCCCCTCCCTCTGTATCTGCTGCTGAGTGAGGATCAAGCTGCTCTGCTCATCCAGGCTTTCTGGAGGGGATACAAGGTACACTGGATTTATAGCCTGCCTATGTGTATGGGGTCATCTGTTCTCCTAACAAATGACAGCCGCCGTCCTGCATGTGCATCGGCCCACAGTGCGATATCGTTGTGTAATCTCATTTTACGGAAAAGCTCCTCTTCCGACTTGCAGCGACTGCAATTTCATTCAGCAGCTGGATTATGTCATCAGTGATGCTGGGATTTAAGTCCTTCCTGCGTGGGCGTTGTGGTCTGAATTACTCACTACTAGAGTAAGACATAAACAGACACCACCAGAGGCAAACAACTGCAATTTGTCCACACAAATAAACCTAGCCTTGTGTGCTGTAGGGATGAAAGGAGTGGTCTTGTCTTTGTTTCTCTCATCAGAAGCAATTTTTTATTTTTTTGTCTTGTTTAATCCTTCGTGCTTGCGGGAGGATTCAGCTTCAGTGTTGCTGCACAAACCACTGAGAGGGAAAGATGCCAGCTGTGCAATTACATTCTGTTTGAATAATCTGGACATGTTTGCAAGTTGCTGAATTCTTTGTGCGTGTGTGTGCATGAAAAGGTGTTTGTGTGTGTGTGAATGCATGCATCCCTGTTTGGGCTGTTAGTTAACCAGCAGGGGGCAACACTTCCTCTTTTCTATTTTTGTAACAACAAAAAATCTAACCAGACTCTGCTCACGGAAGGTGGCGGCAGCAGCAAGCCGGCTGCCTGTCGCTCATCACTCTGTTTACCTGGAATCAAGAGATGGTCCGAGAGGCCGCTGATGACAGCCGACATCCAGAAGGGAACAGTGGTTTATACATGTGGAAGGATGAAGCTCAGGCTGCATTAGGAGTATTTTTCAGATAGGTAGATGGACGGAGGATAGAAGGGAGGACAGAAGCAAGCTGGTGTTGTAGTGTGGCCTTGGATTGTAAGTGGGTCCTGGTGGAAGGTGAGAAATGGAGATTCTGCAACATCTGTAGTGACTAAGAACATGGAGGGAGATGAAACCTCTAAGAAGAACACGGGAGCCTCTCGACGCGGCGCAATCCGCTTCTGAGGGTTTGCGTCCCGAGATCATGACTTATTCAAGCTGCACAGGGTGGAGATATTTTTGGTAGGCGCGGAGGCAAAGTCCCGACAAGCGTAATAGTTTGTCACAAGAGCAGCCGGTTCCAGCTCAGTGGGCAGCGGATGAGGAGTCATCTGTGAAGCTCTGCTGCACTGCAAAACATTTTTTTGAATCATGCAATCATTTCATGTCTCCCATTTATAATGTATTCTGACCAAACTGTCCTATCAGGATGTCAGGGTTTGCATACTAAATATCAAATTGAGAATATCGGGCTAACTAAATGTGTCCTAGTTTAAATCTTGAGAATATTTCTGAAGGTAAATCACAACAGGAGTATAATAAGGTTAATGCAGCATATGTAATGCTATGATGCAGACAACTTTATCTGAATGACGGATGTTTGCTTGAATCTATTCAGTTTGCTCTTCACACAGTGTCCACAGACCTTTGCTTTCCCACTCACTATTTGCTGTTATACAACTTGCCTGACGTAGCGTTAACTGCAAAGCGTGTGTGTGTGTGTGTGTGTGTGTGTGTGTGTGTGTGTGTGTGTGTGTGTGTGTGTGTGTGTGTGTGTGTGTGTGTGTGTGTGTGTGTGTGTGTCCGCGTGTGTGTGCGCATGTATTTCTGGGAATGTTTGTTTGTAAGAGAGACCGACAGACAAAGTGCCAGAGTGTGGCTCTGGATTTTATCCCTGCATTATTAATCCCCTTCATCAAAATGTAGTGAGGAGTGAAGAAGAGCAGCGGTAGAGACAGTACACACAACAACGCACATCTATGACCCAGACAATGCGATTATCTCCTGTTTCTCTCATGCACAACTATGAACTACCGCTGGGTCTAAACATATTACGTAATCTTCTTTCCTGTGCCGACACTAATCCATTCATCTGCTTGCTACTGTAATGCATACATATGTACACACACACACACACACACGCACACTACTCAGGCTGGCGCTGGTCTCGTCAGCTGAGTTGCAGTAATGGAGCTGCTCTGTAATAAATAGGCATTTAGGCCGTGTCGATGGTTTATAGTCAGGTAGAGAAGCAGGCTTTTATCATATCGATCATTTCTATTGACTATTAATCGAGCGTCTACTGAAGTTGGCCTTTTGCTGCCCACAGCACTGCCTTGTGCGGCGTAGCCTTCAGGTCAAACAAATGTTTGTGTTTGGTTTCCTTGTTCCGGTCCAGGATCCGTTGTCGGATAAGATTCTATGGTGTTTTTGTTTGTTTTGTATTTCAGAGGCACGATTATTCACCACTTGACAAAGAGTTAGATGAAAAAATCACTTCCACTCTTTTGTTCCTTACCTAAACTAAGAATAAATACTGTAAACAGAGGCGACTGGCAGTTCTGTACAAAAAGTCCATAAAAAATAATATGCTTAAACATAAAGACATATAGTGTTATCACTATTTTCACACGACTCTCAAGAGAAAATGGAATAAGCCCAAATGTAAGAAAACCCTGACTTAAATACCACCTGAAGAGGATGCAATTCAAACAAAACAGAATCTATTATTATTTGGTAAGTTAACGTGAATTCACTTTTGTTACGGCCCATACTCTTCCAAGGAAGGCCTTGTTGGGCTGCCACCAGGCCACGTTGTTGTCTGAAAGTAGGCCACTTTGAGTATTGAGTGTATTCCGCGTGACATAAAACGAATAGGGCTGTTGAAAAGACTCTCGCACCCAGAGAGCTAAGCAGAGTCAACAGCAGAACGAGCGAGGCGATTCCAGACGAGCGGTCCGAGGGCATTCATTGATAAGTGATATGAATTCCGCTCCAGTGTAGAGTCAGTGACGCTCGTGCAGAATATATGTCACAAGCAATCAGGACATCCATTCCAGTGGCCCTGCTTTGTCATTTTCCCCCTTCCTGAAAAATTGCCACAGGGGGCCCAGAGTGGGACGGACTGGTCACAGCATGAGAAAAGGTTATGTCTTAAGTGCTCTGACAAAGGACAGTGAGGTCACAGTTCAACCAATTTCTCTGCCCACAAAGGCGTGAATCGAATCACAGGTTGCTCAGCTGGTTAAAGCTTGATGGAAGCATCGGCTGACGAGGGCGTGATGGATCGCTGGGCGGCTGGGGGGTTCGGAGAGTCGACGGAGGCCCGGCTGTGGTGGCTGCCTTTTATGCAGCCTGTCAGTGCGGCTGGAGGATGTGACTGCAGTCGGGTTTTTGAATGACGGAAGCCATTGTGCAGAGTGTGAGACTGAGAGTGGAGCTCGCTCTCACACGCAAGCTTTGCACAAAAAGGGGAAGGCGGCTTGAAAGGCTGTGCAGCGAGAATGAGGCGTGTGTGTGCAAAAGAAGGCACAGTGTGCACCGTTTGTACGCTTGTTTTGGGGGGATGTGGTGAGCTCGTGGGGTTCTGCTTATGTCATCGGGAGACTGTCATCTCTTTTTTTCATTTTCATTTCATATTTTCAACATGAGTGTTTTATTGAGGCTGTGATTTTGCATGTCAAATAATGCTTTGTGCTGTGACATGGACGATTGTAGCAACGTGATACTGTATTATCATCAATGATACAAACAAGTGAAAAAAAGGACCGACGTCAGTGTTGTAAATCACATGTATTTACATATATACCTAAGTGCATGTGCATATATGACACATGTGGAAATAGAAACAGAGTCCTTGATGCACAGTCAAAACAACCCCCCCTCTGCTAATCAGCTGTGCTTATGCACACAGACAGGCTTCAAAACGCTCACCCACTCAACTCGGCTCTTTGTCTCCTGCTACCACACAGAAACTGACAGCAGCCGGTAGAACCCACGTATATATTCAGAAAGTTAGCTTTCCAAGAACTGAGAATTTGATTTTTGTTTTTTGGGCGGGGGGTGGAGACAGTGGCTGTTGCGGGGAGAATCAGAGCCGCCCAGACATGTCCTCATCTTAGTGGGGAGACTATTTTCCGTTGTTGGTCTGTACTGAAGAACGCCAGCAGTGAAACATACATGCCCAGATAAGGGCTCACCCCTTCCACAAAGAAACCACGCAGGCAAGGGGGGAGGAGACGCGACGGCCTCCAACCCCCCCCCCATCCCTCCTGACCCTCACCCCTCATTTCCATTTCAATGGTTTGTTCCCATCAGCAGAGAGGCTGTTGCAGAACTGTGACACCCGGTGAATGAACTATTGGAGCCCGCTAGTCTTATATAACAGACCCACTTTCATACGCACTGCTAATAGCAACACCATTGTCGCCTTTCAAGCAGTCGGAGGGCGAAGGGGGAGTGGGGGGGGGGGGGGGTAAGAGCAAAGATTGGAGCTGTGGGAGAGAATACACAGGAGAGACGAGAGAGGGGAAATATTGCTCTGCCGGATTATAGATGCGTATTTCCAGAAGTCGAGGGAGGCCGAGGAAGAGGCACACATTGGATCTATAAGAAGACGGGGAAGAGAAAGAGGGGTGGAGGAGTAGTAGAAGCAGAGGAGGGGGCGATAATAAAGGAGAGAAAGCTCTTCAGCAACATTTTCAATTCATCTAAAATAGAAAGTCTGCTTAGTAATCCCTCAGGAAAGCCAGCAGTGCAAATACTGCAAACTAATGCAGGGGTTACCTCCAGCAAAGGAAAAGCATAATGCATGACCGCCATAACAGACGAGAGAGAGAGAGAGAGAGAAGCACGAGTTGATCTATTTACTTCAACATGTGGACACAGATGCACAAAGACACTCAGCGATGCATCTTTACACGCTTCATTACTGACAGAAGCGTTTTCTCTGCAGGGACCTTTCTGCCACTATTCTAACAATACAGATCAATAATGTAGAGTGCAATGTAATTCATTTAGGCTTCTATATAACAGACACTGAGACACATGCAGATGTTTTAGTTTTTCAGAAGTGTCAGCATCAAAGGGGTAATTTACAACTTTAATACATGTTAAAATAATAGAAGAGTGGTCCTTGTAATAAAGCGTAATTATACAGATAAAGCACCTTTGAAAACAGTGTTCCAGATTAAAATATGTTCATTCTACAGTTATATAAAAGCAATGAATTTAAAATAGATTAAATGTAATAGAATGCAAAGAGTGAAATATACGCATAAATATTGTATTGGTGCTTATAAGTCTTGGATCCTCAGGTCCAAAGCTGATGGCCCTGACTGAGAAGAGGAGGAAGCATTTAATGTCATGTTCATTAGGAGGTTTCACCCTGTTGGTGTAAGCACACTGTGTGTTACATACATAGACATTATAGACGTGTTAACTAAAAACCCTCTAAATGGACATCACTGGCCGTATACTGGCACTAATTATCCTGCAACTGAATGATGCTGTCGATGATATTAGCTGAGTTGATGCATGTGCTGCCTTCGTGTGCTGAGTGTGTGTGTGTTTGTGTGTTATAGATCAGAGCACGGCCAGATGTGCAGGAACTGCGCCGGTGGCAGAGAGAGCTGAGAGAGAACAGCGACATCGGTAAAACGGTTGAGAAGTTCTGGGCGCAGCTAGAGAGCCGAGGTGAGAGCGGATGCCAGGCCTCGGGCTCGCTGCCATCACAACCAGCTGACATGCATATACTGTATATGTATATCCTCCTATGCACACCAACATACACACACACATCAGCGCAGTCTCATGCACTGCAGGGATACGGGATTCATCCCAACGAGGCTTTGAAGTTAAAGCACGGAGACGAGTAGTGACACAGAGAGAGAATGAGGCCAGAGAAGGAGAAGCAGAAAGCAAAGGGGACGGCGAGAGGGAGCCGCAGGAAGAGAGAGAAGATTGAAAGTGAAGGAGAGAAGAAAATGTCAGCAGGGCTCAGGGTGCGTTCGAGTGAGCGAGAGCGAGGATGGAGGCGAGAGCAACGAGGGAGGGAGATGATGACAGAGGGACTGTAAAGTGACAAAGTGTGTCTATCCCTGAATGTGTTAGCAGATGTGTGTACTTTTGTGTGCACACAGGAGGGACAGAGCCGAGCAGCTGAGAATGTAAGCCCATGATCGGTGTCACTGACTGGCAGTAAAGCTCCACGACAAGGGCAAAACTTTGACCTTGAACACACACACACTCCGTAGTACACTGCAATTCCTGACCAGCAACTATTATTCAAGGTGATACCAAAGAGTGCAGGAAAAGAGTGTGGGAGAAATCCGTAGTCATTAGTTGAGTTGTCATTAAATAAAATAATATAGATGTCAGTTTGTCAGATGATATATCTTAACAACTATTGGAAGTATTTCTAAGGATGAGCGTGATCGACATTAAACATGAGTATATTATTATTGGGATCGTGCATTCAAGCCTTAGCATTTAGCTTAATGTGCAGGCTTATAAACCAGTCCACGTTCAGATTGTCCCGAGATCCATTCAACCAAGAACATTGTCTACAACCGCTTTAGACCAATGTGCGTATATGTGATGACTAACGCACACAAACTCCCAACTTGCACACTAAAGCTGAGCGCCGGGGCATCTCTTGTTTTTGTCGCCCACAAACAATGCTTGCTCCACAAGCACAGGTTTCTTCCGCACTGACACATTCCACACAACAAAGGAGCCCCGCTGCAGCTGCGGCGGCTCGGCGGACATTGTTCCACTGGGGTGCCGCGGCCCGGCTGGTATGCTGCTGCTAAATGCTGCCATGCTGCTCCACCACAACTGCTGACCTGACATTTAAGCAGGGGGCCTGGGGACGTGTGTGTGTGTGTGTGTGTGGGGGGGGGTCCGTTTGTGAGAGAGTGTGTGAGTTTAGAGTCGGCCCAGACTGTGAATGGAGGCCATTTTCCGACCTCTACTACAGAATCTGAAATGGATGAGCAAACCAGAAATGTGTGAGACGGAGACCGGCGCCGAGGGGGACGAGATTGAAGCTGCAGTTTCATTGTGTTTGCTTGTTGGGCCAGTTGTTGTTGTTGTTGTTGTTGTGGAGGATGTAAGGAAGTCTGGGACAGAGGGCCGGGGTAGAGAGAGAGAGAGAGAGAGAGGTTGAGTGACGAAGAGAACTTATTTAAGGAAGCCCCCCGCCCCGCTGTGTGCGCTTCAAGTCGATGCAGCAACAGCTGCACCCGTCTCATTTGACCCGCAGGAGACCTGCATGCGATACTTCTGCTGCCATTTCACGTTTCAAAGGCTGAATTCAGAATTAGTCGTAGAGGGGAAACAAAAGGGGAAAGAGCAAGGTAATCCAGAGAGGGGACACACGATGATACTTCAGGGTCACGAGGTCACGGCTCATTGGGCAGGTGCAGCTCTCGGCAGCTCGTGAATCACCGCGTCTGTCCTTGACTGTAGCCTAAATTGTGTATCATCCGTCCAAGCGTTTTTTAAAACAGATTAGTTACCCAGCTTGTGACAACGCTTCTTCTTAAAATGGTACATCCTGTTGTTGTTGTTTTAGTTTTGCCATGAAATGAAATGATTGTGTCATTGCAGTGCATTGTACTGATTCTTTTCTGTTATCATTTATTAAGAAGACCTTCCAATGTTTATAAAATGCACATTCTTAAAAGTACGACGGACGGCATCTGAGAAAGTGAAACTGGTTCAACCCATGTCTTAAGTGCAGTTTTCTATAAGTTATATTATGATGACTTTTTTCTTTTTTTGAAACCGATCGTTGAAAACCAGCATAATGTATATACAGCAGGATGTACAATTAGACCTGCTACATCTTTAAACCCTTTCAAACACTGTTTTTATAGCGCCTAAATCTACAGTGACACCGGTCTGCCTGAAACGACCATGAACTCGTTCTTATTGAGGATGCGGTCTTTGTTTGTCTCCAGTGGGCTCTGCCATGACATCTCCTCCGCCCGGCGACTTGGATGTGTCCATCCAGGTGGTTTCCCCCACCCCCCAGAGCACCGTGGCTCACACCCCCACCCCTGAGATGACCCCTGACGGCGTCGAGAGGCTGACCCTCCTGCCTCTGCAGCGTGGAGAAAACGGCCCCAGCGCGTTTCTCGACTGATTGCACGGCTGCTTCCGTCCTTCTTCACCTGGAACTCAAAGCCTGAGATAAATGATTACCTTGTTCCCGTGCACAACCTTTTTTGTTGTTGTTGTTGTTGTATAGGCTATTGAACTGTGTGATGGTGATGTGAAACTGACCTACCGATCAGTCAAACAAGCCATTAAAGTCCCCTGTAGGGATTTACGTGCTATGATTCGTGTCTAATTAGTTGATTGCGTTCATTGCTTTTGTGATGGATTCCTTCACCCGACAAATGAACAACATATAAATACGGTTCATAAATCATTACTTGTCCGGCCGAAGCTTCTGGTAACAGACTTAATACTTCAATGCAGCAACTCTAGCTGATATTTAAATGTTATTACCCTAATTTGTCAATTCCTTTCTTCTTAGCAATACATATCACTTGACAAAAGAAGTCGTTGCCTTTTCATTCAAGCCAGAAATTGAGGCCAAAGACGAGTCAGCGTGCGGAGGAGAACTTTCTAAGAAATGATCCCGTCGGGTAAACGGGGAATAAAAAAAACTAAAAAAAACTTCACTGGTGGGTTATTGTCATGTGACAAAGCAGCAAGAACATGTGACATCAGACGTTCTCCTACAGACTTTCTGTTTTAGAAGAACATCGAGCACATGACATAAAATACCAACATCACAATGAAAAGAAACATTATCCCAATCTTGCAAATCTGACAAGTATGTTAACATGGTGCTGTCTGTGTGTTGGTTACTGTTTTTATTCAGAGAGTCTTTTGTAAGATGCAACTAAAGGTTTCACATTTACCATTTTGCCCCTGATGGCATCGATTTCAACTGAACCAACATTGTCAACTTGAGCTTTTGTTTTCTTAAATGTTAGAAAACGGTAATGTAAGGTTAATAATAACATTTTATTATCAGAAATGTTCAGGACAAAAGGACAGGACGCTGCTCTACAACAGGTCTTTAATCTCCGTCATGCCAACTCAAAAGACTGCTCAGGTTGTCCTGTATTCTACTGACTGTGTGTCACTTAAACTGGGTGAATGCAGTGCATTCCTGGCTCGTTTCCATCAACTACCTGAGTGGATACTTCTGGCTTCTCCCTTCCGTGTCTCTGCAGAGCGATGAGGCGCCGCCGTTCTTGTGATGGACAGTTTCCTGAACTGGTCCCCGATGCACACCGCCTCGCGGTGAGGCACGAGGAGGCTCGTGTATCTCTCTCCTCGCAGGTATGTGCGTGCCGGGGAGACAGCTGCCACTGGGTGAGGTGATAAAACAGCCCATTTCATTCTGGGGAAATCTGATCCACAGCTCCACGGAGTCTGGCAGCGCCGGACCCGACTGAAACCAAATCACACAGCAGCAGCAGGCTGAGAGAGCAGAGCCGCAGTGGAAGTGTAGAATATAACTGTGTTTACTCGTGGAGTGTAATCCTGTGTGGGTATATATATGTGTGCCACAAACATTGTTCAAAACCCTTTAAACATGCAGTGAGTTATATGACTATATATATATTAGAAGTGTATTGTTGTAGCATTCCCCATTTAATACATATCCTTATCTCACCCAGATTAACAGTGTCCTTTAGGGGAAAGAAAAGTACAAAAAAAAAAAAAAGATGTATTATTCCAGAATAATCCGGTGTGTCTGCATCACTACCAGGGAAAAAACACCACATCCAAATCGGAGTTAACTACAAACATGACACTTTATTGTACTTATTTTTTCCTGATTCAGTTACAGAAACATGAGTTCACCGTTTATTCTTTTGTTTTGTTTTTTCATGTAATCAGGGCAATCAAGTTCTATACATAGGCATGCTGCGTCACTGCACAGTCACAGCTGTGAAAACCAACACCACCCTGTTCAGCTGCCCCGCTGGAACAGTCTGAAGGCAAGACAAATCAGGAGAGGACAGAAAGGACACGTCAAACCCAGCGAGGATGGGTGTTCAGTGGGCTGCCCAGGGATGACAAATTGAACATATAGAAGTTTTGTGCAAATTTCACCACAGTCTATTTGATTTTGAACACAGAGACAATATCAGTCCGAAGATTCTCTTTTTTTTTTCCCCCCTCGAGTCTTCAAACTAACAGAGGAAGTCTTGTTAGGTCCAGTGATGATGCCGTGTTGAATCATACTATTTTGGACCATTTTCCCCTGACTTTAATCTCTTTGCTTCTCAAGAGCCAGCTCTCTTTTTTTGTGTTTTAAGAAAGCACAGACAGTAAGTGTGTCATCTGATATACATCGAAATTATGATTGCTGTCACATGACCTTTACATAAACAGTTAGTATTCAAAAGTACGTCTGAGAAAGGTCTTACATGTAGAAATGGTGATAAACATGCACAGATAGGTAGTCGACAAGTGATCTACAGAGTCACACTGAGTGAAAACATCGCAAGAACTGAAACCTCCCTCCGCCGATCAAAGTGTTACTGCTGACCATCCAAAACCCTGAGGACCGTTGTTCTCTGGTGGGGTGCGCTCTCTTTGGGCATCGAGGTGCCCCGATGAAACCAGTCCGGTTTAAGAACAGCCAGGTGAATGTACAGCGGCGGTCAAGGATCGACCCTTCGGCTCTTCCTGGTCGAGGGTTGGCGTCATCCTGGTGACTGTTGGTGGCTCCTTGCAGTTTTTTTCCACCCTGCCTCCTCTAACTTTGAATAATAGTATTGAAGGATGATTTGTTTACTGCATTAAGTACCAACAATTATTCACAGTCAGTATAATTTTGGGGGAAAATAAATTGGTTTGTATCCCTGTAGCCGTTACAGTGAAGAGCAGCGCAGATCCCTATGAATGACAAATATTTCTTTGAACATTAACCCCCCCCCAAAGAAAGCATGTCTATTGTTGGCAAAACATTTAAAAAAATGCTAGTTTGAAAACTAAAAGACACCAGCAAGAGAGAAATAAATGTATTATAAGCAAATGTAACAATAAGCAAATGTGTGACAGATCAAACAAGTTAAAAAAAAAATTAAAAAAACCCCGATAAAAATAGTTGGCAGTGGTCAGTTCTCCAGTGGGTCATTTCACTGCTTTCTAAACTGGCTACCATTAAAAAAAGTAAACAAGCAAGCAAAGCTTTACAGCACTACTATGTACACAGCGTCTCAGAGAGAGAGAGAGAGAGAGAGAGAGAGAGAGAGAGCTGGTGTCGGGATGAAGGAAAAGGGCGTGAAACGAGTCCTTCGTGGCACAGGGCTACACGTGCGCTGTACCCGGCCACAGGGAGGAAGAGGAGGAAGAGGAGCGAGGGAGGCGCTTCACCAGATGAAGGACACAACCACGTAGATCACACACGGAGGCACACAGACCGGGGGGGACGTTTCTCCAACAGATCTCACCCTGTCGCATAGACTCCCCTCGGCCCGTCACTCGCTACGTCCTCCCTCCTCGCCTCCGTTCCCGTCTTCCTCCTCTCCTCTTTCTAGCGTGCGCTGTAGACCAGGTCTTCCTAAGGCTCTATATCTCCACACACCAGCCACAGTTTTCACCCTATAGCCTGTCACTCATAGCTTTGATTTGTGCATCAGCAGTTCTGCGAGTTGTGTGGAGGGTTATTTAGCACCAGAAAGCAATCTTGACTTTTGTAAATCCCCCCCCGTCACTCATAAAACCAACACGCATGAACACAAATATAGGAGCTTAGCGCAGGACAACGTGTCGATTCCTTCGCTCCGATTCCCCGCTGACATAAAGTGACAGTTTCTACTGGCTGGTTCAAAACGCCAGCGGCCTCCGGAGATGTGGGAGAGCAGTTGACCCAGATTCACGAAGCGGCGCCTCCCCACCGATGAATGACGCCCTCCCCGTCCAGTCGGGATCCGCTGCGCTCCACCGTGACGGCAGCTTCGATCCCTCTGCGCAGGTGCTTCGGGCCGCGAGCAGCCGATGGGAACTTCTTCTCCGACCCGCAGTTCAGGATTTAGATTGTTTCACAATTTTGCAAAGTGTCCATGCAGGCGTGAGGATGGGGGAGGAGTGACGCTTTTCACAGACGGTGCAGTGAAACCGGAAAGATGGGAGGAAGAAGAAGTGGTCGAGGAGGGGTAACAGTCTGCAGGGGAAGGTTTGTTGGAGTGGTGGAGATGAGATGTAGGAAACACGTCTTTTTTTTCATATTCTATACATACACCGAGGCTTGAATATTTTAAACGGGCGGTGCTTGAGCTGTACAGTTGCCCATGTGCTGCGTCTTCACCTACACTGTGGGTGGATGGAGGACAGAGCCAAATGTTTTCACTTGAGTCAGCATTGTGAAGAGCAGCAGAAAGGACGTCCCGACTGACGGACAGAGAGAGAGAGCGAGCAGGAAAAGGCAATATATTTCACAGTTTTTCCAATGATGCTTACAGTGCTGTATAGTCTCAGGGGGGCAAATGGAACAAAATGAAAAGGTATACTGCGATTTGATGTTTTCCGATCTGAGTCATCATGTGTTTTGTTTTGCTACTGGCTGGTCACATTTCAAGTTCTTGAACCCTTCTATAGAGATTTGTGTGCTAGAAGGGCGTTTAGCTCTGTCCTCCACAGACTCACACACACACTCATACAATAGTTGATTGGCACACAGTCATTGTTTGAGTCTGTACACAGAGGGATGCAGCCCCGTTGGCATCCGTGATTTAAGTCCCATTCAACCTGGCGGCGCCCTCGTTCTGGACCCCTCCCTTACCCCACCCACCCTCCTCTTCTTCATCTTCTACCACACCTCTTCTTCTCAATCCTCCCACTCACCACAGCTGCCTCCCTGTGTAGGTTGGAGGGGCGGAGGGCACCTGTAGAAGGAACAATTAAGCTTGTAAATGAATTTTGATACCATTAATATTGGCATCGTTACACACATACGATTGCTGCACATTTACCCATTTTACACATGCTTGTCTGCATTTCCCTCTTAACAGAAACCCTCCGGTGTCATCTGGCTAACTACCAGATCTTTAGGCAAACCAAGCTGCATGCACTTATTGTACTCTGCAAAGAGGATACAAACCTCCTTACGGTATTAGACCCGTCTCAAGGCTTCCCATCTTTAACCTAAAGAGTTAGATGAGAAGATGATACCGTTTGCAGCTTCCATGATTGTGTCAAAATCTACACAGCATCCGCTGAAGCTATTTTTCATACCTCGCTTGTAAAATCCAAGCAAAGCCCGGCTAGCTGTCATCGCAAGTCTTTATGCTAAGCTAAGCTAACTGTTGCTTGATATTGAATCTGCAGGCAAGACGGAGGTGTCAACAGCGGTATCAACTTTCTCATTTAACCCACTGCAAGTGAATAAAGTTAAATTCCAAAAATTTTACACAAGTAGACCTTTATCCATCTTGCACTTACATCGCACACTCTCTTCTATTTAATTATGTGCATTCATTTTATAAATATCTTATCCTCTTGAATTGCTATATTAAGATCCATTTCCAATGTAATGCATTTGGCCTCCTTGGAATATATAAATCTGCCTTAAAAACAAATGCACAAAACACTGATGTTGTTGTAAGCAGGCCAGTTAAGGAGTCTCCGCGTTCTCTTTTGCCCATTAAATCAGCACGCCTGCTAGGAATAGTGACTACAATATCTTCTATTCAATAGAGAGTGCGGCTTCAGCTTTTTAGCCTCCAGTTTTGTGTTGGGCTAAATCTGTAACACTGGGCGGAAAATAAGTTCACCTGCGGCAGCCAGAGTGCACATTCAACCTGCATAACAAAAGGCCGGCAGACAGTCGCATTATTCAATGGACAGAAAGCATCGCGGCTGATTTACACAGAAAGGGGAACATGGAATCGCTTACACACACACACACACACACACACACACACACACCCGTACACAGACTCAATGTCAGACGGGTGACCATTTGCGACAAAATGTCTACAAATTACGACACACACACAGGCACATGACCATGCATCCAGCCAACTGCTAATGCGCGCACACACACATACTCACACCTCTCCCTCATCCGTGTGCAATGGCGTACGGTCTGGAACGCACGAATGTGCATGCAGTCTTTGTCGGCGCGGTCGAATGAGAGAGCGGCGTGTAAGCGGCGTGTACCTGGGACTGGGAGGATGTACTCACCGCTCCCCCGTTCAGGATCATGGTCATCTCAGTGGGTTGGTAGACGTTGCTGCGGAAAGGAGCGCTGGGCCTGGGGGCGGTGTTGCTGTTGTGTTGCCCGGCGCCGGCAGCGCTCCTCAAGCCTTGAAGAAAGACAGAGTTGCTGTGTAACTCCATCTCCTGCCTACATTCCACCGGCAACTCTTGGGATTGTACGTTACCTGCAGTGTTCTCGTCGCTGTATCCGTAGCCCTGGTTCTCCACAAACTGCCTGTGAGAGAGAGGGATGTCTTCGTCAAAGCTGGTCTCCCTCATCCGCGTCGAGTTTTGGGAGGTGTCAAAGTAGTCGGGGGCAGTTGGCTGCGGAGGGGGTCTCAGGCATAGGTGGGATTCAGGAATGGCGTGAAAGATCAGCAGCAGCCAACCCTGAGCCACTAAAGCAATGGCCAGTGCCGGGTCGTTCCATTCCGGGGACCTCCCCAGCCAGGCGTTGCCGTACAGATAGAAGCCCACCCAGGCCACCCACAGCAGCAACGACAGCAGGCAGGTGACCAGCAGCCAGACGGCGTTGCAGCGCCAGTGATGCGTCTTCCCACACAGGGCGAGGGAGGCGGCCGCCAGCGCGGCTAGCAGGAGGGCCAGCACGTAACTGCAGGCCAGTGAGAAGTCCAGTGGCAGGTACTGGCAGGCGGCTCGTCCCTCCCTCAGCACGGTGAGAAGGAGCCACTCGGCGGCGATGATGCCCTGCACGGCACTCAAGCCCAGCGCGAGGCCCGTGAGGGCGCAGCCTCCAGGGCTCCGGCGCTCACGGCCAATCCTCCGCAGGCGGACCCCCTGCACCAGCAAGCAGGAGAAGCAGACGGCGAACAGGAGACCCCACAGGGCCCTGCGGAGCAAACACAAGAACTCGTCCTGCTCGATCAGGTAGGCGAAGCTCAGGCCGAACAGGCCGAGGACGCCGAGGAGCAGCAAGAGGATGGGTCCCACGCCGCTGCGCTTCTCGGCCTCACTGATGTGGTGTAAGCGGCACAGCAGGACTAGGGCGAGCAGGAGGGCGGTCAACACCCCGCCGGCGGCAACCGATTCGACAGCCACGCCCCATATGGAGTCCAGGTCGCAGAGGAGTGTGTAGGGACGCACGAGGCCCCATCCGCAGCCCCTCGGGAGGGCCTCGGAGTCCTCCGGGTCTTGACCGGTGGCGCGGGGAGCGGCGGTCAGCAGCAGCAGGAGCAAGAGCGGGACGAGCGCCATCTCTGAGAGGTCAACAGATCAGAAGACGGAGACGGACGAGGACACAAAGACAGGGAATGGATAGAGTTAAAGGAACGGAGGCGGAAAGAGCATGAGCCGTTGTGGTCATTCACGCAGTAATCATCCGCCTGTCAGTGACAATACAGACAATATCAGCCACTGCTGTGTTTCGGAGAGGAAACAAAGTAGGTCATGCGGTGTGTGTGACTGAAGAATTTCCAAACACACAAAACACACACGTCCTGTTTCACTGCCGCCTAAAGCCCTCCCTCTTTTAAGAGCTTTACGGTTTCATTTCTGTTGTAAAAAACAATCACATTATTCCAGGAAAGTACCTTCAAAACGAGAAAAGGCCCAAATAAGCTGTCTTTAGTTTATTCACAAGGAAGACTCAGAGCACCTACACTGTATTATTTGTCCAGTCTCGTCCAGTAAACCGGCTGCCAGAGCACTGACAGCTGCAGCATCATGCATATTTTTATGAAAAAACTAAAACGAGATACAAACTAAATCAGTGCATACAAGCAGTTCTCCTCGCTTTCAGGCGTTAAAGGGCATCTAGCAAGGCGTGAGACAATGCATAATGCACTGCACACAAATACACAGCGCCTCGAGCACAAGTACAAACACCAGAAGTACTTTTGTGTCCCGGGGGGGAGAAAAAAACGGTGAAAAAGCACAGCAGCAAATCAATGCTGTCAGTCAACTCATTGCTTTATTCTCCCACAACTGTCCGTGAGCCACGCGGCCACGTACACACAAACTTGCATTTCTTTGTTTCATCAATGTCTTTTTCCGAGATGATCAGCGCTGTCGTTTCACCTGACGAGCCATGAGTGAACGTGCTGCTTCACCAGGACGCGGCACACAAACAGACAAACACCCGGGCGTCGTTCTTACAGGTTACTGCCAACTGTCTCTCCATCACTAAGCTTTCCAAAATTGTTTCCAAGCTGGCTCATAGAGTGTCAAACAATCTGCACGTAGAAAGGACACACACACACACACACACACACACACATGCTTTTCTTGCCACTCACTCAGTTTTTGATTTAGAGAAATTGCCCCGCGTCCACATATAGACCACACTGCAATGTTTACATACCACATAAAGGACGCTGGGTACCCCTGGCTTCATGTTCTTTCTCCATGCCAGTAAGTCAGTAAGAGAGTAGGCTACAGGGTCTAGGCGTCAGGGGATAGTTGTAGATTTAAATACCCACCAGCCAGGGCTACAGGTCACACAAATCCCTCACGGCGAGTGGCTTATTAATTGGAGCAGAGAGCGAGAACAACGCAGGCCCGAAGATACTCTGGTTTATTTCATCATGAGGAAATTAAGGACAGAAGAGGGAGGAAGACGATGTACTCTGAGCAGACCCGATATCCATTGCATTATCTGTGGTGGTGGAATGTCATGGAAAACATTTACTGGTGAGCACAATGCAAAGTAGTTGTACTACAAGGTGTTATATTCAATTTTTAGTGCATTATTATAGCAGCCCTCAACTATTTGCTACGTAAAGATATAACAGAGTAATATATCTACCTGAGCAGAGAATGAAGTCAACACACCTCAGATTACAACACACAGAGAGCGCGAGAGAGAGCTCTGTGTTGTAATCTGAGTTTCTCTGGGCTTTGTTGACACAGCCGGCCAGCCGCGCTTGTCTTTCAGTGCCCCATTCGCTAGCCGACGACCCCCTTTCTGCTGTGCACGTTCCACTGTTACACCTGATAACACTGTCTCAGCCGGCGTCGCCATCACTGCCCCCCACCCCCCAACTTCCAGGCTAACACCGTTAGCTCTGTCAGCGTTGTCGCCATTGATTGATTGCTGTTTGCTGCTCGGCCGTCGCCATGTCAACACTTTTTTTTAAGTTACTCAGACAGAAAGTAGTTTCTTTAAGACTTTAAGTTTATTTTCCAAAATATACTACTTCAGTGACATTTTCTATGGTGTTGTATCAGTACTTTGGCTTAAGTAAAGGACCTGGACTTCCACCACTGCTGATTTTCTATTTCACAAATGTTATTAAGAACTTTTTTTTTGAGTAAACTAAACATATGTTCCCAAAATCTCTACATCAAAACACAATCATGTCCACATACAAACATGTCATTACCTATTTATCTTTTGATGAGTTTGTGCTAATATCCAAATAAAAAGTATATTTGTAATGCATTGATAGTTTACCACTCATGAAAAACCATAATTTATTTTTCAGTTGATTATTATTATTAAATTGATCAGAGCTCTTTTATGTATCTTTCAGAGTTTTACACCCTCTTCCTCATTACAAAAATGTTTTGTTGCGTTGTTTCCTGCCATTATTCCAGCCTACCGCTTTGTGTCGTCTCCTTCCTGCCTTGTCGCAGCAGCTCCATTCCGCAGGTTATTTAACAACAATACAATCAGTGCTTAATTAAAGAAGGATGAGTCACCCCCCCCCCCCCCCCCCTCCCTCCACCCGGCCTCCCTCGCCTCCCCAACTCTGATAAACGATGCATTGTTTTTGTTATGTTCTTTTTCTAGTAATAACCACGGTTACGCCCAATTTGCAAATAACAGACAAAGAGAGAAAGAGTTCAGTGAAACACTCGGGATCCACAACAAGCTCCTTTTCTTTGCTTTTTTGTACTTATATTTTCGTCCTCTCTGTCACACTTCCTAATGGCGAAGCCTGTCAAACCTGCACTGTCCAGACAAGGGACACACAGAGGAAGAGCTTGTGCACTCTAGTGAGTGACCACTTTTTCATTTGCTCCACCCAGAAACTCCTTCTTGCAAAGGTAGTTGCTCTGGCTGCTTTTTAATTGGGCAAACTGGGAAGCTGAAGGCTACAGAGGACCACACACACACTCCTATATGTAAAATCCCCCATTCTCCTGCGATCATGCAGGATACACACTTCATAACACCCACCACAGCACACAATGCCCCCCCTTGCTTCTCACTAATATTAGTCATGTACAAAGAGAAAAACAGCCCCTGGCCTTCCACTTTGGCGGCAGCACAGACGATGCTGCCGCCGTCTCATCCTCTCATCCATCGTCTCATCCTCCCTTCCCCTGTTTCCCTCTCCGTCACTCCCGCTGCATGCAGCCATCTCTGTCCGCCCCTCCATTTAAAATCCTCAATTCGGTTGGTTTCGATACCGCCTCTCCTCCAGAGCAGCCAGAGCGGTCTCATCTCTCTGCTACATTTGAAGATGTGCTGTGAAAGATGCACCTCACCCCCCCCCCCCCCCCCCCCCCCCCCCACCGACCCCTCTTCTCTCCCCCTCCCTCTCCTCCATCCCCCTCACACACACACACACACCCCTCTTCCTTCCATTTTGGCTTCTCCTTCTTCCCTCCTGTCCCTGTGCCCCTTCCTCCTTCCCCCCGTCCCTCCCCATAGCCTTTATTCTTGCTGTGTATCTTATGTAACTGGGTAAGAATCCAGCTTCTGCCAGTTCTGCTGCATGGCTGCTGTTTCTCAGGCATCCTCTTCCTCAGTACCAAGCAGCCTGCTGCCACTGAGGTCCATTTTAGTTTTGTATGTAGTGGGGTTACATGCATCCATGATGCACGTGTCACTCACGCACACATACACACATGTGATGGCAATGTGACAAGTGTGCAACATGACAGGAATACCGGCGAGAAAGAGCAAATGTGCAGCATTGCAGTCCTTCAAATCTGCTCCAGGCTGAATAGGTGGAAATGGGGGCATCTAGCTCGTCGTCCTGTACAATTATCATCTCCTGTAATTGTCAGACGGAGCACACAAGCAGATGCTTTCTAATTACCATGGTGATAATGAGATGATTATTGCAGGGTTTTTTCTTTTTGTACTTAAACTACTGACAGAGAACTTGTGTATGAGTGTGTATGTTTATGGCTGGGAACACAGGGGTCCAGCTGTTGAGGTGAGCGGGTCATTTTGAAGGACCTGCGATCTCTGTGAGGACACTCGGCTTTATACATCCTGCTGTCTAACCGTATCAGACCTTTCCTTTTCCGACAACACGCATAAATATGCATCTTACATCAGTGGCTTGGGTTACATAAGACCTGAAATCAGTCATGTTACATTAACACGGGCTCTTTGGATGTTCTGTCTCATTATATGAGACTTATTTTGTATTAAAAACACATCTGCGCTATATGAAAAATATCTCTTGGTCTTTTATCAGTTTTAAGCTCCCTCCGCCTTTTCTAGTGTCTTGAGTTGGAAAAATATTATTCCTGCTTGCTTTACATGCATGTTTCTGACGTCACCAAACTTGATATAGTCCCAGCTGTGGAGACTTTGGTTCAACTGCCTCTTTCTAAGGTGTTGTTTGGCCTCTATGTACACTTTGGTTGTTGCATGTAATCTAATACTTATTTGTTGTCTTTTCTCATCTGGACCCTTAAATAATGCTTGAATGATTCATTGATTGATACTCGGCCTGTATGCTTATCTGCAAAAGACAGCCTTCTCCTTCCACCTCAAGGAGACTTTGACACTCTGTCGTTGTGGTCAACGAACTCGTGACTTGTTATTGCCTTAATTTTGAAGTGTATTCAGATCAAGACTTCCAAAGTAAAATATTGCAAAAACATTTCCGAGGCGGCATTTTGAGAAAGAAAAATCTCTTGTGCAAGTTTGCTGAAATAAATCTGTCAACACAGCTGAAACTTTATTGTATTGTTTCCTGTGAATATATACATACTGTATAACAGTAACTTTGATTCTCAGATGTTTTTTGTTCTTGAACAAATGCAAAAGAATGCATTTAGCTCAGACCGCCTCCCACTCAAAATAAATTGCGTTGCAAGACTGGTCTGACTTCTCACATACAACGTCTTAGAGTAATGCCAAAATAATTTCGGAGTTGTAGTGAACGGGGTTGCATGTATGAAAGGTGCTTTAGTCTCCAATCTCTTTACATCTCTAACCTTCCCGTATGACTTCACCGAACGGCTTGTGTGGCAGATTAAAATTAGAATAAAAAAGGGGATGAAGAGAGAGAAAGAGCAATGCAGCAGACGTCAAGGCATGACGTACCGCCATGCTGAAATATTAAGAAGGACTGAGTGAGGTCAGGTTCCACAGGAGAACTGTGGAAAAGCTCATTGATCGGCGAGACTGAAAAAAAAGTCCATTCACTTCACTGCCTCCTGGGTGTCAGCAGGAACAAACTGACAGTAGGAGCATTTTCCACGGCCTCTTCAGACAATCCCAACCATCCTAATTAGGCCTCATTACCATGTGACTGGGCTCACAGCTAGACCATATGCTAATTGACTTAACAATTAACGCCGCCAGGGACTTGGACCCCTCCCTCTGCTCCTTCTTCTTCCTTCACTTCCTCCTCCTACGTCAACACCCGATGGGGTGCGACCGGTCGGATGTGAAGGCATCCCAAACCTAAGAAAGCCCCAATCCTGAAACAGAGCCACCGACCCCCCCTCGTGTCACGTGTTCTTCTTCTGTGGAAAGTCACTGCGCATCTTCTATTGTAGATAAGGTGATGGCGATCAGAGGAAGAGGCGGATGAGCAAATTGGAGTGAGCCTCGTGCCGAGAGCATGTGTTTCTGTGTGTCATCGTGTATGCAAAAATCCAGCTAATAGATTCTGTGTCATGCGTGCATGAACAGGCCGGACGCACGCACACACATACGCACACACAACCGTCTAAACAAGCTGCATATGGCATCGGCCCCGAGGAGATACTGTAGACGCCTCTTTCCCCATGAGGAAGCAAACTAAGTCAGCCTGAGAATAAACAGCTCCACGCCGCTGAATATTGATTAATGATTCAAAACAGAACACTCTAAAATAGGCCCGGGAGCTTTCGGAGTACACAAATGCTGCACCGACGGAGGTTATCCAGCTATTGACCAACAAAAAGTCAATCCACGCTTACAAACTCCATACAAACTCTTTTAGTCACATTTCTACACAAGTGGCTGTTTAAGCACAATTTATTTCCAGAGTTGGACAACAAGCCCTCCCTTCATAAGGCCTGGCGTGGGAGGGACACATGTCCTTAATGGGACACTCTTGGTTTTAGCTGACTTAAGGAGCAGCTTAACACAAACACACAGTTAGAGAATGCTGCCCCCCCCCCCCTGCCCCCTCCCTCCCTCCTCATAACAATGCAGGCCACATGGGAGGGTCCCTGGGGGCTTCCAGAAGAGTGTGTTTGTTTGAGGTTTGCAGCAGTAAGACCATTGTTACCGAGGCGTGCGATCCAAATATGGAGAACGTTGTGTGATTGACACTCCTAAAGCATCGCAGTGTATCGTGGGGTGAAAATGGAGGTTTTCCACCTGAAAAGGAAGTACATTTCTGCAGCGCGCTCTATGCGTAAATGTATATCCGAAGTACTGCGTGCCCTTTCTGATTCACACACCGATGCATTTGGTGCATCGACATCGCCTTTCCTCCGGGGTTGTCATTGATGAAATCTCCACCTCATTGGGTAATGAGCCCTCGTTTACAGCCAAGCAAAACGCATTCAAATAAACCCCATGGCTTCATCTAAAATAGTCCTGTCCGATGAATGTGCATCACGCGCGCCATGTCCACGAGGATATATCACAGTCCCCGACCCCTATTCTTATTAATCAATATCCCGCGGGCTACGTGGTGAGCAGCACGTACCTTAATCGACGTAAACCGATCCGGTCGATCGCGAAGGCAGATGCACAGTTGTCAGGTTCGATGGGAGACTGGGGAAGTCAAAATGTCACATTTCGGAATGAGCCCCTCTCGCTGTGTTTGCGTATTCTCTCTCCATCCACATGGACTCGCACACGATAGACCCAGAGGATTCCCGTTGCTCCAGCTTTGGAACGAGAGGAACCCGATTATCAGCCCGTGTCGGATGTCCTCACAGGGAGAATGGGGCTTGGACCAAACAAAAAAAAAAACACCCCGGCGTGTCAGGATTAATACACGGGAAGGATTCTTGGGTCGTTTTCCACCCTAAATCCTTTGTTCAGCGGTGCGCATCTCTGACTTTCATTCTGCACCGATAAAGGAGCATTCATCAAAAATGAATAAAACACACAGTGAGTGGAAATCCCGTAATGCGCAGAGTCGGTGCCGCCGAACCTACCGGATCCTTTCCTCCGACTGCTGCGCCGAATACGCCGCTTAATGTCCGATTTGACGCTCACGGCTGCCTTCCGCACTTCTCTTGACCGAGCGCATCACCAAAACTGCGCTCCGCATAACACGCGTACTGGTAATCCCTCTCTCCGCACACACACACACGCGCGCGCACATACGCGCGCGCGCAGAAAGTGACAGCACTGACTCCTCTCTGCTCTCCCTTCCTTTAGCTGGTTTACTCTCCGATCAATTAACCCAGCTGGCCCCTCAGTATGGGCTCACTTTGATAATTCCTTTCTGGACGCACAGCGGGTCTTTCTTTTTTTTTGCACACGAGCACGCATACACACAACTCTCAATATTTTTTATTTTAATATTTCGGTGTTACCCGGTGCAGGCACAGTTTGAGCTGTTTACAACTGCTACTCTTGTAAAGTTCCAAATATAGGAGGTTTTTATGGTTGACTGCGCTAAATCATAGAAAAAATGCCAATACGGTGTAAAGTTGTGCTGGCACGATTCTATTTCCGGGCACATCTTTCAGAATAAAGTGATTGAGCTAGATAAGTCATTTCATACAAAATCATATCAGCTTATGGTGCTTATATGTACAGTATGTATGTATGTATGTATGTATGTATGTATGTATGTATGTATGTATATGTATATAACCCCCACAAAAAACAACATCAACACATTACCTAATGAATAAAAGGCTGCATCTCTTCACTATCACTTTATCTAAAACGTTTTACTGTTTTTCACGTTCAGGCGTTTACCTGACTACTGACACGCACCGGGAAAAGCCAGCTGTCATTCAAGGAACAGGTTACACCATTAGTTGCAAATCAGGGCTTTTAGTCTGAAATCTGGAGCCAGGGAAACACAACCCTTACCGGAGGGCCCACCTGCTGAGTTGTGGCATCATACGCAATGCTCAGTCTACTATTTGATTAAAAAAGGTCTCATATTACGTTTTCATATTACAAAGTAATATTATTTTGGAAGTTCCTTAGCCCCTCGTTCAGGGTTAGTCTGGTTACCTCTGACTACTTTACGCAGCCTAAAACTGCTGTTGTGCCTATTAATTCTCCCCCCAGTCACATGCTTGTCGCCTCAGCTGCTTCAGTCCATCTACCACTGAGGCTTTCAGTGGTTGAACCCCCAACACCCTTACTACCCCACCCCCACACGGCCTTCCATGCTGCCTTTATAATGGTGCATATGAGCTGAGTGGAAGTAATCTGGTAATCTTGTCACAATTTGCACTGGGTTCTAAAATAATTCTGCAGATCTGGCCAGTCAGCAACAAAACACCCTGAAACACCAGCTCCTAAAACACATATTACCCGAGAACGCAGATGCAAACATCCACTCTCTCATTTTATTGAATAGGAAACAATCCAAGGATTTGGGGGTGTTGATCTACTCTTCTTCATGTGCTATGAACCAACAACCCCCCCCCCCATTTCCCCCATAATTATCTCTTTCACACACCTAAATAGATGCAAAGTGAGGTGACATGCAGGCTCTGGGTATTAAGGCGGCGTATCATATGGAGTGGCAGCTGAAGATTTGAGGCTAATCTGACAGGTGCAGTCTGAGAGTGATAGCATGGGAAGGAGGGGGTGGAGGAGGCGGAGGAAGGGATGGGGTCTATATTGGAAACAGGTCGATTGAGGGGATTGATGGCTCTCACTTTCTCAGCACTCCATCATCAATACCATGCTCATTCTCACCACGTTTTATTAGCTGTGAGATATTATGTACATAAGGAGCAACTGGCCAGTTTAGGGTTTGAGTATATTAAAGAGTTGCATAATTAAGTAGGCTTCACTACTGAATATTGAGCTTTGAAGATAAACTTGATTTATTTGGTTTCTGTTTATATCTTTCTTTCTGTCTTTACCCTCGTCCTTCCCTCATTATATTCTACATACCCCCCCACCCCCACCCCCCATGCTGGCCGGAGGTTACCTCACCTCATTAAGTCTTCTTCGCTCAAACACAATGAACTACAGAAGATGATGATGATGATGATGGCAGGATGGCCGACATTCAGGCCGCAGGTCGCAGCTGTTTCCAGCGACCAGCATCAGGATGAGAGTCTATGACCGCACAGGATGTATTAACTATGACAGGATGCAGGTGTCCAAAATTAGCAGGAAAACTTTTATTTTACATGGCATTTTGTTTCCAGATGCACATCGAACACAGGTGGAGGTTGTCAAATGGAGACATGTCCCCTCAACAATTATTTAATTGTCAACGTGACCATGTCATTTTGAGACAACCTATATGAAGACACATACGCAAAAGACCTCACACAAAGCAGTCTTATCTGACCTCTTTAAAGACCACCACATGGCCAGTAGCACACACACAGACCTTTCTGTCAGCTCCTCAGGTTTCTCCATGGCTCAAAACAGGATTTAACCCGTGGAAGGTCATGGGGGGGTCAGTGGAATAAAGGCAGCTCAAGGATTTACCTTGCTCCTCTATCATCCACTCATCGAGTCCACACGCTGGAGGATACGTGTTGTCTTTACAGCGTTCCTCAAGGACAGAGGAGGATAGAGGATGATCTTGTTGGCAATGTCGGTCTGTTGGTCGGTCAGAAAACTTTAGGCTCATGTCGACGTATTTCAACTAACAAATGGTTCGACGTGAACAGAGATTCATGGTCCATGGTATTTTTGTTCTTACTTCACTGCTCATAATTATGGTAAGCAAACGCTTTCGTGCCAATTAGCAAATGTTAGCCCGCTGAAACGCCTGACTACTTGAGAGCGTGAGGCATGTGAGGATCTTCATTTTGAGCATGCTTACAGTATGTTAGCATTTAGCTCAAGCTAAGGAACGCCGGGCCCAGAGGAGCCAGAAATTACTGCCGATTTTCAGTCTTGTCATAAAAAACAATAACATGAGGGGGAATGTGACCACAGCCAAGTTATATAAAGTCGCAGCTTGTCCCTTTCTTTCTCCTTCAGCTAGTTCATCCCAGCCCAGGCGTTAACCTCTCGAGGTCCGGCGTTACCTCCACCCTACTGCACAATTGCCCGACCATCTGAAAGCTGATCTGGTGAGGGGGTAGAGTTTGAGATGGGGGAGGGGGGTGAACTAAAAGAACCATGTGTCTGCGGAGTCCTGAAAGGAGAGAAAAATCGGGGACATGGACTTTCTGGGGACGGGGGGTTTTATTGGGCAAGATCATAAGCGTGCCTTCAGATACCGGAGCGCTCATTAACTCACATAGCACAAGACTTTTAAGCTGTCAATCTGACCTACACGCTCAGACATACTGTTAACCCCCTGCGGGGAATCAGACACCACACAGACAGATTATCCTTCCCCCAGTCTGTCAGTCAAGTCCCCCCCCCCCCCCCACCCCCAGTAGCACACAACACAATTAAGCATGTATGTGCTAGTTATACTATGTACAGGCGCACACTCACACACGGGGTGAGGAGGATTTTCTATCACAGCATGCATTCATTTTTGGGGTTTGGGGAGAGTGAAGGATTATTGATTTAGTAGGGCACTGGCCAGATGTGCACACATTCCAGACACATTGCAGTACAATTATTATTACTAAAACTATTTGCAACAATCTAGCTATAGTAAAACATTTATTGCTCTATTCCTGCTCTTCGTCTACAAGCCAGTTCCACCTCTTTGCTTTCTGTGCCTGTCCAACACATCTCACTCTATCCATTTTTCCTCCCACTTCCCGTTGTATTTTTCCTCTCAGCGTCCTCGTCTCCCCATTTGTTCAGTTTTTAGGTGGTTTGATTCAAGGAATAGAATCAATGCAGAACCGATGCAGTAGCTCTTAAGTGGTACTTTCAACTGGACTTGCAAACGGCCTGAACTCAGCAGTCCAACTCAGAGCATGTGTGAGTTTCGCTGCTACCTTGTTACGGGTGTGTTTTATGGGTGTCTCCGTGCAAGCTTGAGCATATAAATGGTGCTGGCAGGACAGGAAGGCAGGACCGAACTCAGGAAGGAAGGAGCTCCACTCACATGAATCTCCCCTGGACGGCCCAGCAAGGAGGCATAACCATTTTTGGGAGGAAGGAGCCATCTCCTAGGGGAGTACCATGGCAACAGCCAACACGGGGCCCCGCTTTCAGAGCTGCCCTTTTTAAACCGCACCGATCGAGAAATGGCAGGCCAGGTTTTTCTGTTTCTTACTCTCTCTCTTGCCCATTCTTCCCCTTCTCTCTTCCTGCACGGCCTTGTTCACCAGGGAGGCTGTGAGGAGACTGCAGAGGGGCGGGTTTGTGTGGGAAAATGTTGCCAGACAACACAGGGGTATGTGACAGAGGGCCAGCCAACATCGCCTAATTTACATATATATTTTTTAAGAGCTACAGTAACTACTGTTGAGCTGCAGATTCAATGCTTTCCTTATTGTACTTATAGTAACTAGTTTTAAGACAGGTATAAATGGAAATAGAAGAGCCTTTAAATTTAAATACCCATCTGTCATCATTAGGGTTTTTTTTCAAATGTACTTGTCCTTGACCATTTTAACCCTTCTGTTTCAATTACTTTGTGTGTTCTTATCTGCATGCTATTAGCCCTGGTAAAGTGGAAGCCAATCAGTTGGTTCAGACCAGAATGTCTCCACATCTGAGGGATGGATTGACTAAATATTTCGTACCTACCTACATGGTCCCCAGGCGAATGTAGCCGAACCCGGCTCAAGCTATTGAATGCCCAACATTTCAGTCAGTCTCAGGATCTAGAGTAATCCCTTTTCACATTCACTAGGCCCCTCATAGATCAACATCCACACAAAGCCTTTTATAATGATATGGTTTAGCAAATATTAACTGCAAAACTAATGACGTTCTTACCAGTGTTTAAAGATCAACTATGTCAGCATACTAACTTGCTAATCTAAGAGGCAAAATATGGTTGACATTATACCCACTAAACATCTGCATGTTACAGACTCATGTGTACACACCATACACACACTTAATCTTGTTTTTGCTATTTCATAGCTTAGATGTCGCATCATAATGTTTTTTGTAGTGGTCCGTTGGTTGGGTTTGTAGAAGGGCCCTTTGATTTTGTTTAACTACTGCTTGTTTTATCTTATATGTGTTATCTTAGGACCTACGAGGCAACATCTGACAGTATTTCCCAAAATGTACGATTTAAAAATATTTCTCAACATTTTCCAAAAACACTGCTGTATACTTCAGGCTGAAAATAACGACAGAACTGTCATCTGGTGTGTTGTTAAGGTTTATTACATTCACAGAAGTGTGAGTGTTTTACGAGGTGCATGTCAACCAGTACAATAGTTGTTAAAAATAACAAAACATAGAAGGTTATTAAAAGGTATGTCCACTTCACAAAACACATGCTGAATAATTCAATGCATTTCTTGCTGCTTTGACGCTCTGATGCAAAAGCACCACCTTGTGGATGAAGGAGGGACAGAAATAACCTAGAGTAAAACTTTACGGTTGTAAGGAGACTAATTTTAAAAGACAATATCTTGCAACTATTAAAGTAAAATGTTCATCTAATTGCCTGTTTTACTTGCATTACAATCATCCCCCTAACCTATAATGTTCTCCGTCACTGCCCCAGCTAACGGGAACCCATGAGAGCGTGCAGCCAGCCGAGGTAGCGAGACACCTTCTGGAAGACGTAGCCTTTGCTGCAGTCGGCCCCCACCGGATTGCTCACCACCCCGGTGAGGAAAAACACCTCCCTGTAGAGCGTGAGAAGGGGGCTGCCGGAGCTCATGGTGCAGTCAGCGTTGGTCTGGGGAGCGGTGCAGCCCATTTTGTTGGTCACCAGGTTGGGGTGGGCCTCCAGGCACTCAGGCAGGTGGCTGTATGCAAGTTGGTTAAGGGCGAGTGGCCCCTCGAAAACGGACCCCTGATTGGGTTCCTTCCAGCCGGTGACAAAGGCCGGTAACTCTCCCGACATCAAGACGCGCTCTGCAAAGCCCTTTTCTGGCAGACAGGCAGCAGTCACCTCCCTCTTAAACGTGATGCGGTCGCGGAGCTCAATCACAGCCAGGTCGTATTCGTGGCCGTCTTTAAAGCGCGGGTGGACGTGAACGCTTTTTACATACAGCTGCTCTCCGTCCTCAGAGTTGGTGCTGCGCTTGCCTGAGGAGGAGGTTAGACGTGACATTCAGGGGGATGGATTATTATTTGCTGACATATTATGTCAATAAATCCATGAATTGAAAAAATAAGAAGCACATCTGTGATGTAAATAACTGTTGGATGCAACCTGGTGGACCTCTGTGAACTGTGACCATTTGTCAATGACATTCTTTAGTGAAAATCCATTTTATGATAATAAGGAGATGAGTCAATTCATTCTCCAAATAGATGGCATGGAATGGAATACTTTAATTGGATTTTGGTAAAGCTTTACAGTCTTACACAGTTTAAAAAATAGGTATTGCATGTCTCCGTAAGACATTAATACATTAAGCTTTTTATGTTAAATTACTTTCAGGATAATGGGTATGATTTTGTTTTGTTTCATTTAATCCTTGTTGTAGTGCGAGTTGTTTTTTTGTCTTTTTAGTAGTATCAGTAAAAGAATGATTCTGTGTTTTGTCAACTCACCGACCGCCACCTGGAAAGACTTGTATTTCTTGGTACACTGAGCCGAAGTCAAGACCAGGTTCTCCTTCAGAATGACGCCACTACAGAAACCTGCAGACTCTGGAGCCTTCAGAAGAGCCTGCAAACGAACACCATGACACGCAGCAATAATGACCTTAGTTTGTTTGGACCCCACATTGTCAGTTGGTGTTCTCCTACCTGCCAGGGACACTCTGAAGATGAACAGCTGAGTCCTTCAAAGTTGCTGCGAACATTGCTGGAAACTCTTTCATTCCACTGCCTCAGGCTGTATACCTTACCACAAGGGTAAGGAACTGCAGGAAGAACGTCAGATGGTTAAAAGGACTTTTTCTAACGACGTCATTTCTGAAACGGAAATTGTTTTTAGCCGTCTTTTGTTGGAGGGCGGACAAATCCATTTATGTTTGAGTTGGGCTCAAACACTGGGAGCAACAGGCGTACCTGCTGGCTCACACTTATCCCTGGTCGTGCGGCTGAGCTTCCATCCGCGCGCGCAGGAGCACTCATAGGACGTGTAGCCAGGTTTGCAGAACTGGGAGCACCCCGTCTTGTTCTTCCAGGTGCACAGAGTCTGGTCTGCATGGTAAAGAACAAAAAAAAAAACAGGAAAAGAAAAAATCAGGCGTTTGCGGCATTCACAAACCGGTTGTGGGCTAAATTAACCACGGCGGTCACGCTGAACTTGAGGTCACCTCCTCACCGTTTTCACAGTGGACCCCTGTGAAACCCGACTTGCAGACGCAGTCGTAGCCTCCCACGCTATCTGAACACATGGCTCCATTCTTGCAGGGATTCTCTGCGCACTGGTCTCCGTCTAAACACGGACAGATGGTCGTTGAGAAGATGTAATGTACTGCTAATGACTGAAGCCAAAAAACATTTTAAAAGGCAGCGCTCACCAATGTAGACAGCCCAGAAGATATCCTGCCGGAGAAAATATGCATGATAAGTGCACAGTTGATCGTAATTCACAGAGTGCGTTGAAATAGAGGCAGAGACAAAGCGAAGAGAAGGCACGGAGAGGTTTTGAAGTGAAGGATGCACCCTTAGGGCGACGACAGTGAAGTCCCAGAGCTCACCGTGCGATACGAGTCCTGGAAGATCTTTCTGGCCTCCTCGTAGCTGCACACTTTCTCCATGCAGACCTGCTCCAGGCTGGAAGTTTGTCCTGCTCCAGGCTGGACGTTCCTCTTCTGACGGGAGATCACGGAGCTCGCCTGCTGTTTGTCCAGGAACACTGGTGGAATAGTTAATGTCTCAGCCGTGTTCCTGTGAGGAGACTCGTGGCTTGTGCAGATCTTGTGTGAGAGGCAAATACAGTTTTTGGGAGTTCTGATACAGCGGCGTTGACATTTTTGAATCAATAAATGTGTATTTCTTGCTATTTTACAGATCACAAATACCCTGATTTGTTTAAGTGAGAATGCAGATCATTTCATTCGCATGAATCTTTGAGTTTAGGATTTTTGTCATGAACCTGCATTAATCTGCACCAAATAAATCTTTAACTAACCCAAATATGCAACATCACGTCCACTGAGGCGAAAGCCACCACCCTGCAGCTCTCAACTCGTCATCGAGACTGTGCCACATCATATACTCAGCATGCTGCCATCTTGACCTCTTTTTAATTCCTCGCTGCTCTTTCAGATTAGACCATTGTTGAGTGCTGCAGACCCGGCTCCTCGTGGACTCTCTCACCTGCGTGGGGGGTCTGAACAGCTGCCATGGCCCCCGCCAGCAGACACAGCAGAGCGGCAGATGTGGTGCAGGAGCGCATGTTGACGGGAAGCGTTATCCGAGTTGAGCTGTCGGTGCAGCGAGGATCAATGTGTCCTACGAACAGGAAGAGCACGTTGTTGACATGATGCACAGGACGATGGAGAAAGAGAAAATTAGATGTAGAAGCACATTATAGTGTGAGGCCTGGTTCAAGGTTCGTTGAAGGTTTACTGGACAAAGATTGCGTCATGATTGCATTCATGATAAGACAACAACACAGCAGAAATAATGGGATGGGTATTTAGGTTATGATTTATTAAAGGAAAAAAATCATATAACTCTTTTTCAATTAATAAGTTATAAAGAGTTTTAAAATCTCCAAAGCATGAGGCCATGTGTCAAAGTGTCAAACTCTCTTTAGAGCTAAAATACAACTCTTATTCCTGGAATGTAGGTGGCTTTATTTGTATAGAAAGTGCAGAACATCGCAAAGTTGTTCAGAAAGAAATAAAAAAACAGACAGACACATAGAGTTAGAAGGATAAAAAAAGCCATGAAATGATTATTAATAAATAATCCAAGTAAATTCAAACCTCCCGGCCACAAGGACACGCCATAGTGTAGTTACATGCTCAGAAATCCTTATAACGGGTTGATTCATTCAATAATGAACGAGCATCCAGTAAATGACATGAAGCTGTTCAGCATGAGTGATTGTGCAGTTTTTCTGCAGCAGGTCATCGTTGTACTGCAGCCGACTTGAAGGGCCGCAGCGACTTTCTATTTATACATTGTTAACAAACATCTCACTTTTAATTTAATTGGCGTCTTCAGCACAAGTAGTCAGATCAACAAAGCACAATGCATGTATTGTTACGTTAGGGGAGCCTATGCTTCCTATCTGCGTAAATATTAAGTCTGGTAGCATTTAGCTCAATTTGGGGTAAATCCACAGAGAAAGACCCGGATGAACTGCAACGCATCTTCTGGGCTGCAGAAACTATCCCGATTCTGCTTTTCTACAAAACTGCTTCATTGTAACAGCCACAGATACAGTTAAATATTTACACACCCACCCTGTGTTTTCAGGGCGGGTCCAACATGGTTCCGAGTAACGGTACGAAATAACAACAACAACAGCAGCAGCTGATTCTCGGTACCTTCGGTTACGGACTGAATCAAGGTACCGGCCCGGTCTGGTCCCTCTCTCTGTCTGCGGGTCCCTACGACACAACGTCCAGCAAGGATTGGGTCGATCGATCCAAAACAACAGATGACCACATCCGATTCTGCTCAGCGTTTTGTGGCTCTGGTGTAATGAAAAGGAACGGCCGCCAGAGGGCGCTGCGGGACAGAGCGCGCCGGCACAGAGGACGTGATCAAATTAGATTAAAAAAGGTCATCCTATAAGAAAGAATATCTGTGCTCAAGATGATCAATGCAGCTGGCTTCGTTCAATGCATAAAACATGACGTGAATATACCTATAACAGATAAATAGAAAATAGGCGGCACTGAAATATGATGGAATAAATAATAAATAGCAGCTCAGAGTCAGAGGTGGGGTTTTTTGGCATTTTTTTAGAGATTTAATAACTAGTTGCTACTCAGATGAAATAGTGTATATGATCAGTACAGCACAATTTAAATGTTAAAGATTGAACCGGTGGTTTCCAACCTGCTTCCAAGCAACAATGAATCAGTGTGGTTGGGACTCTGTCATGTGTCTTGAGTTGTCGGTCGGCCAACTATCATTCAAATGTGTTTCATGTGCTTCACAAATGAATGAAATGGAAAGAATAGAGAAAAAAGCCAAATCTAAATTTAGGATTTTTTTCCTATTAATCTTGATTCCCCAAATGTATCTTGTTGGAGGGTCATTGACACGTTTAAGGTCACTCAGAACTTTTTATCTTGCCGGGTGATACAAAGGTGTCCGATTTTTTTTTCTGTCTTTTTTCAATTACTTGCCTTCTAATGAAAGAATTGGAGAGGGTAAAAATCATTCTGGTTGAATCACTCTTGACCCCATACTCAGACAAGACCAAAAACCTTTGGCAGTCACAAGGTAACAAGTGCAATATTAGTTTGGAAGCTTCTTAATCTTTGACCTGGGTTTAGTATGTATTCATGCATGTGACAAAATATATGCACATTTGCAAAAAAGTTAAATGATATACTCACAGTTTAGTACACATGCATTAAACATACGATGTAACCACTATTTTCCTCAGTAGTGTGATCGGAATCAGGAACTGCACACAAAATAGGATGCTGTGATCAATAGCTTAAGCGTTACTGCAAACACACACACACACACACACACACACACACACATACACACACACACATACACACACGTCTACAGCAAACAGCGAAAGACCTGATTGGGGCTCAACATAATCAGCTAAAGCCGACATGGGAAATTCAAAGTGGATTAGATAAGGCTATAAGGCTGCTTAGTTTTCTGCACAATGAAGAACAGTTTGTATCTCATATGTTTAAAAGCTTGTAAAAGCTTTAAAAAACCTCTAGTTCACTCGAGACGAGGTTATGAGCCCCTACTTAGAGCTATTGCATCCTTAATATCAAACTCTGCGACTGGCGACTTGCTTTCCGGACACAAAGTTACTCTTCAGTCGCCTTGTTTCGATGGGATTGTCTGCGAGAGCAATGTGATTTGTGGACAGGGCCGTGGGCCTTCAGGCTCAGCCCCCAACCGCGTTAAACCTCTCTCCGTTTCAAAAGTCTAATGATGGCGGTATTAGAAGCCTGCTCGGACCAGCTGGTCCCCAGTGGCGGACAGGGACAGGAGCTGGACTGCCCAGTCCAGGGAGACTCTTCTCTGAGTCCTCACTCAGCGGAAGGAGTGCCAGCCCTGACATGCAGAGCTGCAACTCCGTGTAAATGATTAAGATCGTAGTAATTTCCCTAGTGACTGTGGTCTGAGGTGAAATCTCAGTTGTTGTTGAGTAGATGCACATGTTCATACATCCGATAATGATTTGTTGACTGTTGAGGGCAATGGCGTGTATGCCCCAAACTCAATTCCTCGCTGCCCATTCACCTTCAAATTCCGGGTTCAATTTTACAGGCGAGCTAAACAAACATCCATCCCAGGACCCATTTATTATTAATGTCACCCGCTGTATGACAGCTTCCTGATGAACAACCGGCTGCAGAGGAAATCCTCTGTGACTCACCGTATGTGGTAATCTCAATTATTCTCCTCATTGCATCTTCTGCTTTTCATCACTTTAAAAAAAAAAAACGTTTGGGCAATTGAAGCCGTGTCAGCAGGCCTTTGAACTAAGATGACATCATCAAAATGTCCGGTTGGTTCTTGAAGGTGCAGAATTCTCACCGGATCACGACCGCGAGCAACAGGTGCGTCAGTGTAACCGGTGACCGCGTTAACCGGTGACTGCACAAAAATGTTGCCATCGTGCTCACTCTATGTCAATGGCTGTAGACCCTTTGGTATTTTGTCATTTCTACTGTGCTCCAGATATTCAGAGACTCTCTTATGCGAGCGTCACAATAAGCCGCTTTTCTGTGACGCTTGAGGCAATAACACCCGTTTTCTGCGTGTCTGAGCGTGTGCGCATTTGGGGAAACATGGCCGCGCTACACAGCCAGCAACGCATGAACTCCCATCACCTGGCCTGGTTTCGTTTTGCAGAGTCTCACCACATCGCTCATGCAGAGTATCTGTTCGGTCCTGCGTCCAATCCCACGGCAAACAACGACCCGCGCGCAACACAATCACGCCTATATCAAAGCGCCGGAAGATTGCGGCGTAATCGAGTTTGTGTGACAAGGACCAATGATGATGTCGTGTTAAGTACTGGAGAGCGAGCGCGCACACTTACCGCTGTGGTTCTTTTTCTTTTCTTTTTTTTTTATTTCACAGCTGCGTTAGCTACTCTTGAAGAATCGCCTTCCCCTGTCCCTCATTTCTCGGTGATCAATTCACGTCGGCTGGCCATATTTTATTTAACGCTCTCAATCGCTGCGCTCGTCTCCCCCCCGAGTCCCCCGCGGCTCATTTGAACACGTGTAGGTGCGGGGGGGGGTGGATGAAGAGCACATGATTGCTTCTTTACAATCTTCCCACTTGCCCTCACTGCTCCACACTTTGCCGTGGTGCCCCCCTCTCCTCTGATGGGTGGAGGATGGTCAGGGTGCCACAATCGAAGCAGCTTTTCAGATGGTCCAGATCCCCTTTTTTGATCCCCCGCTTTGTTGCTTTTGACTCACCCACAAAAACCTCTTTCTTCTCCTCTTTCTTTGTGTAGAACCCTTTAACCCCGCCTGCCCTCAGGTCCTTGTTGCTGGAGAGGTGGTGTCGGCCTCGATGGAGCTGAGAGACAGAGATCAGGAGCACAGCTCGTAAACTCTCCAAAGGAAAGTGATGTTTCACTGGTTTATACTCACACTTAAGCTGCGCTCGAGCTCAGAGGAGTCTGTAAATGATTGACAGGAATAAGGAACACTACACATACACAATTCTGATGACATACGTCAAAACACGCAATTGTGAGATCTTAGAATAATAACAGTGTTTTGGGAGAATCAGAGTTTGTTTTAAATCATTAGTTGAAGAAAATAGACAGTAAAGACTTAATTATTACTTAAGTAAAGTTACATTTCCTTAGCAAAAAATCTCTTAATAACAGTGTCTAAGAAAATGTTCTACACATTTATTTCACCATTTTAGTTGTTTTGGGGGGCTTGGTTTATCGTTGGTCAAACAAACAGTTTCCACCTTTCATCTTGTTTAAAGAAAAGACTATTAAGAGCCAATTCATAATTCATAAACTCTCCAGCATTGTATTCCCCAAACGCATCGCCTGGTGAAAGCAGCGTCCTGTTTCTGAAAAAAATGATGAGGAAAAACTGTCTTATGTTCTAGTCTTATGTTCACAACAGTCTTTTCAGACTAAATAACTTATGGACCTATTGTGAAAATGGATAAATGAATCTGCTGCGAGCCTGACGAGGCAGAGAATGGAGTATTTCTTAAGAAGGAATATTGTGATTTTCAGTGTCAGCCTTCATCTCATTAGCAGTTCACACTGCATGGCAAATTAGATTGAGCCGCCATTACCAACCCCCACTCCCCCACACACACACACACACACCCACTCCCCCACACACACACACACACACACACACACACACACACACTCCCACACACATGTATTTATACTGTATGTAACGTTTATAATATGCAAACAGGATTGTAGGTTGATGTTTGGATCCTTGTTTTTGTGGATAAATGGTCAAAGAAACACTGACAATATGACACGAGAAAAAACACACTACATTCTTCACGACTTCACCTCTATTTTATCTTTTCCCATCTGTCAAATCCTCATCAGTTTAATAGTCTCTTTGTGTTCACTGCCCTCAAACTGGAACCTCTCTTTTTCTCTCGGAGCATCCCTCCCCTCTGCAGCCTCAGGCTCTGTCACTCTCCCTCACTTTCTGGTCTCTAGCGTGCCTTTGCTCTCCATCTACCTTCCTCCCTGTTTCCTTCTTCTCCTCCCTCTCTTCCTCCTCCTCCTCCCGCTGCGCTCTCGACTCTCGCTCTCATTCCCCCTCGCTCACACACTCGGGCAGCATCCTCTCCATTTCTACCTTCATACTCACCTCCTCCCACCTCCCTCTCCGCTTTGCTCCTGTCGCCTCCTTCCCTCACCATCACCTACTAACACCCATCATCTCTCGCAACCCCCCCCCGTCTCTTGTCTCCCTCCACCCTCTCCTCCATTTCTCCCCTCTTTCTCACGCACCCAACCTTGTTGCCTCGCGCAAACTCGCGCGCACACTCATGCTGATTGGCACCCAAGGACGGAGCACCCTCTCCGCTGCGCCGGCGACCAGGCGGTTTCGCTCGCGGGGCCAGGCTTCTGAAAACTGAGCGCGGCTGAGGAAGAGGACGAGGAAGAGGCCATGGAGCACAGCCACATCTTCCCAGTTTTCTCCCCAAACGGGAGCACCTGGAGCCCGGGACAGCATCCCACTGAGTTTGCACAGGCATGTCCTCTCGGACCGCTGCCCGTCATCTACTACAGTGTCCTGCTCTGCCTCGGCCTCCCGGGTAAGAGAATGCGCGCACACGCCACTGTGTGTGTTTTGTTTGCGTGTCTAATCCACGGCATGCCTCGCTCTGTGTTGATCACGCTGGCAGGGGTCACGCTTTGTGTCTTGATTTGTTGTGCACCCGTCTGTAGGTTTGAAGGAGTGATTACAGTGGCTCCAGAGTGTCACTCTCTGCAGACACACACTGGTTGTTTGGGGTTTTTTTGTCGTTCTGACCTTGTGGCAAATCACTTGTTCATGCGTACGTACGTTGTATGCTTTTTGTCCGTGCTTGTGCCTGTGTCTTTGGGGATAAACGTGTCTCTTTAGTTGGACATCTTCAAGCACTGAACAATAAAGGGAAACCAGGATGTTTAAAATATGTTTATTAAACCTTGAAACTGCACAGTTTTAGCTTATCTGTGCATGAGAGATTGTGTGCGTAATGACTCAGACTTGACCTCGGGGACAAGTGGGTTACATGACTCTTGCTGATGACCCGAATTAATGACACTTCCTTGTTGCGTCCTCGCCGTTGACTGATTAGGTCGCCGTCGGACCCATTTACCGCCTCTCTCCCGCTGCGTGATCTATGAGCGCTGACCTGGCCTCACAGGTGGAAGCAAAGTGACGTGTGCATGTGTGTGTGTGTGTGTGTGCGATCAGGAATGTGTGTCTGTGCGAGGGACAGACACAGACGGGAAACGCAAGGTCGAATGAAAGAGAAAAGGTGTGGGTTCCTAATCAGAGGTCGGGTTTCACATGTCGAAACTGCCCACTCGATGGTGGGAGAGACATTTCCTCCGTTTCTGTCACCAAAATGCAGGTTTATTTCTCTCAGGGTCAATTAGCATTCAGGTTTTTCACTATTCAACCCTGATTCTGACGAGCACAATCGCTTTTTCTGCCTTATTTTTCTTAACATATAAGATTGGAATATATTTTCCGTGATCTCTCCCAAGATTGTGAGCGAGATGCTATCACCAACCAAAGCGTCTCTATTTCATAACGAACCCGCTGTGCAAAGTGAAAAAGCTTTGTACGCCAAGAATGAAGTCGCTCCTCGAGATTTGCAGACCTGTAAAAGTAAAAGTCTTTCCTTCTGATGAAATCGTCCAATTAATTCAAATCATGTTTTGCACAAGCAATTCTCCCTTGTGTCATTTCAAGTTTCTCCTGCTTCAGGAGTTTTACAAATTCCGTTCCTCGGTCGTCTTTACAAATGTGATTGAGGCCGTTGGTTTAATCGCACAGTAATAATAAACGGGGCGTGTAACGCAATCCTACAGCGGCTGTTTGAATTAATGTGTGAATGCGGGCGCACTCATACTTTGCAGCAGCCGAGATTAACTTATTCAATCTTCGTGACGTTCCACTCGGGCTGAACCATGCATCTTTCATGAGCGCGGCACGCGTGAGTAGTAACGGGCCTGACCTACAGACCCACTCGGATTCTGCACTCGGGATGGAGTCTGGCACCTCCATCGCCAGCCCTTCATCCAGGCTTTCGGGGAGACGTCCACGTGTCCGTGCGTTTCCCGCCCCAGCAGTCAGTGAGTGGGGGGGGAGGGGGGTCACATCGAAAACACAGATTTAAGGATGAAAAGATGATGCAAGGTGATAGGAAAAGGGGAGGATAAGCCTCGCGAAGCGGGGGATGATTACCGCTGATGATGAATGATGAACCCGCATCTGAGGATGGACTATGAGGAATACAAAGACACCCGGGAGAAGAGGAGCAGAATGACAAGGAGAGTGATAACAGCGGAGCCAGTGAAGTAGCACACCCGAGCCCTGAGTAGGGGCAGCCACAGACGGCGGAGCCACATTTTTAATTAATCGCTAACTCTCTTTATTTCTCTCTCTGCTCGCTGCAGCGCAGTGCTTGAGACAGGACAGACGTGCGCTGGCATAACAAACAGCGCAATGAAGGTTTCGCCTGCTTTGCCTCCTTCTTTGACGCGCAGAAGTGAGGCCTGCTCTTCGTCCGGTACAGTATGTCTCATCAAACATTCAAAGCCGTGACGCATAGTGTACAGTTTGTGGAGGATGATGAGGGGTTCTGGTGCGACGCAAAGCGGATGTGCAAGTGAAGCCGCTCTGAACATCCGGGCCCAGACAGCCGCTTCCGTGCGAATTTATGTAAGTTAAACATTTTTCTACACGAGCAGTTCTTCTGGTGGAGGTTGTTTTTTTCCCCTCTTTACCTGAATTTTACCTAAAGAGGCTTGCGGTTAAACTATTTAGAAACGTGTTCACGTGTCATTACGGCAGAACATTAAGAACATTTAATTAAAATCTAATGTATTCTCATTAATAATTTTACATTTTTTATTATTATTTAATTAGTCATCAGGGTCTTGTTAAATCATTTTTTTTAACCAAAACTTACAGTTTACCCTCATAACAAAAACATAACACTAAATTTACACTTCCATGAAATGCATATTTGATGTTACTGTATGAATGTCAATTTGTTCTTTATTTATTCATGATTATAATATGGCTTTCAAGTCGTGTGACAACAATCCATATTCAGGCTTTTATGTAGATTTGATGGGTTTCAAATGAACAGTGTATTTGATGTCCCCAGTTCCTGTGTTTGAAGATTCAGAAGAAAAGCAGAAAACAGAGACACAAAATAACCCCAAAAAGAAAAAAACTACTACAAAGAGAAACAAAATGACCAAAATAATAATCAATAACGATAGATAGATAGATAGTTCCTTTATTGATCCCACAAAGATACCTTTTTCTTGCTAGAGCAGCATTTATATACAGTATACAGGTTAAGAAATAGGTAAAAAATTGAATAATATGAAATCAACTTTTCAAGGTTTCAGCTAAATAGGACGACACACTTCAGCTGCGTCTCCACTCAGGGGCCCCTCGTCTCGTAACCCGCTCGAGGCCCGAGGAAGCGACAACGAGAGGTTGTACGGAGTTGAGACGTGTGAACATCGTGTGTGTGTGTGTGTACAGATTGTGTGCGACTCGACTCCTCCACCTCGAACACGCCGGACGCCACGCACTCCACGCTGTGCCGGTGCGTTCCTTCCCTCTTCCTTGATAACTCTCACGGCGACTCTTCCACAGCAAACACGAGCGTTGAAAAAAAAACACCCTCCGCTCCCACTTATCCGCCCTCCAGACGGGGTGAAGTGTTTGGGGATGTTGTCCGCGCAACAACACTCTGTTCCACCTGGCGGCGCGTACCAGGAGAGAGTAGCTGCTTAATGAAGAGCTGGGCCCAAGTGATTTGCAGTTCCCACTATTGATCTATTAATTAATCTGCAACAGCGACACGGCATCTGTGGTGGAATGTGGGCTCGTTAACGGACACCATCACTCCAAAAGTGGAGTTCAGGACCAGTGGACGAAGAGAGAAATAATGTGTTCAAACGTAGACATCGGGGGGGGAAAAGATAGAAACTATAAAGTAGATGAGACGTAGGAGCTCTGGTTCGTCTCCAGAACAAAGTGTGTCAGCTTGTCGTGGGGGGGAGACGAGCCAGAGAGGCCTCGGGAGGACAGAGGAGGCGAGAGGGGAGGAAGGTGTGTGTTTAAAGCAGTAAATCAGAGATGGTGTCGGTGCGGCGAGAGAGTTGACTTTGTTTGACCTGTGTGACGAAAAAGCTGCCGCCACTGCGGCAATCCCAGATCCCTGTGTCGTCGGACTTGGGGGGGGGGGGTTCTTTCGACGACGGCAACAAATCAATCCGAGGATGATTACAGTGCGGCGATCGGGACGTCGCCTCGACGTTTCATCTTCCATCCGCTTCGCCCCCCTTAACGCACCTCCGTTAATCATCTGCTTCTCGCCTTCATTCTCCAACAAAATCTCCCCATGTGAGTATTTTCAGCCTTTTTCAAGGCTGAAAGCTCATGAAAGAACGTTTGGAGAAGCTCCAAAAGCACTTCATCATGGTGAGCATTGTTTATGAATCCTTTAAACAGAATGAGCTGAGTTGTCAGTCTGCAGCATCTCATTACCGGCCGCACGGTCGGCTGTGAGGTAAAGACAGTCGTCTCCTCACACCTTTCAAATGAGGGGCTGTAAGAGGTGAGCAGAGGCAGAGCACTGCAGTAGCATCAATGTCAGTAGCAGCAAGCCGGGCTTCTCTCTCTTAATATGCCCATATTCTTTATTACCTCTTTTCATTTTTCTATGAGCTCCCTCTACTTTCCTCGTTAACTCTCAGATGAAAACCATCAAGGTGATGCTCACAGTAATATGATCACATTGTCATAGCGTTACAAGCCAGCTCATTGCAAATTCATAGAGATATTAATGATCAATTCATGGAAGATTCTATGTTTTTTTTCTCCATTTTAAACAGCTTTAAAGCATGTCCCTAAAAATATAATTCGATCTTCACTGCGTGTTCCTTTAGTGGCTTTTGCAGTGGGGATGTGGTCCTGGTTTTCGTTTGGGGGAATTAAGGAATCGCCCTGCTTTATGTCCGGCGTGACACTTATAGAAGACAAAAGGGGAATGGTTGTCATCAGGAACAAAGTGCTTGTGACCTTTGAAGCGAGCTTTGATATTCACCCCCTCTCTGTCTCTCGCCTCTCTTCCTTTCCTCCCACCTCACATCTCATGTGCCTCGTTCCGTGTTTCCATCTAATCCTCCCCTCAGTCCCCTCTCTCTTTTTCAACCACCGGTGACCTTACCTACACCTCACCTTCCATCTCCTCATCCCTCTCTTCTTCACTCATCTCGTCTTATTAGCTTCCCGATTAGCCGCCAAAGCCAAACCTCAATTTTCTCCAAATAATAAAAAAAAAAGAAATCTTTAATAGCAAATGTACCTTTTCGATGTGTTTTTTTTCTAGTTTTATATTCTTACACATCTGTTTGTGTAATTCGAGGCCTGAGAGGAAGACTATGTTCAGCATCTCATGTCCTGCCAGCGGTTTTGAGGGGTTAAGATGCACGGTGTCGTCTGTCGACAGCCTATCGGAACACGTCCCTTTAGCGGTGGGATGAGTCAGCCTCGTTACACACCTCGGGGGAGCGCGCTGTGCCTTCTCTTTTCCCACTAAACAACGTCAATGGCCCTGTCTCTCGTCACATTAGGAGAGCAGCAGGGGGAGTGCAGACACAAACAGACAGGGAGGGTCACCCATGTAACACACACACACACACACACAAACATAGTCCGACGGACAAACACACAGCAGCCCATTATCTGTCCTACAGGTCGTTCTAATCCCCACTCGGCTGGAGATGCTTATTTTTTGTAGCAAGAAAAAAAGAAGAAAAAAAAAAGGGTTGCTGACCCGTTGCCCGTGCGTCTGTCTGTGTCCGGGCGCGAGCTGCACGTCCCTCTCTGCGCGTGCACGGATGCGTCTTCTTGTGGACCATGTCTGCGCGGATGTGCAGCTTTCTACCCTCGAGACAAAGTAGAGAAGTCAATTGAAACGAATGGGCTTCAAGCTGGCTCAAGCTAAATAGAAATGTCATGGCCGCTACGGATCCCCTTTGTTTGTCTGCGGAAGGTCCCGTCTCACCGGGGAGCACCGAGCACAATAATGCCCATGCAGTGACAGTCGACGCCTTACTGTTTCCATTTCATGCCACCCCTCTCTTTTAAGCAGTCAGCGCATAAAGAAGAGATAAAGGGAGAGAATTGACGGATAGAGGTACAATAGAGAGTGAGGCTATGGATTAAATGTGATGTACATTGTGCAGGATTAGTATTGTGTCTCCACCTGGAAGTTTATGAGCAGCTCAGAGCTTAGCAGCAGAGCTCTCCTGGTGCAAAGAACACAAACACTGATAAGATCATTTGGATGAAGCAGATGAGAGTCTGCAGGTGTGTGTGTGTGAGGTAAGCTGCATGATGACAGCTGCGAGAGGCTGGCGGATGGAAAACAACACGTACAACAGTTTTCATGTACAATTTAGCACTGCGTTGTTATAACATGGTCAGAATGGTGAACCTCACTTCTGTAGTGCCAAAGGCCCATAAAACAGACTTTAATGTGTAAAATCGGTGGAGTTAACCAATATACTGCATGCATTGGTACTCACCGTTTAACCTTGGAACGTAGAGTACACCGAACATGAAGACGTTTATGTGTTTGTGTAAATCAACACATTTTGACTACATAGTCCTAATTTACTTTTTCAGCTTAGCCGTACACACAAATACAAAACCAGTCTGAGGTTAACCTGAGATTAAATGTACTGTGGCTCAATTTGCTTCTGCCTTCAAAAAAACCAGAACGGAATAAGAATCAGACAGAAATTGTGGCTGAAAACAAAGAATCAATATCACACACGACACAAGATTCAGCATGAAAGCTGTTTAACTTGTCAGTGCAGAGGTTGGTGTGATGTACAAGCGAGGGTGTCTGTAACGATGGGGCGTGTGGTGCAATCCAGCACCCTACACGAACAAATATAATGGCTTGTTGAGTGTTATTAACCTCTCTGACATCTCATTTATGTTATTGATCATTTATGTTAATGCTTCAGCGCAAGTCTAATGTTGTTTGTGTGAATGTGTTAATGTCTGCGTGTGTGTGCGTGCATGTGTCTGTATTGGTGTGTGTTCTTCTGAAGTCTGGCAAGGACATCTTTAGTCATTACCTGGAGCCGGCTTTGAAATTTGTAATCAGCTGACAGCGGTTGAGGTTGTGAAGTGTGATGTACCAGACTCCCAGCTGCCATACTTAATCCAATTCAAGATCTACTACTGCAGCGGGGCAAAGGACCACAGAACACACACACACTCACACTGCATGGGCAGTGACAGCTGCTAAGTGCATTGATGTCTTAGTGATGCTGCGATGTAAATCGATGTCAGAGGCATCTCAATCGGACAAGTCTTCATGCTTAACCAGCAAGTTACACTAAGCTTGGTTAGCAACAGTAAATAATTGATTTGAATTGATGAACATTTGATCCTAGGTAGTTCAAGTAATACATCATGAAATAAGACTCCTTGGATGCATTGGAAAGGTATTGGTTTTCGCCTCAGAATTTTACACTACAAGTCACACATGTATTCCATATTATTTAGTACATTAAGAATATCATACACATAGAATGCATCTTGCAAAACAATTTTTGGATTACTGGATATTTTTCTGGATGCAAGCAAGCAATCTTTTCTAGCTATTTTGACCCAAGACCCTCTGCGCTTAAGATATGCAAGCAAAGGTAAATGCGCAGTTTTTTGAGAAAATATTATGTCCCAATTAAATGTATACTGCATGCATTAGCACTTTGTAGGCACAGTTCACAACCTGTGAAATCTATTGATGGGGATCACCTGAGAATGAAGTAATATACCAGAACAGGAGAAAAATGAAAAAATGACGTGGAATGAGGCTGTTCAGTACAATCCCCAAACTGCAGTTTCCCCTGAGAGGCGAAGAGCGGTGCTCCTCCTATCAGGCAAACGGAGGTCGTGTTTTGGTAGACGCGGCAGCGGAGTAAATCACATTCGGGCATTTGTGTCCACGTTCGTTTTAGCGAAAGATGAGAGCAGTGCTCCCCCCTCCTGGGCCATAGTCAGCCACCCTGTCTGTGAAAGAAAGTGATAGAGTTGGAACAAATAAACAAGAAGTTGAAGCGATGGAAACACTATCTTCGCCGCACGGGAGCGAAGGTATGGCGGCATGTGTCGGAAATTTGTACTGAAGATCGAAAAGCGAAGGAGAGACGGGGCGTCCTTGTGCTTTGTTTTAGGAAATGAATTGCCCGCGGCAGAGAGGCTGGCAGTAGTGGACCCAGCAGACTGCCAAAGCCGTGATGCTGCACGATGCCCTCCTGCTTTTGTTGTGGCTTTACTCTTTATTAAAGATAACAAAGTTGGCCAAAGGCCGAGGCAGATGCTGCTGGAATCACACAGCAGGTATGGGTGAAGAGGGAACACGGCGGTAGCAGCAAACAGAGGAAGGATTACACGGAGGGAGGGCTGGTTTGACCGGGTGCTTACTGGCTGGTTGTGATAACAGATCCCATGATGTGTGCGTGGTGCTGTTGATAGTGCTGATAATCTTAACACATAATTCAAAAATGGTTTTATTCTAATCTTTGTGTATTGCACGTTTGTGTCGGAGCAGTCAACTCTTTCTGTGTCGACTGCGCCTGTAGTTCACATCCTCTGCGCTGCGTTTGTATGTCCGCTCAATTGGCTGCTCACTAACACTCAACTTTTCTGTTTCCTTCCCTCGCTCTATCTGTGCACCTGTTGTTTTCCAATCTCATCATACGTTTTCCTTTCCCGCCATTTCTCTATTTCCTCCACCTTTTTGAATTCCATCACCTTCCTCCATCCCCTTCTTTCCTCCTTTCAGCTAACATCCTGACTGTGGTCATCCTGTCCCAGCTGGTGCTGCGTCGCCAGAAGTCCTCCTACAACTATCTCCTGGCTCTCGCGGCCGCCGACATCCTGGTGCTGCTCCTCATCGTGTTTGTCGACTTCATATTGGAGGATTTTATTTTGGGCACGGCGCTGCCTCCGTCCCTAAACAACGCGGTGCAGGTCCTGGAGTTCTCCTCCATCCACACCTCCATCTGGATCACCGTGCCTCTCACCATTGACCGCTACATCGCCGTGTGCCACCCGCTGCGCTACCACACCGTCTCCTTCCCGGCCCGCACGCGGAAGGTCATATTTGCCGTGTATGTCGGTTGCCTGATCTCCGCGGCTCCTTATTACTGGTGGCCTGAGCTGTGGCACAGCTTGCCCGGGGTGGGCAGCGGAGGAGGAGGAGGAGGAGAAGAAGTAGCAGCAGGAGGAGGAGACGAGAGAAACAAGAGAACCGTGGCCCAGCACGTCCTGGTGTGGGCCCACTGCGCCACCGTCTACCTCCTCCCCTGCACCGTCTTCTTCTCCCTGAACGCCGTCATCGTGCGCAAGCTGCGCCGGCGCCGCAACTGCTTCCGTCTGCGCGGCTACTCCACTGGCAAGACCACCGCCATCCTCCTCGCCATCACCTCCGTTTTTGCCGTTTTGTGGGCGCCGCGCACCCTCATGATCCTCTACCACTTCTACTCCCCGCCGCCGGCTTCACGGGGCGCCGGGCGACTGCTCCACGTGCTCACCGACCTGGCGAACATGCTCGCGTTGCTCAACACCGGGGTCAACTTCTTCCTGTACTGCTTCATCAGCAAGCGTTTCCGCGGCATGGCGGCCAACGTCCTGCGGGCCCTGGTCAACTGCCGGAAGCAGCCGCCGCCGTTCTACGCCAGCCACAACTTTTCCATCACAAGCAGCCCGTGGATCTCACCGGCCAACTCCCACTGCATTAAGATGCTGGTGTACCAGTATGACAAAAATGGGAAACCCGTCTGTATTTCCTCTTGAGTCCTCAGCCACCAGCGGCAGCGGCAGCCGGCGCCTCTCCCCCGCACCTCCTTCCCTCACCCCTCAGTTGTTGGGGCGCACATTGTCTCCTTGGTGACCAGCTTTGCCCGCGTGGGCGCGTGAGTCTTTTGAGGCTTGAAAATGTCAACAAGCCCGGGGAGCACACAGGGGAGCGCTTGGCTAGCTTTGAGCGCTAACAAAGTTGGTTGGCTGGCTACGTGGAAAGGCAAACAGTTTTCACAAAGCGGCGACCAGCATCGAAAAAAGATGTTTATTGTTTCCCTCATGCAAAAAAAAACCCCAAAATGATGCAGCTACTAATGAGCGACCGACTCCTGACTCACGGGATATCACCGTCATGTTTCAGTGACTTGAGCAACACAAAATAGACTTTTTCGTTGACGCTCTCTGTTGCACGATGCTGTAGACGGGAAGGATTTGTGCGTCCTTGTCCTGTTGGGAGTCATTTCCAGGAAAGCAATGGTGGATACCTCTGGTGGCCACTGAACATCTGAGAGGCACATCACTCAGGCAGAGGCATCGACGGTATCTCAAGAAATCCGAAAACAGCGCTGTCATTTTCCAGTTTAATATGCAGAAACCTTTGAAAGACATTTCGACTTCAACAAACAGCCCTGGCTGACTTTCCTCTTGCAGTTGGGCCAAGTTCATCCCAGCAGGCTCGTCTACAAGCCGGCACTCGCTCTGGAAGTCAAATCAGTGATTGTTGTAGGATGAGTAGACTATTCCGCTTATTGTTGGTTCAATATTTATTATGGTAAACTTGACTGTTAGTGTTGCTTCACAAAAATCCAAGACAAAAGTCTTGTTAATCTAGCAATCCCATTTCCAATATTAGGTAGAGGAAGTTTCTGCTATTAGTAGATAGTCCTCTATTAGCTATTAATGGTACTTGGTGACTACTGTTAGCCATTAACTGAATGAATATATTGAATGTTGCACCTCCTCAACACTTTAGCTTTCTTAGCGACAGAGAGCAAAACAGAGAGGCAGAGAGGATTGTTTTCCCCGTCCAAGGTTTTCTGTCCAATGATGCAGCAGTGAATTTGGTCTCAGGGCCGCAGTGAGACATTTCAGATCCGTTCATTCTGCTGCTGGCTGATGGAAATGGAGTTAAATTTTAAAACGACACACACTCACGTACATTGACACTGCCTCGGTGCCGCCCGAGTCCTGCCCAGTAACAGACGTTGACACACACACACACACACACTGTGCATTGGATGTCCCCTGTATTTCCCATAGAGGAGCACATTGAGATCAATGCACATCCATTCTGCGGACACCTCGCGGCATTAGCAGTCCTCATCTATCCAACAAGAATGGAGCTGCGCCAAAGGGTGTATGTCTGCTAATGCATTGAGATATCAGGCACGTCAGGCCCCGTTTTAATGGATGAGTCCTTAAATCAGATTTGGTTATTCTGTCATAGCTGGTCTCATGCCCCCACTACAAACGTCTGACACCTAGTTCAATTTTTTTTTTGCCTTTTTCTGCAATTCGAGCTGCCTGCATTGCACGCAGCTGGACTTGTGATCACAGCCTAATCGCTACCTTCCATTTGATTTGGACATAACAATGTGGTCATCGAATGAACTAAATTGCAAAAGGTGCCTTGTGATGCACGTATATGTGAAACAAAAAAATGTTCCATGAAACATGAACACAAAGTAATTTGTAGCAAGAAAGTCAACCTGCAGTAATTGTGCCGCTCTGAAAAGAACAAGCAATGAACGTTTGAAAAAAGCACATTAACGATTTTGAAACTTTATTGAACAGCTCATAAAATAACACTGTAAAACTGTGTTTTTGACCTTTAAAAAGTGCCGTTCTTCATCCATCAACCTCACCTTCATGCTTTGAAGGATTTTTAAATGTTGGCAATTTCCCCCCATAATGTGTCTTAGTAGGTGTCAGACCAGTGAAGTTGCCATTTTGCCAAGTTGCCATTTTGTAAGCATTTATAATGCTTAATTTGCACATCTAAACATGCAATTTCAGAAATCTTGTAATAGAAAAGTAATAGTTTGAATCAAAGTAACTAATTGGGAAGGTTTGGTAGAGAAGTATTAGTGTATGTTTACTCTATTAACCACACTATTTCTATCTATATTCTGAATTGTATGGTTGTTGACAGTATTATTGATTCATTCGGTAATAAAAATGGAGATATCTAAAATGCCTTCTGTCTTTGGACTTTGGGCTCCTTTACTCTCAATTTCTTTGTTCCTATTAAATTGATTTCCTCCAAATTGCTTGTTAACGAAGGAATACCTGTCACCGCTTGCTACTTACCTCACTTCACTCTGCAATCACCCCACGGCTCCCTCTTTCCTCCCACTTCACGTTGAATGCACTCGCTCAAAGTTAATTTCACAAGTGTCCTTTTTACTCGTTAACTGAAGCCTTGAAGCCTTGAAGACTTGCGGCTACATGTGCATACTGATCATACCGGGCCTAATTTCGCCTTAGAAAATGGATGCGAGCAGTTAGGGCCAGTGAGAAGAAGCTGCTGAATGTCAACAGTTATTTGATGTAAATTAAGACCAATATAGCATCAATAACTGCTAATTACTCGGCGACCTCCATCAGTCGAGATCAGGCGAGTCCATCAGTCATCCTCATCAACAAGTTTAGTATAACGGCACAAAAATATGTGATTTAATCAATACTGCCTAATGATCCAACCATGATCGTTAATAAAGTAATACTCTGTGATAAATGATTAAGGTTTCGGCCTGAGGAGCTCATGCCAGATCAATGTCGCCGTGACATTCATTTTGCGTGTTAACCCTTTACAGTGTTCCAGGCGATGTTAATGTGACGGATAACCGGCCGCCTGGGAACGAGGCAGCTTTAGGAAACCAAAGGGAACTGATGAGTAGGGGGAGTTGAGAGAGTGTCACATGCAGGTGTGTTTTTGTTTCCCACGTGAGGCCCTCGGGAGTGTGAGTATTAGTGTGTGTGTGTGTGTGTGTGTGTGTGTGTGTGTGTGTGTGTGTCTGTGTCTGTGGGTGTGTGGGGGGGGGGGGGGTGATACCAAGAAATATTCCCTGTTAAGATCTATATTTTCTTCAGCCAGATATTAAAAAGATAACAAAACATAAATCAATCAGAATGTGAAATTGTGTTTTCTCTCTCATACCTCTCCGTCTATCTCTACCTGCTTAGCTCTACAATGTGTGTGCGTGCGTGCAAGTGCGTGTACATAATGTCCGTCTTAGACAGAAAGAAGCTTTAAAAAGTGTTTGTGCCATAGGACCTGCAATGTATGATATCGAATATGTATTTTTGGTCAATCATGATGAATATACGTACATACAGCACAGTGTTATAACAATATTACCATGAATGTACAACTGACGCTTCTGCCATTTTTGTTGGTATTTTTCAGATAGTGATTTTCTACACAATGACCATTTTTGAGTATTTTAACTTTCGTGAAGTTTCAAAACTGTGTTTTTTGATCGTACTGGAGTAACTATAGGCTTGCATAATTCAGTTATTTCCCTCTATTGAATGTATTGACAACATAAAGAGTGTGTATTACAGTTTGGATTCAAGAAATAAAGAACATTATCTCTCAACATTGAGACATAGTGCTTATTTGTGTTGATTTTTTGCACCCTCACAAATTGCTGGGATTAAACTAAAACTGTGTCTAGTAGTTACTGTTGAATTTTTAAAAATACGTTTGTTTTCTGGATAGTTCATATGTTAAATTAAACACTAATGTTAAATCACAAATTACGTTTTTTACAGTCAACAATCATGTAATTTGGCACTTTTGTTTTAGTTCTAGTTCTATTCTCACAATAAAACAATTACAAAAACTGTAATAGCTAACAAGTGAAATTTAAAAACTTTGGCTATGAACAAGAGTAAATCCAACATACGTTTCAAATCATTAGTTGAGGATGAAAAAATATTGACTTGGATTTCAAATCTTCTATTTTACTATTTCTTTAGATTAAACTCCCTCAGAAATCATATAGAGAAACAAGAAGTATCACCCATTTTCTTTAACTTAGTCCTTTTGTATTGCTTAATAGTGACTCATTCCAACCATAGCTGAACTAAATATTCATGTCTCCTGTCTCTAGGACAGAAATTCTGTCTTGCTTATTTACGTTTTAAATACTGATCCAACTGTTTGTGCAGCATCAAACTTATGTGAGCCTCCATCTGTATGAGGATCAGTGAGGAGCAACATGTGCACGGCGACTGGACTCCTAAGTATCCTAAATTCACTGCAGAGCACTTACTAGTTCTACATCCACATCGCTGCTGCCTGTTTGCAGTGTGATTTGTTATTGCGATATCAGTTTTGTTATGATTCACTGTACAATGCAGTGACAAACAGGGCTGTGCAGATCCACAGCACCAGCTTAAATGTAACAATACAGGTGATAATCACAAGCTCACGAGAAAGGTGATTCAGCGGTGTGTGTGTGTGTTTGTGACCAATTAAAGTCTTGACAGCAACGCTGACTCAGTCGACACTTTGTCCCCGTCAAGATAAGTGGGAAACATGGTGTGTACATGAGATCAAACACACAAAGATATTATCAGCCTAAAATCACCTCTGCTTGAACTTAAAGCAACACAAGTGTGTCACTTTTTTAAACTCCCTCCGGTGACAACCGCAGGCGCGCTCAGCCAATCAGCGCTCATATTCACAGTCCAGCAATCGTCAAACCACCAGGCTCACAACAGGGCAATTAACACCAAGAACAGTCCTGCCAAACACAGCTCACTGCTTACTGACATTTCCCTGCAGATGCAATCAAAAGTCCCCAGCAGCTGCAACAAAATGAGTCGCTGCGTTGGTTATTAGTTTGACAACCTGCAGCGGGCCTCTTTCAGTAAATCTCCTCATTGTATAAGACGACTGCACTTTTCATCTGTGTCATTAAAAAAAAACTTAGGAAAGGGAGTAAATTAGAGAATGAAGACGTGTGTGTGTGTGTGTGTGTGTGTGTGTGTGTGTGTGTGTGTGTGTGTGTGTGTGTGTGTGTGTGTGTGTGTGTGTGTGTGTGTGTGCATGCTGACTGCCAAGCCTTGCGAGTGTGTTGCTGCAGTGATAAAGATGGATGAGTCTATCTGCTGCTGCTGTGATTGTGCTGCTGCTGATAGTGAATGTGTGCACATGCAAATATTTATTTATTTATTTGGACCTCAGGCTGGTAGAACCACAGAAAACCCCCCAAAAAACATGACATCGTCTGTGCATTGCAAGACAAGGACATTTTGATATCGACAGTATGTCCAGGCTTTTTATTACATGTCTTTCAATATCCAAAGCAGAGACTACGTGGTTTTGGACTCACGTATTTGTGCAAATATTGATACCGTTCAATTAGGTATGGGGTGCTTATTAAATGTATCACAATCTTTAACAAAAAAAACATACTTTTGTTCATGTTGGATCAATACTGTCCCATACCCATGGTTAATGTTATAAGTAATAATTAATCAAAATATCTCCTATGAATAAGAGCATTTTCTTCAAAAATAAATGATGATGTGGTCTCATAGCAATTTCTAAAGTAAGAGTTTTCATTGTTGACAAAAAATTATGCTTGTGTGTGTGAATCTTTCAGATTTTAAATGAGAGCCGGTCGATGGTTTCACAAGCTGCAATGAGATCCGGGGGGACCGGATTGGAGTGATGCCCAGTAGCTTCGAGACAGCTGCAGAGACGTAAAATCTGAAAGATGTCTGGACCGTGCTTTAAGAAAGAGCCTTTGTCTGCTTGATACCTCTGTGGTTTGTAGTTTGCCCTCATGAAGCTGCAAATCGAGCCCATAAATACCTCGAGAGTCGGGTGTTGGTTCTTAGTTTGATCACAGAAAAAGTCAACCCTCTCATACTGCAGTGAGTCATTAAATTTGATGCTATACTGTAATTCCATTAATTTGCTTAATGGAGCTTTAACACAGAACTTTTAAAGCTCAGTCTAAGCACAATGCAGCGGGTTTCTAATACAAGTTATGCCTTCAAATAAAGTTATAGGATTATTACAATCGTCATTATTATGCACACAAACTATTTTTTCTTTTTCTTTTCTTCAGTCACAAGGCCCTTCAGTTCAAGATGACATAATTTGTGCTTTTAGCACTCGAGCTCCCCTTTTAAGGTTGCATACACATCCACTTAACCCCGCAGACGCACTTTGAGGAGCTTTTTTGGGTTTAAATCATAAACTGCTAATGTAAAATGTATTAGTGAAGTGGACCAGAAACAGCTATCCAATAAAAATGACCCCTGCAACAAAGAGTACTGGCGGTATGATGATGTTCACATCTGTGGACTTTTACTGGACTGCATTATATTTCCTTGCAAAAGGGATGTCCCTCGAAGAAAGAAATCTTTCTCCACACTGTCAAATAAAAGCACACATTTAGATTGTATTTTTCTTACACATGTGCTCATATGTTTCTGATTAGTCTACTTATCCTCTAAGAAAGGGCAGCCCTTGTGTTGCCGGTATGTTTTTCTCACAAAAGTTGAATTAATTCTTGCAGAGATGTTTTATTGGATTGCATTATATTGCTATTGCTTCCGCTCCGTGTCTCTGACCGCCTCAGGCTCTCTCTAAAATGCTCAACTCATCTTCTTCACTGAGCAATAAACGGTATCATCTTTTGTCTGGTCAGACCGAGTGTTTGAGATTGTAAAAAAATAAAACAGAATAAGTTAAACAGAAACAGCTGGGTGAAGAGACGGCAGCAATCTGACTTGGGACTCAACTGATGAGTCGTTTATGCAGGAAAGGGTGGGAAAATAAACCCTGCAAGCTAAGAGAAATCAGTAATGATTTGGATTGGCAGAATTAAGGTTACAAGTGTTTAACACCTGAGCCTCTTTCTAACTGGCACAGCAGCTGGCGGAGAATTAAACTGTGGCGTGTTGGCGAATGAAAGCGGTTCTTTAACTGGATTTGTATTCAGGGACATGGCGTAGTGTTGTGCCAGATATAAAAGTCATTATTAAACCTCTTTTGCTACACAGTCTAACACTATTTTCCTTTTTGGGTCACACACAATTCCCAAATATTGGTGTATTTTCAATATTTGACTCGTTTTAAACATCAGATATCCGAAATGATCACTCAAGTAAGAGTTAACAGCAGGGCCGGATTTCCCAGACAATCAATCCAAATATATATATATATATATAT